TCAACTGGTCTACCCGGTACCATAGAAGCTCCACAAACATCTGGCATCCCTCCGTAATTAACACCCACCCAAGGAAGCTCTACAAACATCTGGCACCCCTCCGTAATTAACACCCACCCAAGGAAGCTCTACAAACATCGGGCGCCCCTCCGTAACACCCACCCAAGGAAGCTCCACAACATCTGGCGCCCCTCCGTAACACCCACCCAAAGAAGGTCCACAACATCTGGCGCCCCTCCGTAACACCCACCCAAGGAAGCTCTACAACATCTGGCACCCCTCCGTGACACCCACCCAAGGAAGCTCCACAACGTCTGGCACCCCTCCGTAACACCCACCCAAGGAAGCTCCACAACACCCCTCCGTAACACACACCCAAGGAAGCTCTACACACATCTGGCGCCCCTCCGTAACACCCACCCAAGGAAGCTCCACAACACCCCTCCGTAACACACACCCAAGGAAGCTCTACACACATCTGGCGCCCCTCCGTAACACCCACCCAAGGAAGCTCCACAACACCCCTCCGTAACACCCACCCAAGGAAGCTCTACAAACATCTGGCGCCCCTCCGTAACACCCACCCAAGGAAGCTCTACAACATCTGCCCCCCCCCCCCCCCCCCCCCCCCTCCGTAACACCCACCCAAAGAAGGTCCACAACATCTGGCACCCCTCCGTAACACCCACCCAAGGAAGCTCTACAAACATCTGGCGCCCCTCCGTAACACCCACCCAAGGAAGCTCTACAACATCTGCCCCCCCCCCCCCTCCGTAACACCCACCCAAAGAAGGTCCACAACATCTGGCACCCCTCCGTAACACCCACCCAAGGAAGCTCTACAACATCTGCCCCCCCCCCCCCCCCCCCCCTCCGTAACACCCACCCAAAGAAGGTCCACAACATCTGGCACCCCTCCGTAACACCCACCCAAGGAAGCTCTACAAACATCTGACACCCCTCCGTAACACCCACCCAAGGAAGCTCCAGAAACATCTGGCACCCCTCCGTAACACCCACCCAAGGAAGCTCTACAAACATCCTTCAGAGCCATTTGTATCAAAGATTAAAGTCCTTATCAGAATGGAGGCGTGGAGATTGTGATTTCATCTCCAGATAGTGTGGCCGGGCCACAGGGACAGCGATCGCGGGCTGATAACGTCGGCGTGCACGATATTTTCATCTTGGTATTTGCAAGGCTTCTGGATTACGGAACTTATCGGATTGGTACGGGAAGCTTTTTTGTGTGTTTTTTGTAAGGAATGGCTGTACCTCTGGGAAACCTAGTCGTCATGTTTCCATGACTACAGCGGACGTCCAATGAACTGTCTTTTAGATCATCGTAACAGACAATTCCATAAAATATAATCGTATAAAACAACGCACTTCTATGGTCATGTGACAATAAAACTTAATTGTACAGTTATTTTTGCACATTTTTAACAATTCGCTTCGACTCCGATCCTACATTCCCTGAGGGTATGGGGACGCCGTCACGAGGGGTGCCGCTTCTTGCCCGGGGCACCAGCTTTGATCTTAGAGCTCTGACTCTGAACTTTCTCTATTCTGGGCTAATTAAAGTATGCACGGTTTCCCGGTTTATCAAGTTGACGGGTTGCGTGGTATTCCGCCCACTGATTGTTTATTTAACGCTGTGGACCACGGCTCAGTAGAAATAGTCTAATTATAGATATTTCTCGCTTTATGTGTTTTGGTATGTTGTAACACCCATAACCTATTGGTGCCCATACTCTCGTCATGAAATCAAAGTTAAATCCATATTTTTCATTTCCCCACCTCATGATATATGTGAACTGATAATTGAGCTGAAAGAGCAAGGGGCTTCCATCGTGTACTTGTTTTAATTTCCCAAAGGAAGAGATGCTGACATTTTTCAACATTATCACTATGACGTTACAGCCTTGTCATTTTTTTACAACGAAAACTCATGAGAGTTGTTTGTTGTTTCACGCCATACTCAGCAATAGTCCATCTATATGACGTAACGCCCTTGCCTCGGGAAGATGGTGATTGACATCATGAGCATCGATCTACGCAGTTGGGATACGATGACATGCATCAACCAAGTTAGCGAGCCTGACCACGATCCCGTTAGTCGCCTCTTACGACAAGCATGGGTTGCTGAAGACCAATTCTTACCTGGATCTTCACGGGCACCATGGAGTTGGGTTAAGGCCGCTTTGAACAATGTACCAGTTATATCGCGGCGTGTCAGCACAATGTGGGAGGAAAGCCCGAAGTGATGCAGGCCTCAGACGTTTATCACTTGGGTGAAACCCACAAGCACGGGTATGGTGCTGAAAAAAACTAGAAACAAAGCCCGGGCGACTAGGCATTCGAACGCACGATCGTAGATTTCCCGCGTGCAACTCTGCACAGCAAGTTAGACGACTGGGCCATTTTCTGCCATAATAACACTGAAGACGCGTAGACAATCGTAGACAAATGTAGACGTCTTCCAATTAATTATCTTGTTTGTTATAAGCTAATTTGATATCTCTGACAAACGGGAACGATCGACCTTGCCTAAATCCTCCTTACACGTGTCTTGCTACGAACACGTGACACGTCTCAACGTGGGTAATAAATATATTCAGCTGCAAGGAGAATTGTCGTTCTGTTTAAGCTGGAAGCGTCCATCACACATATAATTCTCAACTTTAAGGATAACCCTTGTGTAAATCCGGCTCAGGATTGGACTACAACAACCCATTCTTGTCGTAAGAGGCGATTAACGGGATCGGGTGATCAGGTTCGCTTGGTTGATGCATGTCATCGTACCCCAATGACGTAGATCGGTTCTCGTGATGCCAATCACTGGATTGTCGGGTCAAGAATCGATGTTTTACAGACCGTCGTCATATAGGTAGAATATTGCTGAGTGCGGCGTTGCTCTGCTGGCTTGCCAAAGACCAACTCTTACAAAGATATAGATTGAAGGCATGTTAACCGTGAAGACCATTGCTAGCCGTAAAAGGTGACTATGCTTGTCGTAAGATGCGGCTGACGGGATCGGGTGTTCAGGCTCGCTGACTTGGTTGCTGCATGTCATCGTATCTTAATTAGGACCGCTTCCGTGGTCTTGTGGTAGAGCGGAAGGTCCGGGGTTCGATCCCCGACCGCGTCATACCAAAAGACGTTAAAAGATGGTACTTGTTGTTACCCTGTCTGGCGCTCGGCTTTAAGGGGCTTAAACAAGGACTGGTCGGCTCGGAGTCAGTATACTGTGTCTGAGTGGGGTATTCATGTTAAACTGCGGCATGGTATCTCTGTGAGCTAGCACTATAAATCGGCATCAGTCCGGACTAGTACAAGCAGCCACACAAACACACACACGTACATGCACGTCGCTATATAAGTGCAATATTCTTGGACGCGACGTTAAACATCATTTCACCTCACCTCGTATCTCAATTGCGTAGATCGATGATCATGATATCAATCACTGGATTGTCTGGTCCAGACTCAATTATTACAGAACGCCGTCATACAGGTGGAATATTGCTGAGTGCACTGCTCGGGTGCTGAAGACACATTCGATTTAAGACGTCCACCAAAGGTATGACATGTTTAGCTCGGACAGGGAGTGATGCCACATAGCGTTCTATATCTAGAGTTATTTCACAGTAATGTATTTAAGTTCCGTTTAAGCTGATTAATATGAATGTGTGCCTGTGTTTAGACACGTGTTCGTCTGGCTGTGTTTTGAATAATGATCGTGTGGCTGTATACGTTTCCCGTCACTCAACATTCCTTTTTAATGGCATCTCAAAACTAGAAATAAGAAAATCTTTAAGCCTTTGCAGGTGTAATATCTCCAGCTCTGCTGAAATCGCGGCCGATAACGAATCTCGAGTTCATGACTACCAACTTTCTCTGATATGATAATTGTGTGTTATTGTAAACTTCGTGGAACACGCGCTCACAAACACACACATGGGACCACTTCGATAACGGCCCTGTTGGTTTACTGAAATCGCAGCATTTTTCGCTAATAATTGCGTTGTGCAGGTTGGGGGAGGAAACCCATGGGCTATTGTCCACTAGCCGGAACTGATGCTGTTTAACCCTGGAAGCATGTTCCGTGCTGATAAATCAGGGATGATGGATGAAGGGGAAATCACTGAGTGGATGACCCGAACGCACCCCCAGCACGCCGGCCCGCCTGAGATAGGGGGGACGCAGGGACGCTATTTCCTCCAACTGCAGTCTGTTGCGATGTTCGATCGAGAAGTCGATGATGCTGATGAGCGTCCGATTGCTATCTAAAATTAAAATTTCCTTGTAACAAAAGAGAGCCCATTTCTTGGATCAGTAAATAAGGCTTTAATTGTTGCTTTGAGCGAGTCCATGAAATATGGCCTGTATTCCCGGGGGTGGAGCGCTTCAGTGATGTGGGGCTCTGGTCGCCCACTCGTTTAAGGCGTCGTAATTCGATGTGCAGAGTTGCGTCCCTTGGACACGCCAGGAAATTTAGTATCTACGTTCGTGGGTTCGAATCCCTGTACGACCCGATTATGTTTCTAGGTTTGTCAGCACCATACCAATACTCGTGGGTTTCATCGAAGTGTTAAACGTTAGAGACGTGTATCGCGCCGGACTTTGACCCCTTAAGATCTGGGTTAGACTTTGTCTTAATATGCGACTGACGAGAACGGGTGGTATGGTCTCACTGACTTGGTTGATACATGTTATCGTATCCCAATTGCGTAGATCGATGCTCATGATGTCAGCCGCTGGATTGTCTGGTCCAGACTCGTCTGTTTACAGACATCCGTCATGTAGCTGGAATATTGCTGAGCACGGCGTTAAACAACAAACAAACAAACAAGACAAATACAAGTACAGGTGCGTTCTTTTTCATTTCACAAGTTATCTATTTTAGACAGGTTGGTAGACTTTCTATGCACATCATCTGTGGCTAAACATATCTTTAAATGTTGTTTTTGTTAGTATACTCCATGTTTTGTGTTTTTCAGAGATCATACACATTGATAGTGGAGGCGTGGGACGTTGAACGAGGTAGGTGGTGGTTGAGACGTTGAACGAGGTAGGTGGAGTTTGAGTCGTCAGAAAGATGCTGGAAGAACATCGACCCCGGCCCTGAAAGTGATTAGGACAGAGACATACGTCCAACAACTGGTGTTGTCTTTGCTCTGTAGCCCGATTTAGAAAATATGCAATGTTTGAAAGTTTGGCAAGTCTAGATTTTGTCAGTTTCAGGCAGAGATTCGCGGGGCTCATTTCTACTATATTTTTACAATACAAGTCTACTTTTGATAGCCTGGCTTGTTTTTATCACTCCATGAAACACACAACTGATCCGCATATGCTATGTGTATGTTTACACAGAATGACATATATGATTATTCCTTTCTAAAGCTGAGCAGTATATTTCACTGTGGAACTCTCTCCCAAATGAACTCCTTCTTTTTCTGTGCTCAAGTCTCATCTCATCATTAAGACTCATCTCTTTCACAAATACTACACTTGAATTTATCATATTCATCGTGTGCGCTTTGAGCAGTTATTAGTGGGCACTTATTAGTTTTCCGGCGCCGAAGCCCTGGGTTCGAATCCCTACATGTGTACAATGTGTGAAGGCCATTTCTGGTGTCTCCCGCCGTGATATTGCTGGAATAATGCTAAAAACGGCGTAAAACCATACTCGCTCACTGGCGACATGGAGGCACGGGTGGGTCCAGAGGTCAAAGGTGACGAATGTCGCTGTACAGATTTGCAACCTTAAGCCGTTTTCGAATCCGCTGATCGTTTGATTGTTATTCATGATCGTTTTCTCCAATGTTGTCAGCGTGTAAGACCTTCATCACTCTCACCTTAAGTTCAAAGCGGCGGTAATCCACTCATACAGCAGGGGCGGTCGGGTAGCCTAGTGGTTAAAGCGTTCGCTCGTCACGCCGAAGACGCGGGTTCGATTCCCGACATGTGTACAATGTGTGAAGCCTATTTCTAGTAACCCCCGCCGTAATATTGCTGGATTTTTTGCTGAAAGCGTCGTAAAACCATACTAACTCACTCATACAAGAACATTTTGTCTGACCCCGTTGGCACGGCTTGGCTCAACAGCCCTTGACTCTCTCTCGAACCAGCACTGGTCTCCTTGTGTCTAGCTTGGAGGAGCACTGTATGTCAATTCCCACACATTTACCTCGCCAACACTGGCACCAGGAATCAAGTGCCAATAGCACGGCCATCTCGTGCTGGGCCTCGCGCAAGAGCCCACACTAGGTTCGCCCTTAAGAAAAGCAATATTTCAACTCAGCATGGGAGAATTGTGAATTAATTATAACCGGAAAAATTCCGTGGTCGATGAAGATTCTTCACCTTTGAGGCTCTAATGAAGACAATGACACGGTTGTAGTGCCATTATCTCTGCAACGCTGGTTTGGCTTGGGGGAGGGGAGACTCCCCTCGATGGCTTTAACAGAATCTATACAGATACAGCTAAATCAGCTAAACTTGTCAATGAGTTGCCGCCATCCCGCATCCAAGCAGCTCATAATAATCAGCATTAGCAGATACCGACACAGATGCTTCAAAGTGCACGTATTTTTACATCTTTATGTTCTTAACAGACTAATTACCACGGCAACTCCGCGGGATCTCATTCAAACGTGGCCACTACAATGACTGGATGAAGCCTGCCCTTCTCCGTCGTACTGTTGATGCTGTTTGTTGCTGAGGACCTATTCTAACCCCGACTCCCTCTCGGGTGCTGCTGATGCTGTTTGTTGCTGGGGACCTATTCTAACCCCGACTCCCTCTCGGGTGCTGCTGATGCTGTTTGTTGCTGGGGACCTATTCTAACCCCGACTCCCCACGGCGACTGCTGATGCTGTTTGTTGCTGGGGACCTATTCTAACCCCGACTCCCCACGGCGACTGCTGATGCTGTTTGTTGCTGGGGACCTACTCTAACCATGACTCCCCACGATGACTGCTGATAACATTATAACGGAAACGATATTCGTCCATTTGTGTGCCGGGCATATAAGTAGGTCAACCACTATACTTGCGCGTATATTACTTGAAGGGGTCTGTCAGAGATTAAGGAATTACCGTCGGTGGTTGTACCTGGGAATGGCACGCCGGGAGCAGAGTCATCAGTTGCTGTTCATTCAGTTTGTGCCATCATGAGAGAGCCCCCGTGTCTGTGAGGCTTGGTAAACCATGGGGTCTGGCATCGAGCCAGCACGTGCTGCGAAAGGGTGAAAAACACAAGGACTAGACTGATTTCTACACATCAAACAACCAGCTTAACTTTCCTCCGCCTTGTGCGTCTTTTTCTGGTGCTCATCGAGTTCAGAAAATTACAAGGTGGAGCTTGTGTTTACCCAGCAGACTCGGTAGCCTGTGCGGCGATGGCGGGCGACTACAGGGAACGGTGCAACGTTGTAGGAATAGTCTCAGTGTTGCCCATCTACTGTTCACATAGGTTAACGTTGGTTAGACCTTCCTCAAAACGTTCGTTGAAGCACATGGTGCATTCGCATGGTCTATGGGAACGTCAATAAGCAAATTATACTGCATATTTGTATAGCTTTTTCCCTGCAATGTGCTTGCAGCATGCGCCTTGGATGGAACCCTTGTGAAACAAATAGCTATCTGTAAACTAAACAGCGGAATCTATTTCCAACTCGACGAGAACTAGGTGACCAGGCAAGCTGACCTCGTCCTTCTGCCAGAACCACGAATCAAAGATTTATAAGAATATGGCAGCTCGCGGTGGCCCTGACTCAAGGATGTGCTGACAATCGTTGATTCCTCTGCCAGAAGCTGTTCACGCTATACAAACTGCCTCGTCTCGTTCATCATTCACACTCGCGGAAGTGCTCTCACACACGGAGCGGTTCTCACACACGGATCTGCTCTCACACACGGATCTGCTCTCACACAGAGAGGTGATCTCACACATAAGCTCTCACACACGGTTTTCTCTAAAAACACGGAGCTCCTGACACATGACTCTCCTTTCAAGCGGATCTCCTCAAACATGGGAGATCCGCTCACATACAGAACACACCTCATACACGAAACTTCTCTGACACACGGAGCTCCCATCACACTTGGAGCTCCCATCGCACTTGGAGCTCCCATCACACTTGGAGCTCCCATCACACCTGGATTTCATCTGACACACGAGCTCCCCTCACCATGAACTCCCTTCATACACGGAGCTACCATGACACATGGAGCTCCCATCACGCTTGGAGCTCATCTAACACGCGGAGCTCCTGTGACACACGAGCTCTCCTCAAACACTGAGCTCCTCCAGCACACGGACACTGACTCGCATATACATGCTATCGCTGATCTCTCCCATGGCTGAACTAAAGGTAGTCATCGACCAGCGATTATTTTGACTCAGTGCTAATTTGAGAATGCGATTTGAGAGTGGACAATGTTGCATTGTATGCCATTCCTAGATGTTTCTCCTTTTTTATTGGGGGACATTTCACTTCCCCTCCCTTCCCCTCCCTTCCCTTGTCTGTGTACATATTACATCTTTCATATCTCTGGCATTAGCCCCGGACTTATACCTTGTAGGGAACAGTAGCGAACCCTCCACATGTCAACCTATTGATCAGAAGTTGATATCTCTGCTTCTATATAATGCATTACAATCGTACACCGGACCGGGGGGCGGGGCCGTCAAGTGACATTCCTCAACAACAGGCTACAATTACACTCTAATTATTCAATTTCAAATACAAGATGAAACAATTGTTTCAATCATGTGATTATATCCAGTGCGCATGACGCGCCCGTGCAAGTCCTCGGGGTAGCTTCTCCATCATCGTGTAACGAGCTGCGAGGAGCTTTAGTGGAGCCCTTGATTGTTACAAGGCCACCTGAGGCAAGACACACGGTCGGCTTGACGATAACGGAGCTGGGGTCGGGGCAGGGGACATCACCTGACGCTTGGCCGGCCTACATGCTTGACGAGCTGCGATACGACAGGTGGACAGAACACTGAAATATGACTGCCCTCTATCTGATGCAGCTTGATATCGTGTGTGTGATACCTGACGCTTGAGGAGACAGCCATACTTGACAGATTGGGACTACAAACGGTCTGGACCATGATCAGATGTCTGACATCCGTGGGTCTTGTTTGGACTGGGCCCCTAGACTAACATCTAGTTTCTGAAATGAACATAACCTACAGAAAAAGAACAGTTGTTATATTATCTCAATAAAAATATAATATAATATAATATAATAGAGCCCAGAGACACTGCAGTAATCTTGACTTGCCTAACTTGCATGGGCTGTATTGGATATACTGTACTACTGGACCCTATTCCGATGCACGTAAAGCGGAGAATATTGAACAAACCTTGTTCTCTTCTTCAAAAAGTATATCTACTCTGCAAAAGTGATTTTTTTTATGTATATATTTTATGTATATTTTATATATCATTTAAATATTCAACAGATGGTAATGTTTTGTTCGAAATTGGCACACATCGTTGTAATAGACCCAGGTTTCATATGGCACACTAGAACAATAGATTTAAAGTGAAGGTCATCTGCTCAGTATCTTGTATGGCCACCAATAGAGTCCAAAACTGACTGGCATCGTCGTCCCATGTAATGGGAATGATCACCAACTCCGCCTGCAGGGCTTGCCAACTGTCGGAGATTCTGTGGTTGCTGCTGACGTGCTCGCAGTCGTTGATCCAGTGCATCCCATAAATGTTTGATTGGGTTTAAATCTGGAGACCTGGAGTGTAATGGCAGGACCTGGATGTTGTGATTCCTGCAAAAGGATGTTGTCAGTTTTGCCGTGTGAGGTCGGGCGTTGTCTTGTTGGAAATAACGTTCGTTTGTTGCATTATTGGAAGGACGTGTGGCCGAAGAATCTTGTCCGTGTAACGTTGTGCCGTTAAATTCCACAGAACTTGCACCAAGTCTGTTCTACCAGTGTAGGAGATGACTGCCCACATCGCACTACCACCACTGAATCTATCCACTTCCTGTGTGCAGTTTCCTGCATAACGTTCCCCGCGGCGCCTGTAAACATGGCGTATACCATCCTCATGGCGAAGCATAAAACGTGACTCGTCGCTAAACCAAACTTGCCATCGCAGTTGTGACCATGCTCTATGACCCTTGACACCATTGAAGTCCCAGCCAACGATGCAAGTCCGTCAAAATGACACCTCGAACTGGTCGTCTAGCGCGAATACCTTCAGTGCGTGAGCGGTTCCTCACTGTCTGCCTGGGTTGATATCCTACACAACCCTGGTATTGCCGTAGTTGTAGAGGTTGCCGTGGTGGTTTTTTCACGTAAGTGACGTAGCCGTATGCATCTGTCCTGTGCTCTAGTAGCGACAAGTAGCGTGGGATCTGGGAAGGTCACGTGTTGTCCCCTGTGTCTGATAAGGGTTCGACAGTTTTGTAATGGTGCTTTGTCCTACGTGGAAAAACCTGGCGACAACAGAAGATGATTCTCCTGTTTGCGGTCGGCCGATGGCGTTGTTGAGTTTGGCTTCCGTCTGTCGTGGCGTGTTTTCGCTGTTCACTTGCTGTAGGATTGTGATGGCATACAAATGAAAACCCAACGTTTTTATAGCCCACTAAGTGATGTTGCACGTGCATGTCATGTTGGGCTGTTTCGGCACCAGGCTCTCACGTGGTTGTGTTTTTTTGCGATCTGTTCACCAATTTCTGCAGCACCTCATTTTTTCCACACAAATCAACCCCAATCCATACAGAAATGACCAATAATTTTTGGTATTAATTTTGTATAGATGTCGGCATGACTGTCAGATATTTACGATTTTACTACCTTTGCGTTTCTTTCCTATTTTTGAACAGTAAAGTAGTGTATAGAACGAACTGGGCCCCTTCTTGTGCACGTATATCGTAGTGTATAGAACAAACTGGGCCCTTTCTTAAACAAGTATATAGTAGTGTATAGAACAAACTGGGCCACTCCTTATGCACGTATAGAGTAGAGTATTGAATTATTATACGTGTAGAGAATGCGATCGTTGTCACGATTCGCGGGTCAGCGGGATGACAAACAGGTTAAAAGGTTCGCTCGTCACAGCGCAAAGACCTGGGTTCGAGTTCGATCTCGAGTAAATTGTTTGAAGGTCTTTCTTGGCACTTTCGCCGTGATGTGACTGGAATGTTGCGACATAAACACTTACTCGCTCAAACCACATGGCATCATGATAGATGTGTACAACTGCACACACAATCTTCAGTTGCTTTGTTTATACATAACAAAATGATTTCAACAGTAGTGTCATATGTCTGTAGTTAACTCATGCTTCCTCCTTCAGATGACGGGGCCTCCCTCATAGAACGCGCATCTCATAAGGGCATCATTCTCCCCGGTCAAGCCTGGCACACCATCACCCACAACGGCGCCACTGCACGACTCACCTTCCGAATCCGGGTCGTGTGCGACACCCACTACTACAACACAACGTGCACCAAATTCTGTAGGCCTCACAATGACCTGTTCGGACATTACAAGTGCGACTCTAACGGAGACAAGAACTGCATGAATGGCTGGATGGGGCAAGAATGCGAAACAGGTAACCATGGCAACAACCTTGATATTACAGGCGTAGTCAGGGTGGGTCAGGGCATTTTTAGGGTGTGAGAATAAGGAGTGGGTTTAGGTAGGGTTGGAAAGTAATAGAATAAAAGGCAGGTTTTTTATCGTCAAATATATTTTTTCATAACAATAAGGTATTGAACAACACTGACGAGACGAGATATGGAAAATAACATGCATAATACAATCCTGTTTATGAACTTCCAGTCATTGCAGACAGACAGTTTATTTGTATATACCTTACCTTATCAATAGAACTGTTGAGAAATTTTAGTTTACAGTAGGCATGTAATAAAGTCAGTAAGTTTTGCGTCATAGAAACGTCTGTCAAGAGGCGTTTCAAGATTCGACATATTTGAATTGGTTTAGGAAAAGCCCAACAAGCCCATGGCGGTTTCCCGGCGCATCATTAATTATTAAATGATACCGTGTGTCTAACAGTATGGGGCTAATATCAGTTTGAAGTCTTGTAATGTTAAATGCCGCTGAACTATATGTCAAACAACTATTGTTGTGACAAAGCAATGTTTAACATGTTTGACATGTTAGCCATATATTCGATGACATTTGTAAGGCGTATTTACGCTGGGAAATAAAATGATGGCATCAGAAGCCATGATTATTTACTTGGAATCACGAAAAACTTTAAATTTGCTGTAATGGCAGAGTTTGGCCTTCGGGGAAAGAGACGTTGTTTGATGATGCTTTTTTTCTTCTTTCCAGCTATCTGCATACCCGGATGTCACGCAGTTCACGGTTCTTGCGAGAGACCGGGAGAATGCAGGTAGGCCCAGCATGGCGTCACTTCCGGTTGTTGTTAACACCCGTCCTTGGCCCCGGGCCTCTTCAAATTACGTTTCATGTTGGCTAAGGATAATTATCGTTATGTTGTAATTCAGAACATCGATAACTTATTAGAAATGTGTTGTTTGTTGTGGAATGGGTCTTGTGTTTACGTGATGAAAGACGTAATTGGATGTGTGAGTGAAAATTCACTCCACTTTCAACCTCTAACCATGGCTGCTATGCTTGTCATCGAATCACCAACGTATTTGCTTTATTCTTGCTCTATGGGTCAATTACCCGTGGAGAAGTCAGTACTGATGCAACGGTCAGAACCTTACCCTTCACCCCTTGAAGATCCAGACTGGAATTGGTCTTCAGCATCCCATGCTTGTCGTATGAGGAAACTAACGGAATCGGGTGGTCAGGCTCGCTGACTTGGCTAATGCATGTCATCGTACCTCGGTCGCGTAGACCGATGTTCATGATGTCAGTCACTAAATTGTTTGGTCCAGATTCGATTATTTACAGACCACTGGAATATTACTCAGTGGAGTGGTGCGTTAAAGGACAAGCGCATTAAACTCTGTGCTTGATGTTCTTATTGTCTAATGTAGGAGCGGGTGGTTACAGTGTGCAGCCTGGTTGATGGTGTGCGTCGTTCATCATGATATCAACCAGTGGTTTATCTGGTCTAGACTCGATCATTCACAGCCGTCGGAATATAGCTGTGATACTACCGCGCGGGCGTCGCTCAATACCAACCCACATGAATATCCGAAAATCTGGTATATCTGAGAAAATACCATTAAACCTCGTCCTCCCACGCGTGGTTTACGGGAATACCCAGAACACCCGGATGCAACGCATTAACAGTCTTGCTCAACTGCTCAATATGGTGTCGGCACTATATCCTTGGTCGTGGTACACTACTACGACCTGTGGCGTTGAGGCTTCACATTATGCTGATGGGCCGTGCCATAATTGAAACAATGTTCAAAGCGGCGTTAAATCCAATTCACTCACTCACTCATTAAATTATCTCCTCCGCTGCACATGATTAAGTGGATACCCATAAACACATTATGGAGTAGAGAGCCAGCATGATCATCTTCCCGAGGCAAGGGAGTTAACTGACTATAAAAGTCCAGTAGTTTCCACCCTTGCTGAACTAGGCTGGAATTATGGAGTTATGTTTTGGCTGAACTAACAAGCCTATGAATAGTCCAATCAAAATTGCGTAACGAACTAGACATCCGGTTCGTAATAAACATGGATTTCAACGTGCAGATTTCGGTCGACTGCAGGATTTGCAAAGCATGTGTACCGCCAACTGGGCGTCGACAGATATTTTGCAAATTCTTTCATGCTTTTGATCAAGATGATCACGTGATTTGTTGCACTTCGCACCCGTTTTATTACAAAATAAATCTTGATTATCAATCAGATGGTCTTGACTGGGCGTAGCCATTTTGTTTGAAGCAAAAGCATGTGATGTGAGGGATGGAATCTGATTGGTCAGTAGGAGGAACATAGAAGGGACATAACTTATAACAGCCACTGGTGGCGCTACGATCGAGTCCAGAAATTCCAGCCTAGTTCGGCAAGGCTAGAAACTGGACTTTTATGGTCAGTTCACTTCCTTGCCTCGTGAAGATACTTCTCACTGGCTCCCCTACACTACCAGTGTTATTAATGATAGGCGAGATTTGTACTTGCATAATAAGCTTTATTCTGATTTGACTTAACTTAGTTCGCTCGTCACGCCAAATACCCGTGTTCGATTCCCCAAATGGGTTCAATGTGTGAAGCACATTTCTGGTGTCCCTCGTCGTGATATTGCTGGAATATTGCTAAAGACAGCGTAAAACAATAATCAATCAACCACTCACTCTGTCACAATACAGTTACCGTGACGGGTTGTATATGATTATCAAAATATATCATGTCGCGGTATGAGTGAAAGAGTGAGTTAGGTTTAACGCGCTTTGAACAGTATTCCAGTTATGTCACAGCGTGCCATAGGATTATGGCATACGCATGGGACGCGACTCTCTTCAGTGAATTGCTGCGGGCTCAGACATCTGAGCTACCCGTGTCGTGGTATGAAGATAGCAGGTGTCATGTGACACACAATGTTTTCATAAACAATTCGCCACTGGGTGTGGAATGATTGATACTTTCTTTTCTAGATAAGTAGATCTCAGCGTGCTTGGAAGAGTTGTGAATGCAACTTTGGGTGTTTTGGAACCTCACCTGGGTACAATAGTCAATCTCTCACTCACTCAATCACACTCACTCGCTCATCCTCTGGTTTGTCGCCGGGAATAGCTAGCTTCAAGATGTGGCGTAAAACAAAATCCACTCATTCCCTCCGGGTGTCTTTGAAAGTTTTATATTGATGACGCAAATCTGCTGAGCCGTCACTAATTAATGCCGGATAAATAGTTCGGTTCAGAAATTGATACATTCCAATAGACTAACGATGTATGAATATCGTTATCCTCTATACACGCAGTCATAATAGTGAGATCCTGTTCAGAGAAGCGTTAATCAATCACTCACTGACTCACTCATTAAGCTGAAAGGAGGAGAATAAGGTGTTACAGCACCGCGCACCGCGCACCACGCCCCTAATAGTCTTATCCGTAAATAGATTACAGACGGAACGTGGCAGGCCATATTAATATTAGTATGTAAAGACAGAGATGAAAAAGTACCGGCACCAGGGCTGGTTCAGATACAACTTGGCTCCGTCTTTGTTCTGATCTGTTCGACTTGTGAGGCGACAAGAAAAACGGAGAGCCTGGCACCTGCAGTGGTGTGGGGTAGGTGCGTGGATGTAGCACCCTCCACGTGACGCTATTATTTATGTATGTAAACTAATAACCATGAGACGGAGCTCGGTTCTCGCCACACGCTGGATCAACAAGGTCGGTCGACAGGCAGAAATTCCTCTTGGCAATCTGTCACTTCAGACTTGAATAGTGCTATCAAATATTATATTACTTATGAATACAGCTAATGTGATCACGTACTTCACGCAAAGTTCTGCTGTCACCACTGGGTTCTGACAAGCGTGGTGGAACGCTGGTGTTGTGTGCACGGTGCGTGTGCCTACCGACGACTCGGACTTTCCCGTGAGAACCGAGATCGGGTGGACCGGGAAGGATGTTCCTATTGTATACCGATGACCTGGAGGATTAGGTGCTTCAGTCACTCTTCTGGGCTGGGCCATATTTTGTACTCTAATAAACACACAGACAATTGAAGCGCGCCGCATTCTGTAGCTTATCACAATGCGGTGTAACGGTTGCCACTTGGGTGTAGTTTTGAATATAGAAAATTCAAGCCCCCTCATTGTCGAAACGAAGTGAATAGAAAAATACTCTATACATGTAATTATCGAAATTCTATCTCGGCCTCGTCAAACACTTGTCACTGAGTCTTTGATCCTTTGGTGAGTCTACCATGAGGACCCCACACTTCCTGAACCACATCATACCAGGTTATTGCTTCGTTGTACAAGTGACCGCCTTCGTGATCAAGTGGATAGGGCGTCTGTCCGGAAACGGCAGGTCCGGGGTTCGATCCCCGGCCGCGTCATACCAAAAGACATTAAAATATGGTACCTGTTGTAACCCTGTCTGGCGTTCGGCATTAAGGGGCTAAAACAAGGACTGGTCGGCTCGGAGTCAGTATACTGTGTCTGATTGGGGTATCCATGTTAAACTGCGGCATGGTATCTCAGAGGGCTACCATCAGTCCGGACTTGTACAAGCAGCCACACGCGCGCAACAATCTTGGACGCGATGTTAAACCCCATTTCACCCTCACCCCATATACAAGTGTCCGCCTTCGTGGTCTGGTGGATAGTGCGTCTGTCCGTAGAGCGGAAGGTCGGTATTTCGATCCCCGGCTGTGTTATACCACAAGACGTTAAACATTGTACACACACACACACGTGCATGCACATCGCTATATATATAGTGGATTACTCTAGAACGGAACTAGACTGACATTTCTCCACAGAAATCAAGTTATCTTATTTAAAGTTGTCTTTTTTTAAATATATATCTACAATGTAAAAATAATAAAATCCAAATGGAGCCCGGAACAATCCTTAATTTTCCAGAGCTGAGGCAATCTAGACTTGCCAAATCATTCTAGACTTGAGTTGGGCTTCTTTTTTAATGTATTCTCTAGGGTGTGGGAGATAGACTAAATCTGGTCAAGTTCAAACTGTTCCCCAGTAAATGAGATCCCAGGTTAAACTTGTCACTACCGGGCGTGAGCTGTGCGAGTCTGAGGCAGCATAGTGTCGACTTGTTTTAAACATTGCTTGTTACAATGTGCGACCTGACCGATAGAGTGTTCGTCAACTGTATGAATCGAAGGTTTTTCGATACCGGACTTTGGTGCAAACAGTACCCCCGTTAAATGTTGCACAGTCACCCACTTTCAGGTTCAGACAAAGATAATGAATTCCCGTGAAGATCCGGGGTAGAATTGGTCTTCAGCAACCCATGCTTGTCTCCTCCCGTGAAGATCCGGGTTAGAATCGGTCTTCAGCAACCCATGCTTGTCGTAAAAGGTGACTATGCTTGTAAGAGGCGGCTAACGGGACCAGGTGGTCAGGCTCGCTGACTTGTGCTTGTAAGAGGCGGCTAACGGGACCAGGTGGTCAGGCTCGCTGAGTTGTGCTTGTAAGAGGCGGCTAACGGGATCAGGTGGTCAGGCTCGCTGACTTGTGCTTGTAAGAGGCGGCTAACGGGACCAGGTGGTCAGGCTCGCTGAGTTGTGCTTGTAAGAGGCGGCTAACGGGATCAGGTGGTCAGACTCGCTGACTTGTGCTTGTAAGAGGCGGCTAACGGGACCAGGTGGTCAGGGTCGCTGAGTTGTGCTTGTAAGAGGCGGCTAACGGGACCAGGTGGTCAGGCTCGCTGACTTGTGCTTGTAAGAGGTGGCTAACGGGACCAGGTGGTCAGGCTCGCTGAGTTGTGCTTGTAAGAGGCGGCTAACGGGATCAGGTGGTCAGGCTCGCTGACTTGTGCTTGTAAGAGGAGGCTAACGGGACCAGGTGGTCAGGCTCGCTGACTTGTGCTTGTAAGAGGCGGCTAACGGGACCAGGTGGTCAGGGTCGCTGAGTTGTGCTTGTAAGAGGCGGCTAACGGGACCAGGTGGTCAGGCTCGCTGAGTTGTGCTTGTAAGAGGCGGCTAACGGGACCAGGTGGTCAGGCTCGCTGAGTTGTGCTTGTAAGAGGCGGCTTACGGGATCAGGTGGTCAGGCTCGCTGACTTGTGCTTGTAAGAGGCGGCTAACGAGATCAGGTGGTCAGGCTCGCTGACTTGTGCTTGTAAGAGGCGGCTAACGGGATCAGGTGGTCAGGCTCGCTGACTTGTGCTTGTAAGAGGCGGCTAACGAGATCAGGTGGTCAGGCTCGCTGACTTGTGCTTGTAAGAGGCGGCTAACGGGATCAGGTGGTCAGGCTCGCTGACTTGTGCCTGTCATCGTATTTCCCATTGTGGAAGTCGATTGTCGTGATGTCAGTCACTGAATTGTCTGGTCCCGATTGGAGTATTTACAGGCCGCCGTCATACAGGTGGAATTTCGCTGAGTGCAGCGATAAACAAACGAAAGAATGAGTCCATTCTTAAAGTTCTCTGAAACTAACATATGAAACATTTACCATTAACCGATGTCACGGAGCTAGTCGATTTAGTGTTAAATTTCAGACGTGTTGGCTGCAAAAATGGAGGTTATATTTTGGAAGCGTTCATGTGCCAAATATGTTCTTCATACTCCCGCTTTTTGAACTCTTCCGTTGTATTAACAATACATATCAGCAGACACCATAAAGTAGAATATATCTATTTTATGGTCTCTGATTTCAGACACAACCAAGTTACGTCTTGATACGGGACGGGGCGGCCGGGTAGCCTTGTGGTTAAAGCGTTAGCTCGTCATCCCGACATCGGTACAATGTGTGATGCCCATTTCTGGTGTCCCCCGCCGTGATATTGCTGGAATATTGCTAAAAGCGGCGTAAAACCACACTTTCTCACTCACTCACTTGATACAGGACAAACGCGTTACATATTCTACTTGTTTTGTTCGAAATATTCTTATTGGATGTCCGCATTGGGCACCTCGATGGAATGAGTGGTAGTTGTTGAACGCCGCAGTCGTTAATATTCCAGTTATGTGACCGCGGTCTGTAAGCAGCCGAGCCTGTACCAGCCAAACCAGTGACTGAAAAGTAACTGTGCATGTCATCGGGAACTTACGATAGTCATAGTGCTAACATCGCTTCGTGGAACGGGGCCCAGTATAGGTTGTTTGGTGGAGAGCAGCGCTCACTCTCTCGCCGTTAAAGGCGACTGACTATGCGTGTCGTAAGAGGCGACCTATGGAATCGGGTGGTCAGACTCGCTGACTTGGTTGATGCATGTCATCGGATCCCAAATGCGTGGATCGATGCTCATGATGTCAGTCACTGGAGAATCAGGTCCAGACTCAATTATTAACAGACGGCCGTCATATAGCTGGAATATTGCTGAGTGCGGCGTTAAACAACAAACCAACACTTACTTATATTTTTCAAGAATCGTAAGCAATATCCAGACACGAAACCTGTGCATACCTTTTTATTGTGCAACACTCGCTCATATGTATTTATTCATGTTTTTAATTACTGATTTGAACAATGTTCTGTTGGGTAACGGTTTAGGAGTTATTCATCGTTGATGTGTGACACATGCGCGTTGTTTTACAGGTGCGCCTACGGGTGGCAGGGCGACCTCTGTGATCAGTGTATCCCGTACCCGGGGTGTAGGCACGGCTCTTGTAATGGCTCTCCGTGGCAATGTGTCTGTCATCTCAACTGGGGAGGCATTCTATGTGACAAAGGTGGGTGTGGCACACTTGCGTCATTAGTGGCATTATTGTAGAAACGAGGCTCCGACCAAACGCAGACACAACCCAAAAACACACACGGCACATACAAGACACAAAGCAAGCAAACAAAAACAAACACACTCGCACGCGCGCACATACACGTTCGGCACATTCAAAGCACAGGACAAAAACCAATGGGAAATTGCGCATGATGTGACCCCCAAGAACATATCAATCCCTACCATTTCTCTGTTCGTGTCGCCGTTACTTTATGTCACGTGTTAAGTCTTTGCTTGGGAAGAACTTCTGTAATTTTTTATTCATGGCCAAATTTCATGCCCTGTTTATTTCTCAAACAAATCCAACTGATTTGTCTTTGATTTATGGGGTCTGTGACTGATGGAGGGTTTGAAATATTTACAATTTAATTCAAAGTCGGTAAATATTTGATGTGACTTCAGACGGGAACGAGGCTGTTAATTGTTGTCGGGTTAAAGTCATGTCAGCATGAGCAAACGGCATACTACTACCGGGGGTGCATCACACAAGAGCCAGCACGTGCAGGACTGTTTATAGTGGAACCATTGCATAAATGATATATCTCACTGGTCACGGCAGTGCTCATTTATATGGATGGCTGTATCTTGCAAGAGTGTGAGCTGCAGCACCAGCGTCTCTCCTTTCGTCTCTGGGTTAGGCCATATTTAGAATCAGACACCCTCAACTAAAGTTTGGTGGGGACACTAGTGAGATATTCTGTTTCTGAGTTCTGTTGACAATGATGGGAATCTCCTCTGGGGTTCTCTTTAATTAAAAGGATTTTTTTTCTTTTCTGGTTGGCAATAAAGGAAATATTTTTTTACTCATTTTATACAAAACATGGAATCGTCCTTGTATTCTGTTGGCAATAGAGGAATTATTTTGGACCCAGTTTATTTGGTCTGGGAGGGAAGGTAACGATTTTACTTTTTCCCCTGAAACAGCTTTTTACAAATTAATCTATTTTATTTCCCAGTGTGACAATACGATTTAGGTATTACTATTCCTACTACTGAGCCCACGGTTTAGGAAAAAATATCCCTAAACGAAATAATTACAAAAAGAGACCAAGCATAATGTTAAGACGAGCTTCTCCAAGTTTCCTTTAAATGAGGATAAGTTTGAATATCTTGATTCCATTTTCAGATCTCAACTTCTGTGGCCGCCATCATCCTTGTCGCAACGGCGGTCTGTGTCGTAACATCAACCCCGATGAGTATGCATGTACTTGTCCCAAAGGCTTCTCGGGAAGGAACTGTGAAATAGGTAGGCGCAACTCTGATTGTAAGCTCCTGTCTGCCAAAGGTTTGGTTGGATTGGCCCAACCGCCTTTGGTGATTTTTCTAATGTCTATAATTCAAAGATTACTGACAATACATATTCTTTTGGTACATGTCAATGTCAAAGGTCAAGGTCATGAGATCGAAGTAAAGTTTGTTGGATACCTTTCACATTAAACTTGCTAAACGTCCTCTGTAATTTCAGGTTTTTGTAAAACAGGGTTTTATTATTGTCAGTTTCTAGGCATGTTGACCTCTATAGGCATGAAAGTTTAGATTTGAATACATACATGTGCCATGTCAACTGCACTTATGTCAAAGGTCAAGGTCACCTTTGAGGTAATTTGTAATGTACATGTACTAATAAACTGTCTGTAAATGTATTTGTATCACTCTTTCCTTTGGATGTTCTGCAAGGATTATTGATGTTAGTTATTCTACAATGGACTTATTCCACCTGAACTTTTGGAATTCTTTTGTCATGTTTTATGGGAAGGTCAAAGGTCAAGGCCATGAGATGCAAAAATCTGCAGATAGAAAAGACATTTGTGGTTACAGTAATCCAAAGTATTAGTGCATTTATCATTAAATTATGTATATACCTTCTTTAGGATGGGGCCAGCTTGGGAAATGTTTAGGTCAAATTAAGTCAAGGTCAGTGTTCAGGTTTTAGTGAAATAGTTATATCATGGTCACTCGAATGCTATAGGTCAGGGGCAGACTAATTCATGCAATTTTTCCCTCTTTATCAACAGTGCCATGTGTGTTTATGTCTATTTATTCCCCACCAGCTGACCATGCATGTACATCGTCACCATGTGTGAATGGGGGCAAGTGTGTGGAGATACACACCGGCTTTGTCTGCAACTGCCCTCCCGGCTGGACCGGTACCAAGTGTGACATCAGTAAGTATATCAAGTAGTTATTCCCTGGTCTTCTAAAGTGGGGATATATTCTGTAGTTATTCCCTGGTCTTCTAAAGTGGGGATATATTCTGTAGTTATTCCCTGGTGTCCAGAAACAGGGAGAGATAATGAGGGTGTTACTTGGTCCTGCAGCAGCTAGATAAGCTGAAGTAATGAGAGTCATCCACTGCATTACTAACCAAAAACCTGTTGAAACTTGATTAATTTATGGATGTATTATTTCCCTTTACTATTGCTAGTTTCACTAGCAAAACAGATGCATCCTTTTCCGTAGAAAGAAAAAAAAATGAAGTGAAAGAAAAATTGTTTTCAAGGGGTTACATTTATTTCCCTTGCCTAATTGCGTATCTTTGAAGTATTTTCTTTCATTTATTTTTTGGGGAATACTGTTGTTCAGATTAATTAATTAATTGTATTTCACATTTTTTCCATTTTGGATGATCTGTTGTCCGAAATTAGTACAGAAAAGTAAAAAATTAATTAAATATAAACTATTGAAAATCTTTAAAAATGAGTAAATCTTTAGTGACAGAAAAAGATATAAATATATCTTGTGCAATTGATCTGCAATTTGTCAAGGATTCAGGTTGAAGTAAAATGTAAGTGGCAAATTATATCTGATGCAGTTTTCAATCGAATTTAGTCCCTTTCCCCAAAACATTATTAGTTCTCTCTCCCCACCCCACAGCCTGTTCGTCTTTCCGTCTGTCCATCTGTCAGCCGTCCTTTTTCCATTTCTGGAGCAGAACTCCACAAACGTTGAAAATTTCTTTTTGAAACTTGCTACACAGATCAGTCTAGTGATGAACTGGTGTCTTTTAATGTTTTGGGATTTTTATTTTTATTTTATGTTTCCATGACGAAAAGTTGGATTTTACTGCAAAATGAGGGAAGTGCTCATTTCCTGCGCAGAACTCCAAAAATGTTGAATCTTTCTTGATGAAACTTGCTATACAGATCAGTGATCAACTCTTGGCTTTTTGGGGGATATTAAAAAATTATTTTTACTTCACTGAACTGACGTATCCAATGGAAATGAATCAAAAGTGGGGTATAAGTAGCCAAACTCTCTTTCTTAATTGCACCAGACCGAGGGGATATGTCATCTCCTGATGACTTGTTTTTTATTACCATGGAGAGAAATATAATGAATGAGGTTTACAATGAGCATGAATATTCAACCCTGAGGCCTCTTGAGTCACCTGTACGTTTATTTATTCCAGGAACCAAGATGTTAGTTTAACCTTTTCTCCATCACTATCCCCAGGACTTTATCAAGTCAAATTATTTCTCATGTCATTAATTATTCATTATCTATTCAAAGAAAGTAATTATGCTTGCTGTGTATGTGCAGATGTTAACGAGTGTGCATCCAATCCATGTCTCCACAATGGTACCTGTGTTGACCAAGACAACAGCTACGACTGCGAGTGCCCCGAGGGGTGGCAGGGGCCCCACTGTCAGCTGGATGCGGACGAGTGCAGTGGCAGTCCGTGTGTCAACGCGTACGCATGTCACAACCTGGTTGGAGGCTACACATGTGACTGTCAGCCTGGTTGGACAGGGAAGAGATGTGATCAAAGTGAGTTCCTGGAGATTCCCAGGAATTTGTGACAATATATAAATTTACTTTGTTACAATTTGGATGAATGCTAAATACTTTTGAAGTGGCATTTGTGTGAATGTTTGATAAACACAATACAATCAATGAAAAAAGATTGAATAAAAGCATATTTTTTTAATTTTCATTTTAAATTTATCAAAAAGTAATGGTTTATTGATTGAAATTTACAAGACATTACATATGACAAAAATGCTGCATATAATGTAATATATTCAAAGATTTATCATAAATGTTTATTTAATTTCATGCTTATTCATATTGTCATTTACCGTAATCGACATAATAAGTGCCCAGGGCTCTCTCAAAATTAGAAATAGGGGGCTCTTATTTGAATAATATTTTGGTGGGGAAAAAACAGAGTTGAAAGATCGTAAAATTTCGTGCTTTATGCTGACAGCCTGAAATGTTTATGTACTATGAATATATTTTTCCAGGATTTAATTGCCCATAATTAGGGGTGCATATAACACATGAGTGCGTATTATACACGAATAAATAAATCTTGTGTACATTGATCAATTGGAAGGTTGCTAATTGAGATTGTTCACTAGTGAATATATTAGCTTATATTGGCATGGGTGCTTATTAGAGCGGGGCGCTTATTACATCGAATATGGTAAACATATTTAAGACAGCTAATTATCAGTAAAAACAAATGACATGATATGATAGAGGCAGTGTGTGTAATTTTGTCTGATAGCATTCAATGATATTTTTTGTTTAAACCTGAAATAACTATAAATTTAAAAACTTATTCCTGATATTATGATATTAATGACGTTGTCTTGCTCTGCTCCACAGATGTGGATGACTGTGCTGCTGTCAAGTGTCTTAATGGTGCATCGTGTGTGGTGAGTGATCACAAACCTGGTCAGTGTCGGACAGAACCATAGCAAGGATTCTCAAACCCCCAAGAGTTATCTCCCTTCTCTTTCAACCCACACTTCTGGTACAACAGTGTGTTGCGCATATGATTAAAACATTGTTTATCTTATATAGGATCACTATATCTCCACTGTAGGTCTACCCTATGACACTTCCAGCGCAGAGGTGACTTACGGCAATGCTTAACACAAACGTCATCAGGTTAGGACCGACCATTTGATATTCTAGGGGAAGCACACGATTTGGTATGTAGACTAGATACTTTTCCCGCTAAAGTTGCAAAACCAGATATTATTGTAATTAAAACTTTGACCCTTAATTATTATTTTTTGTAAAACATCTTGCGACAAATTAGTTTTTGTGGCAGACAATGTATAATTTTTTTCCAGCATAAAATCGCCCTTCCCCCCCCTTCCTGCCAAGTGGCTAGTCAGATTACCTTAAACTGTCCAGATGTTTTATAGAGGATGTACTCCTCAGGTCCCTTGGATTCATTCTTTTGGATTCCTTCTGTGTGGCGACTAATGAGATCGGGTGGTCAGGCTCGCTGACTTGGTTGATGCATGTCATCAATCCCAATTGCGTGGAACGATGCTCATGATATTAATCACTGGATTGTTTGGGCCAGACTTGATTATTTACAGACTGCCGTCATATAGATGGAGTGCGGCATGAAACAACAAACAGACGAACAAAGTCCTTCTGTGTGTTTCAGGACTTGGTGAATGGTCACTACTGTGCGTGTATCCCAGGATACACTGGGGCTCGGTGTCAGATCGAGATCAACGAGTGTGCAAGTAACCCGTGTCGGAATGGAGCCACGTGCCGCAACCAGCTGGCTGCCTACTCCTGCGACTGCCATGATGGCTACACTGGGGTCAACTGTGAGGTAAGGGTTCGTGGAATGCATACAGGTCGTGGGATGCATACGGGTCGTGGGATGCATACTGGTTGTGGGATGCATACGGGTCGTGGGATGCATACAGGGCGTGGGGATGCATACGGGTCGTGGGATGCATACGGGTCGTGGGATGCATACGGGTCGTGGGATGCATACAGGGCATGGGGATGCATACAGGGCGTGGGGATGCATACGGGTTGTGGGATGCATACAGGGCGTGGGATGCATACGGGGCGTGGGATGCATACGGAGCGTGGGATGCATACGGGTTGTGGGATGCATACGGGGCGTGGGATGCATACGGGGCGTGGGATGCATACAGGGCGTGGGGATGCATACGGGTTGTGGGATGCATACAGGGCGTGGGGATGCATACGGGTTGTGGGATGCATACAGGGCGTGGGATGCATACTAATTCTAATTCTAAGCTGACAAGATCTGTGAGCCTGAAGTGTATTGGATGACTATATATGATGTTGTATTGCGCCTGCAGATTGATATGGACCCCTGCAACCCCAACCCCTGCAAGCACGGGTCCAGCTGCTTCAACATCCAGGGCGACTTCTACTGCCACTGTCGTGACGGGTTTGACGGCAAGGACTGCTCCCAGATGCGATCTACATGTGCAGAACAGTCGTGTGAAGGTCACTGTTCTCTCCGAGTTCCATCAGTCAATCATGTTCTGTTACCTTCTATCTCCACATTTACTTCTCCTTCAGCTGACTCGGCTCCAGCTGAGGGGCCGATAATTTAATACAGGGTTTGTTTGATGCACCAATGTGCCGATCCACTAATGTTTGTCACGTTTTGGGATGACCCTCCCCTGATTCCCTCTGACACCCACAATAAAGGACCAGTCCCTAAAAGAGTTATTGTTTGTCCCTGTTGTCCTTCCAGGTAGATTAGGGGCGAACGGGTAGCCTAGTGGTTAAAGCGTTTGATAGTCACGCCGAAGACCCGGGTTTGATTCCCGACATGGGTACAATGTGTGAAGCCCATTTCTGGTGTACCCCACTGTGATATTGCTGGAATATTGCTAAAAGCGCGCGTAAAACCATACTCACTCACTTACTCACTCACTCCAGGTAGATTACATTTACAAATCCTTGAAAACAAGCAATTACATTTATCTGGACATATTACTCCTTTCCATTCCCAACAAACTTCAGCTTGAAACAAATGCCAGGTTTATACACAAGACAAAATCTCAACAATTTGGTCAAAGGACTGCGTTTCTACAGTTGTTGCCTTGTCTCCTCCAGTGATTGACAGTTGCACCATTTCCATCCCGTCGAACGAGTCCGTGGGCGGGTTCCGCCTCATCTCGTCCAGCGTCTGCGGCCACCACGGCATCTGCATCAGCCAACCCAGCGGCCGCTTCTCGTGTGCGTGTGAGACGGGGTACACAGGAACCTACTGTCACGAGAGTAAGTCTGTCGTTGTTTGAATTCATTTTGTCCTATTCTATTTTGCTAAATGTTGTGATGATTGTCTGCAAACTGATACATTCTAGTTTTATTCAGTCACATATTGATAATGATTTCAAATAACATAAATATCAGACATTTTCCTATCAACAATCCATCTGAACCATCTATAAGTTGGTTACTACATATTTTGTTCTGGTGAAGATGTGCAGCAAACTTAATTTGCTTAGAATTTATGGAAGTAACTTCATGTGTTATGATGCAAACCAGTTGATATTGTCATCTTGTGTCTTGTTGTGTCTTGTTGTGTCATGTGGTGTCTTGTGTCATGTTGTGTCATCTTGTGTCATGTTGTGTCTTGACAGATGTGATTCAATTTTTCAGACATAGACGACTGTGCCAGCAACCCTTGTCAGAACAATGGGACGTGCATCGACGGCGTCAACTCCTACCAGTGCATCTGCATGGACGGCTGGGAAGGGGCGCTCTGCAATATCAGTAAGTGGGCATGCACGCTTCAACTGGGGATTGGATGATTAAAAATTGGAATTTGGCAGTTATGACATGGGGATTGGGGGGTAATGAAATGGGATTGTGGGGTAATGAAATGGATTGGGTGGTAGTGAAATGGGATTGGGTGGTAGTGAAATGGGGATTGGGTGGTAGTGAAATGGGGATTGGGTGGTAGTGAAATGGGGATTGGTACAATAACATGGGGATTGGGTGGTAGTGGAATGGGGATTGGTACAATAACATGGGGATTGGGTGGTAGTGAAATGGGGATTGGTACAATAACATGGGGATTGGGTGGTAGTGAAATGGGGATTGGGTGGTAATGAAATGGGATTGGGTGGTAGTGAAATGGGGATTGGGTGGTAGTGAAATGGGATTGGGTGGTAGTGAAATGGGGATTGGGTGGTAGTGAAATGGGGATTGGGTGGTAGTGAAATGGGGATTGGTACAATAACATGGGCATTGGGTGGTAGTGGAATGGGGATTGGTACAATAACATGGGCATTGGGTGGTAGTGGAATGGGGATTGGGTGGTAGTGAAATGGGGATTGGGTGGTAGTGGAATGGGGATTGGTACAATAACATGGGCATTGGGTGGTAGTGGAATGGGGATTGGTACAATAACATGGGCATTGGGTGGTAGTGGAATGGGGATTGGGTGGTAGTGGAATGGGGATTGGGTGGTAGTGGAATGGGGATTGGTACAATAACATGGGCATTGGGTGGTAGTGGAATGGGGATTGGGTGGTAGTGGAATGGGGATTGGTACAATAACATGGGCATTGGGTGGTAGTGGAATGGGGATTGGGTGGTAGTGAAATGGGGATTGGGTGGTAGTGAAATGGGGATTGGTACAATAACATGGGCATTGGGTGGTAGTGGAATGGGGATTGGTACAATAACATGGGCATTGGGTGGTAGTGGAATGGGGATTGGGTGGTAGTGGAATGGGGATTGGGTGGTAGTGGAATGGGGATTGGTACAATAACATGGGCATTGGGTGGTAGTGGAATGGGGATTGGGTGGTAGTGGAATGGGGATTGGTACAATAACATGGGCATTGGGTGGTAGTGGAATGGGGATTGGGTGGTAGTGAAATGGGGATTGGTACAATAACGTGGGGATTGGGTGGTAGTGGAATGGGGATTGGGTGGTAGTGAAATGGGGATTGGTACAATAACGTGGGGATTGGGTGGTAGTGGAATGGGGATTGGGTGGTAGTGAAATGGGGATTGGTACAATAACGTGGGGATTGGGTGGTAGTGGAATGGGGATTGGGTGGTAGTGAAATGGGGATTGGTACAATAACGTGGGGATTGGGTGGTAGTGGAATGGGGATTGGGTGGTAGTGAAATGGGGATTGGTACAATAACGTGGGGATTGGGTGGTAGTGGAATGGGGATTGGGTGATTTCTCTACTCCATCCCCTTCCCATCCTCCTCCTATCTCCCTCCTCCTCCTTTCTCCCTCCTCCTCCTTTCTCCCTCCTCCTCCTTTCTCCCTCCTCCCCCTCACAGTTTGATACAGCCATGCCTTGCCTCCACAGACCGCAATGACTGTGAGACCAACCCTTGCCGTAATGGTGGCTCGTGTGTGGATGACTTCGGCCAGTTTGTGTGCCAGTGTATCAATGGCTGGAAGGGCAAGACCTGCACTCTCAGTAAGTCACTTACATTCTAACTACCTCTTCTTCCATAAGCGAGTCTGTCGCTTCAGGACACCCTGCAGGGATTTCGGGTTGAAAAATGTCCATAGCAACCTATGCTGGTCGTAGGATGTGACATATGGATCAGCTGGTTGGTGATTTAGCTGATTATGTGTTATCGTACCCCAACAGCAGGAATCTTTGCTCACATTATCACTGGATTGTCTGATTATCAATTATCCAGACTTGTTTATTTACAGGCCTTAAACAACAAACGGGGCATTCGGGTAGCCTAGTGGTTAAAGCGTTCGCTCGTCACGCCGAAGACCCGGGTTCGATTCCCGACATGGGTACAATGTGTGAAGCCCATTTCTGGTGTCCCCTGCCGTGATATTACTGGAATATTGCTAAAAACGGCGTAAAACCATACTCACTCACTCAAACAACAAACAAAATACTTTTCTGTTATGTTAGAGTTCTTAATGAAAGTATTTATAACTGTTCGTCTTGTAAGGAGATGAGACGTGGATAATGCTTGGTATAATCACGGACTGTCAAGTGTTGTGAAAAGGAACTGGGTTTTATCTTTTCCCTCCAAATGTAAAGCTTCTCTGAGAATGCTGGTATAGTATATCTGACTCAAGACTTGCATCTTCAAATTTGATTCACTGTCTGACAGAATTATGGTGATTTTATGAGAGCTTCAAGGAATTTCTTTTCCTTTCCTATAAACAGTTTCATTTTATGACATTGCTTATCGACTAAAACACCAACAACAGCATTTCTTCATATAACAGGAAGTTTTTCCTGTAGATAATGTTAACTGTGGTGTTGAAACTCACACATACTTGTCCTATAGTTCCCAGGAATGTTCAGCCCCTCGTCACTCTAGGCTCTCCTCCCACAAGCTGGAAAAGTGCTGGAGTCTTCCTAAGCTTTGCAAACCCCAATCACAAACGGATTGGCTTGACATACAAGGGCATCTAGTTATCCCGATGTACATTGAGACATGTGTTCTTCCAGCTGACAGCCACTGTGACGACACCACCTGCTCCAACGGAGGCAGCTGCGCGGACGTGGGCAACACCTTCGCCTGTGACTGCCAGGATGGCTGGGTGGGGAACACCTGTCAGAGGCGTATGTATGGCTGTCTATACCCCCTCACGCCACCTTCCCTGTACCAGATGTCTATACCCCCTCACGCCACCTTCCCTGTACCAGATGTCTATACCCCCTCACGCCACCTTCCCTGTACCAGATGTCTATACCCCCTCACGCCACCTTCCCTGTGCCAGATGTCTACCCCCTCACGCCACCTTCCCTGTGCCAGATGTCTACCCCCTCACGCCACCTTCCCTCCCTCACGCCACCTTCCCTGTACCAGATGTCTATACCCCCTCACGCCACCTTCCCTCCCTCACGCCACCCTCCCTGTATGGCTGTCTATACCCCCTCACGCCACCCTCCCTGTATGGCTGTCTGTACCCCCTCACGCCACCCTCCCTCCCTCACGCCACCCTCCCTGTGCCAGATGTCTATACCCCCTCACGCCACCCTCCCTCCCTCACGCCACCCTCCCTGTGCCAGATGTCTATACCCCCTCACGCCACCTTCCCTGTGCCAGATGTCTATACCCCCTCACGCCACCCTCCCTGTGCCAGATGTCTACCCCCTCACGCCACCTTCCCTGTACCAGATGTCTACCCCCTCACGCCACCTTCCCTGTACCAGATGTCTACCCCCTCACGCCACCTTCCCTGTACCAGATGTCTACCCCCTCACGCCACCTTCCCTGTACCAGATGTCTACCCCCTCACGCCACCTTCCCTGTACCAGATGTCTATACCCCCTCACGCCACCTTCCCTGTACCAGATGTCTATACCCCCTCACGCCACCTTCCCTGTACCAGATGTCTACCCCCTCACGCCACCCTCCCTGTTCCAGATGTCTATACCCCCTCACGCCACCTTCCCTGTGCCAGATGTCTACCCCCTCACGCCACCTTCCCTGTACCAGATGTCTACCCCCTCACGCCACCTTCCCTGTACCAGATGTCTATACCCCCTCACGCCACCTTCCCTGTGCCAGATGTCTATACCCCCTCACGCCACCTTCCCTGTGCCAGATGTCTACCCCCTCACGCCACCTTCCCTGTGCCAGATGTCTACCCCCTCACGCCACCTTCCCTGTGCCAGATGTCTACCCCCTCACGCCACCTTCCCTGTACCAGATGTCTACCCCCTCACGCCACCTTCCCTGTGCCAGATGTCTACCCCCTCACGCCACCCTCCCTGTACCACATGTCTACCCACCCAACACCTCCCCTGTGCCAAATCTCTACCCACCCAACACCTTCCCTGTGCCAGATGTCTACCCACCCAACACCTTCCCTGTGCCACATGTCTACCCACCCAACACCTCCCCTGTGCCAAATGTCTACCCACCCAACACCTTCCCTGTGCCAGATGTCTACCCACCCAACACCTTCCCTGTGCCAAATGTCTACCCACCCAACACCTCCCCTGTGCCAAATGTCTACCCACCCAACACCTTCCCTGTACCAAATGTCTTCCCACCCAACACCTCCCCTGTGCCAAATGTCTACCAACCCAACACCTTCCCTGTACCAAATGTCTACCCACCCAACACCTTCCCTGTACCAAATGTCTACCCACCCAACACCTTCCCTGTGCCAAATGTCTACCCACCCAACACCTCCCCTGTGCCAAATGTCTGCACAACTTATTGTCTCACCCAATCAATGTGCCAATGATAAATGTTTGGTAGCAGGAGATAACAGGCCAATAATGGTTTGAAGAAGACCATCACAAATTTGTTCCAAGTCATCAATGCTGGCATACTATTTTTTTGTGGTTTTAATTGTTCATTAACATTATATTGCTTGACAAAGGTATAAGAATCTATACCGAAAGGGGACCTTTACAGTAAATAAAGAAGTTGTTATCCATAAATTGTGTCTACTTTATTATATTTCAATTTGTCATATTTTCTGTAGCGTCTGGTGGAGTATTTTATGACAAACAATATCATATGTCTTTTAACATTGGGTATGGTATAGATTATCAGTCTGTCATGTGACCCTAACAGACCTGTTTTGGCCTCTCCTAGCATCAATATCAGAGGCCTTGGACCCATGCCAAGTCCAATATGAAAACATCAGTGCAATAACATAACAGTACATGTGTGATGTTGCAGCGGCGGTGTACAGCTGCGACTCCTCCCCATGCCGCTACGGCGGCACCTGTGTCAACAGTGGCGACAGCTTCACCTGCATCTGCCGCGATGGCTACGAGGGGCAGACCTGTGAGAAAAACATCAATGACTGCAACCCGTTTCCATGGTGAGTTTGTAAACACAGACAGAGTGAACAAAAGGAGAATATCATCCAAGCTGAGTGCAAAATCATCATCTGCTGGAAGCAGTCATAAAATCATCCTCGTCCCACTAGGCTCTGAGGATTCCAGCATGCCCTTTTAAGTGGTGGAAGGTGAATATGATAGGTTCCAGTTGAAAGAGAGGCTGTTTTGTGTCACTACCTGTCGTTCCACTGCAGTCTAGCAGAATCAGCTAGACATCTGGACACCCGAGACATGACCATCTATCTGTCATTCCCTATGATACAGCGACACTTACACCCAAGTAAAACACTTAATGATAGAAATATTGTGGGTTTAACAGTTTTCAAAAGCCAGGGTTTTCTAACCTTCACACTGCATGGACTGAGAGTGTTTACTAATAGTTGTAATACTTGTTTCAGCTACAATGGTGGTACGTGCATCGATGACGTTAACTGGTACGTGTGTCGCTGTGCCAGGGGGTTCTCCGGTCCGGACTGTCGTGTCAGTAAGTGCCGTCTACAGTAGGTCAACGGGGCAGGCTATGTAAGCAGTGTACATTTGCAGAGATCACAAACATGGGTATTGGTAGATGGCCTCATAACTCAATGAAATGGATTGTACGAGCAGTCGATGGCCTCGTAACCCAACAACATGGATTGTGGCCTGCTCCATGCTCTGACAGCTTTAACTCTTGCTCTGTTCTAACAATCCTCATGATTCTAAATATAATGTAAAGTATACTAATTACATCAATTTCAATTTTCATTATGTTGATTTTGTTGCAACATCTTGATTCTTGATATGGATGTTCTGTTCTAAATTGGTATGTACGTTATCATAATGATTAATAAAATAATGGTAAATGTTGCCTCCTGCAGATATCAACGAGTGTGCCTCCAGTCCGTGCACTTATGGCAGCACATGTATTGATGGCATAGGAGAGTTCACCTGTATCTGCCCCCCTGGGAGGACCGGAGACAGGTGTCAGACAGGTATGCCTGGGGGTACTTGCACACTTTCAAGGGGAAAAGTGGGAGGGGACATTGGTTTATACACCTGCATCATGTCTTTCATGCAGCTAGTTACGTAACAAGCAGAATAGCGACTCGTGCCCCTCTCAGGACCATTTTTGCGACCGAGTTCCGTCTTGGCGCAAACGGGCATACCTAAAACAATTGTCAACTTGTTGCGTAATGGTTCACATATATTTCCCCATATATTATATATATTTCAGATGCAATTAAAAGCACATCTGGACAGGCAGAATTATACAGTATGATTGAACACATTTAACTGTGTCTAGGGTATATTTTTAAATGCAAGACATATGTAAAATCAAAAATAATTTCTGAGGGATTCTTTGACGAAGAACTTGATATCATACGCGCATTCTGATTGGTTTGTCATATTTTTTTCATCGATAGGGGCGAGTGGTGACGAATGCAGTGTTATAAGGGAGCTGCCATTTGATTTTTAGGGTGGTGGGGGAGGGATTTTTATTTGAGATCTGCATCCTTTTTGGATGTTTAGGAACTCAATTGTTATCTTTGTAATAAATACAAATAGCAAACTGTATTCTTCGTACGCTTGTTTGCAAAAAAAGGGCTCATTACTATTTTCATGTAATGTAAAGCAGGTGTACAAACATTTCAGTAAAACAGGGGCTATATTATTTTTGTACATACTTGGTAAAGTAAGTATGTGATGGGGTACGTTTCCTGAACAATGTGTTTTCGTTTGTTGCACATACAAGCATTTCATTCCAACAAATAGGTTTATACTTCTGTTAATAGGCGTCATTGTTTCTTCAGATCATTGTTTCTTTAGATCATTGTTTCTTCAGATCATTGTTTCTTCAGATCATTGTTTCTTCAGATCATTGTATCTTCAGATCATTGTTTCTTCAGATCATTGTTTCTTCAGATCATTGCATCTTCAGATCATTGTTTCTTCAGATCATTGTTTCTTCAGATCATTGTTTCTTTAGATCATTGTTTCTTCAGATCATTGTTTCTTCAGATCATTATTTTAGGGCAAAATGTCTTGACATTTTTGGAGAAAGTTTTCATGGATGAATAATGTTTTAACTGCTTGCATAATTTCATAAAGCCAAAAGGCAAATTAATCCACTCCCGGTGTTTTTCTGTACAGTGATTGGCCAGATTGCTTCCCCCAATTCGTGTGTTCACGACCGGCGTATTTACGGTGACGGGAGCCAGTGGGAGCACCAGTGTAACTCGTGTATCTGTGACAATGGCAAGGTCACCTGCAGCAAGGTGAGACATGTGACATTGACATACTGTCAGCACAGCTCCTGTGTCTGTCTTTTAGATAAAGTCTGCGACCAGTGTTGTTCCTATATCCATGACAATTATCAGGCATGCCAATACAGGAGATGGCATGCACACTACAGGAGATGGCATGCCAATACAGGATCAGGCATGCCAATACAGGATCAGGCATGCCAATACAGGATCAGGCATGCCAATACAGGTTCAGACATGCCAATACAGGATCAGGCATGCCAATACAGGATCAGGCATGCCAATACAGGATCAGGCATGCCAATACAGGAGATGGCATGCCAATACAGGATCAGGCATGCCAATACAGGATCAGGCATGCCAATACAGGATCAGGCATGCCAATACAGGATCAGGCATGCCAATACAGGATCAGGCATGCACACTACAGGATCAGGCATGCCAATACAGGATCAGGCATGCCAATACAGGATCAGGCATGCCAATACAGGTTCAGACATGCCAATACAGGATCAGACATGCCAATACAGGATCAGACATGCCAATACAGGAGATGGCATGCCAATACAGGATCAGGCATGCCAATACAGGAGATGGCATGCACACTACAGGATCAGGCATGCCAATACAGGTTCAGACATGCCAATACAGGATCAGACATGCCAATACAGGATCAGACATGCCAATACAGGATCAGACATGCCAATACAGGAGATGGCATGCCAATACAGGATCAGGCATGCCAATACAGGATCAGACATGCCAATACAGGAGATGGCATGCACACTACAGGATCAGGCATGCCAATACAGGCTCAGGCATGCACACTACAGGAGATGGCATGCACACTACAGGAGATGGCATGCACACTACAGGAGATGGCATGCCAATACAGGATCAGGCATGCCAATACAGGATCAGGCATGCACACTACAGGATCAGGCATGCACACTACAGGAGATGGCATGCCAATACAGGATCAGGCATGCCAATACAGGATCAGACATGCCAATACAGGATCAGGCATGCCAATACAGGATCAGACATGCCAATACAGGATCAGGCATGCCAATACAGGATCAGGCATGCACACTACAGGATCAGGCATGCACACTACAGGAGATGGCATGCCAATACAGGATCAGGCATGCCAATACAGGATCAGACATGCCAATACAGGATCAGACATGCCAATACAGGATCAGGCATGCCAATACAGGAGATGGCATGCACACTACAGGATCAGGCATGCACACTACAGGATCAGGCATGCCAATACAGGATCAGGCATGCCAATACAGGAGATGGCATGCACACTACAGGAGATGGCATGCACACTACAGGATCAGGCATGCCAATACAGGAGATGGCATGCACACTACAGGTAGACAGGTGAGAAGCACTGGATCCACTAGCGATGAGGTCACCTGGATCCTCTAGCGACGAGGTCACCTGGATCCTCTAGCGACGAGGTCACCTTGATCCTCTAGTGACGAGGTCACCTTGATCCGCTAGCAACGAGGTCACCTTGATCCGCTAGCGACGAGGTCACCTTGATCCGCTAGCGACGAGGTCACCTGGATCCGCTAGCGATGAGGTCACCTGGATCCGCTAGCGACGAGGTCACCTGGATCCTCTAGTGACGAGGTCACCTTGATCCGCTAGCAACGAGGTCACCTGGTTTCACCAAGCGACACCAAGCTAGCGATCTGCTGGTGACAAGGGCGAGTCACACTTAACCTCTAACTGAGCAATCAGAATCAAATATTTCCCATAGAAAGATATAGGATTGGAACAGCTTCAAATTATGTGCGTTCTGTCCCCAGATCTGGTGTGGTCCGCGCAACTGTCTGTCTCACCCCAACACCTCGGAGCCTGTGGTCCACTGCATGAACGACGAGACCTGCGTGGTGCAGACCAAGGAGATCTGCTTCACCCCGCCCTGTCTGCCCTGGGGGCAGTGCAAGAAGGTGGACCACATCAAGGACCCCGTCCCCCAGGGGCTGGAGACAGCCTGCACCCCCAACTCTGCCAACCTCGGCAACAACTGTGCCAAGATCACTCTCGTCTTTGACAAATCAAAAATGCCTATGGTGAGTGAATGATTGAATTCTGGGTAAGAATATAGGTCCCCAGCAACCTTACAGATAATGCTGGGACCCGTGAAGATCCGGGGTAGAATAGGTCTTCAGCAACCCATGCTTGCCGTAAAAGGCGACTATGCTTGTTGTTAAAGGCGACTAACGGGATCGGGTGGTCAGGCTCGCTGACTTGGTTGATGCATGTCATCGATCCCAATTGAGTGGATCGATGCTCATGATATTAATCACTGGATTGTCTGGTCCAGACTCGATTATTTACAGACCGCCGCCATATAGCTGGAATATTGCTGAGTGCGGCGTAAAACAACAAACAAACAAACAAAATGCAGAATGTATATTTGGATGTAACTTTCTGCCCCAGTATTCCTATATCTTTCCTGAATGTGCTTCCAACAATTTATGGGGCGATGGGTGGCTGATGCATTCACTCGTCGCGCCTACAGGCTGGGTTTGATTGCCCACATGGTTACAATGTGTGAAGTCAATTCATGGTGTGCCATGACTTCTGGAATATCGCTATGATTGGGATAAAATCCATCACACAATCAGTGTCCACTTTATATTGGCTGTATGCAGTGCCTAGCCAACCGTGGGGGCAAGGAGGGCAGTTGCCCCCCTTAGATTTTTTTTATAGAAAACAGTTTTATTTGAATCAAGTTGGGAACAAGTGATACTTGTACAAATATTTGCCCCCCTGTCAAAAAAAAAAGTTAACTACGGCCTTGGTATGGGTGAGATGTTGAATTTCGAATAATAGCTCACTCCTTCAATTCATCAGGATGTGCCCACTGTTTCAGGGTGTGTCTGTGGAGACAATCTGCAACACTCTACGTCAGCTTCCCGTGCTGAGGAAACTAGCCAATCACGATGCTCTGTTCATCATGTGCGGGATCAAGGAGGGTCAAGTGGACACAGTCGAGGTCACACTGGTAAGATATCAGTGCTTAACTCAGATCCACAGTATAACAATACTTCCGGCTTTGTAAGCTGCAGTCCACCCCGTAAACAGAACTCAAATCTTTGATGGGACACAGAACAGTAACATGACTCTGATGTGTGGTAGGCAGGGTTTTACACGATGCAGAAATGTGCGTCCAGTACACACAAATGTATAGAATTGACAATATCATGTAATTATCAAATCTTAAGGTACACTACACAACACGATTTCATTACTTTACAGGACCCTCATATTGCCTGTATGGACCCTTAAATTTAGTCATTTAGGGTCCTCTGGACCCGTAGTTTTGTAGGTCAAGGTCAAACCCAGTAGGACTCCGATTCTTGGCAGGACTCAAATCTGTGGAGGCAATTGAATTCACTTTCAGCTTTTTGTTTCAGTCCACAAATGTGGCGAGTGGTGAGATGGACCCCTTGATCCACACGGCCATTGACCGTGTGACCGATGTGGTCAGCCACAAGCAGAGTAACAGTAGCGCCCTCTCAGCGGTCAGGGAAATCCGGGTGGAGACAACGATTGTCGACAGAGGCACAAGTAATTATGTTATTGTTGTAATATGTGAGTCCAAACGTAAAAACAATGCAGACTGAGTGATGTATCATCAGATTGAATGTGACATTGCAATTGTAGTTTATTCTTTCTTTAGTCAAATTCCCATGCAATTTTCTTTTGTAAGTGTAGTAAATGAATGACAGAGTTAGGTCGGATGCCACTTCCAACAATAATGAAGAATCTGTAGTCTGGGTGCTACAACACACTGTATAGGTTATGTCCCTTGGCAATTCCAGGATGCTCCAATCATTTGTTGCTCACTAAAACAGGAGCGGCTTAAGGCGTTGATGTTGTTGATAATGATTTTGTTGATGATGTTGTTGATGTTGATGCTGACGCTGACACTTTTTCCCCTGCAGGACCCAGCTACCTGATTCCTTTGGTGTGTTCTATCATGGGCATCATCGGGGTTACCAGCATCATCATGCTTGTCATCTGGCATCATCGGCGACAACGTGCGCGGAGGAAGCGACTTGAGAGTTACACAAACTACCAAAAGACTAATAATGAAAATGAGCAAAATATCCGAAGGTACCGGAATCCATTGTTTGGCACAGACAAGGGTGGTGGAACATCAAAAAACATCTCGGCAACAGAGTTGCGAGATATTGATTTAGAAAAATATGAAAAAAGTCCCCGGAGAGATCCGACCCAGACTGACTCGTCAACAGACTTTAATGACTTCCGAGAAAATACCCCTCCTCCGAAAACCTCTCACAAGAAGGATATCAACATTGAGATTGACATCTCAAGGACTCTAGCCAGTGACAGAGAGGTGATAGTGTAGAAGGTGTCCCAGTCAGGATTTGGTGCATTTCATCGTCATAGTGTTCAACATTTCATGGTCCATTTTGTTCACGCTCATTGCTCCACAGTATTCATGCTCATTTCATCGTAGACAAAGCCTAGAGCACTGTTTTGCCAAAGACGTTGGAAGATTCTAGATTTCAGTGTGCTTTGTGTTGGAATATGGTTTCGTGTTTTTACTCTCGTACTTGTAATTCAAATGTTCAATCAACATCAGAGAGACAGGGATCTCAACCATGATCATGTGACCACAGGACAGCCAATCACAATATATTTACAGGTCACATGACATGTATCAGCCAGTTATTACTGAGCACATCTGTGGATGTGTGTCTCCAGGCAGCAGACATTTGCTTCTACATTCATCATAATCTCCTTATATGGAATTATATCCATTATATGGAAGTTCAACGAGTGAGATGTTGTTGTGCCACCGTGGTTTCTGATGTAAACACAAACAAGTTAGGAAGGAATTCTTGGAACAAGTTGAAAAGACATCCTTGATGCCTTGATGTTAAGATGGCTTTTGAATGCCAGTGTTTCGAAATGGCATTATTTGAAGACTGGTAGAATCATTTCTTGTTACTGTGAAATGGTACTTCATTTCTACTGAGTTTAAGTTTATTTGCTTCAGGCAACATAACATCAGGAAGATGGAACAAATTTTTCGTAATGTTTTTTGGTGGGATAAAATGTTATGGTTTTGGAACTTATTTGAAACGTGTTTTGTTTCAATTTTGCATTGCATGAGGAAATTATACATAACTGTTTCCAGGATATTGGGAAGTATGTGGAGTTAAAGATGAAATAAGTAATTGATATTGGTTCTTATTTTCCCTATTTACCAGCAGATATTGACAATGCTATATGTTTAAGTCAACCATCAGTATAGCATTATGGTTATTATGGTTTTTTTCCAGAGAATGGGTGTTATTACATCCTCACTGTTGTTACTGTTGTTTTAGGAATAATATTTAAATTTTTTTACCTTTTTAATTTGCAAGTGTATAATATTCATGAAATGAACCATAAAGACAGTTTTTGTTTTTGAATTAATTCAGGTTTTGAATTTTAGCTAAAAATGTAAATTGTTACGCCTAAGAAAAATTTGCAAGTTTTAATTCTATATTTATGATTGTTCCATGTTCTGAATGTATATTAATTAAATACATGTACTTTCTGTAATTGTGATGACCGGTAAAGCATTTCTGCTACATTGATATATTTATTTACAAATGATATATGTATATAGGGACACCAAGAGGAGTGGCTAGGGCTTCATCTATCAATTTGAAAATTTGTCCATGATGTTATTTGGTTCAAAATGCAATTTCAGGAAGTGTTCAAGAATAGATCAAATCTACTTTCTAAGGCCAGACTAATAATTTGTCTTAGGTTTACAGATTTTGGTTGGTAGGTTAAAAACATAATATGAACAGGATTTTTTTAATCATAAAGTTTGATTTGGATCAGTAGGTGATTTAAAAGTAATGGGTTATAACTGGAAAAAATGTGGTTATATATAAAAATCCAATGGATTTTGTTCATTGTAAAAGTGATTTTTTACCATCGGTATTAATGTTACCCTTATCATTCTAATGTAATTTTTTTTCTGAATTTTCGATTTATAAGGTCTCGTAATCAAGAAGAGAAAAGTCAGGCCGTAGATTCTAAATTTAATGATTCTGTGAACATGGATAAAGAAATACAGTATATTTATAAGCAAGCCAAAACTAAAAAAACACAAAACAATCTGAAACCGTCTTAAGATTTTCAAGATTTTCTAGATGAAACCCTAAATCACCATGATAGTAACTAGCAACCTATTTATTAAGTGTAAATTTTTATTGGAATGTATAATTAATTTGTATGAGGTATGTTCAGATTGTTCTGAACTGAAGCAGCTAATGTGCTCCTTCCATCTGAATGGTTGAACATTCTTTGACATCAAATATGATTTGATGTGTATCAGCCGTACTGAAACTTAGCCTTGTCTCAACATGTGTTACTGAAACAAAACAGAAAACTTGGTGACGAGCTGTAGGGACATGTTTTGGCTTTTCAGTGCTTAAGATTGTGACATCCCTTATAAAACATTTCCCAGTAACCACTGCCTACATATGGACTTGGGCAAACAGCCTACCAGGCATAAATTAACCTTGTTTAAAAACCAGATACGGCCAGACTACCTGTGAAGATCCGGGTTAGAATTAGTTTTCAGCAACCCATGCTTGGTGTAAGAGGCGACTAACGGGATCGGATGGTCAGGCTCGCTGACTTGGTGGATGCATGTCATTGTATCCCTATTGAGTAGATTGATGCTCATGATGTCAATCACTGGATTGTCTGGTCCAGACTCAATTATTTTACAGAACGCCATCATATAGCTGCAATATTGCTGAGTGTGGCGTTAAACAACTTACAAACAAATCTAGGGTCAGATTCATTTTGGTGTACAGATTTGATCGGCCAATGTTTCAACATCCAGGAAGCGAAATATGTTATGGCCATGGTTGGTTCAAGGACATTCAAAAAGTAAAAAAAATTAATGATTAAAGAATCAGGATACTTTTGAGATATGTAAGGCGAGAAGTTTTGGCTCTTGGCAAGAACCTCAAATTAAAATGGAAACTAACATACAGACATTCAGGCATATATCCCGTCAGGAACATGGCTAGAAATGTTGGAATTTTTTTTCCATTTGGAACATTTTGGATCAGCTTGTTCAACATAATAAACATTAGTCTGTCATTTGAAAGAACAACATGCATATTGAGTGAAATAACTAGAATATGTATGTTGAACATAAGACCAAGCTGTATAAAAATTTCAGATTTTCCACTGAATATTCAGTTTCTCCGACAGCCTCACTGACTTGGTTGATGCATGTCATTGTCTCCCAACTGCGTAGATTGATGCTCATGATGTCCATCACTGGATTGTCTGGTTCAGACCGTGGTACAGCTGGAATATTGCTGTGTGCTGCGTTAAACAACAAATTAAGTCTCTCTGACTCAACACTCTCATGAAGGTGTTTCCAGCCTGATTTGTTCAGAAAATCAATAAAATGAGAAATATATTGATCTCCTCTAAATTAGAAAGATAATGTTCACAAAGGTTTATTATGAACACATCTGTTGAGGAAGGGTAGTTTCATGTGGGGCTTACAAGCAATGGTCAGCGACACCAGTCGTTAAAAACTGACCTTCACCTTTAAACTGCTGTTTATGGAATTGTTTTTTTATATCACCAAATTGAGTTTGTATATATGTAAATACAAGTGTACATGTGCCGTTATTTATGGAGTGAGTGAAATAGATATCATCAGAAGTCATTTCCGTCAGTATTGTACAAACTGGGGTTCAGTACACTCTAATGTATTGTCTTGTGTTGAGAATTCAGTCTGTGGAAATCCATACTGTTCTTATTGGTAGTGTCATAATTCTAAAGGATCCTGAGGGTACAGTATCTTGGACCTCTTGTATCGTGATCCTGACAGTACGGTACCTCGGACGTCCTGTATTGTGTTAGCTGTTTAGTGATTATACAGACTAGCTAAATTAACATGCTACTTTCCTTACTAAACATTAACCCAACATCAAACAGAATTATAAAAATAGTTCACATTTAAAAAGAATTGAAGTCACAATTGAAATGCGAGAAACGGTTTGGGGGTATTTTGGGAATAGTTTGGAAGTGTCTCATCATTCTAGGGTGTAGCTTCTTTCTTTCATCAGAATTTTAATATAAGGTGCTTTAAAAGTTCTATGAGAACCTGATTATGCAGCTGAGGTTAAGGAAAGAATAACACTCATGGCATCTCAGAAGGTCAGCATGCAGATCTTGGTTTATGGTGAAGTAAATACAATCATATCAGATTATGTTAGGTCCCAGTGATGATGATGAAGCCCGCAAGAGGACAGCATCAGTTGTAACCATGTATTTATTGTACCCAGCGACTTCTTAATCCCTCCAAATATTGTGCTGACTCGTGACTTTCCACGACATGTTGTCCGCAATTTGCCCGCAAGTTGCCATGATTAATGCTTCTTGTTCTAACTAACATTACATGTTGTGATGTGAACGTCTCTCGGAGCGGTCAACAACGTGTCTCGCCAACAACAGCGCAAACAGCAGCAGCAGCAGCAGCTAATCCGTCGACTAAACAAAGGCAGCTACGTTCATGACCAAAGACATGAACCATTGTCCCATCATTCGATACCTAGTATCAAACCACAAATTTTGTTATATCCATCATGAGAAACAAGGGGAGTTATAAACTTCATTCATGTTTTGTATTTTTGATGATAGAAAAAAATCTGGAAGAGATTTTTCATAATGTCAAAATTACGCCCACTTTGTCTTGTATTGCCATTACTAGGGATCCTCGTTGACTGACGCTCTGAATGCTGCACGTCATCTCGTCATCTCCAACATGTAATTGTAGCACTTGTCCCACAATGCAATGCTGATTGTCCAGACTGTCTTGACCTTGGCAACGTGTTGCTTTGATGTGTTGATGGCCTAGCCAAAATCTGCTTTATCTGTCTTGTGATGTGCAGCGTAGGAGACACCATGGTAACAATATTGATTGAGATGCAGTCTTTACCAATTTGTGGAAATTTGTTAACAGATGGATAGTTACAAAGAGTAGCTTTCAAAACATATCATGGGTGAAATGTATGCAAATAATACAATTAGGAATCTTTGTATGTGTAAAATTTCGTAAAAGTATCGATGCTAGTAATATGTTTAAGAAACTCAGCATTGTATATTTATGATAGATCTTGTAATAATTATTTTACAAAAATTGTAATTTAGTTTTGAAGTCCACCTTCCTATCTTCCACTGTGTCCCATGCTACAGGATGTCTTGTGATTGGCAGTTGATGTTTCATGTTAAGTTGTCCTGTTGTCCTCATCAGCGATGTTGAAGCGAGCGTGTATCAATGTGTGTGTGTACTTAATGCCTCATCGATTTAGTTACATTTTGGTGATATAATTTCAACAGAGAGTTGAAACTGCACGTCTTCATCAAAATAAAACAATAAAAATGTGAAGATTATGCTGACTTTGTGACTTTTTTTTATTATAAAATATGTAAAGGTAACCATGGTAACAAGTAAAAATAGCGCCATGGCACGGTAGCTCGTGTGGATGTATATAGTATATAGTCATCAGTTGAAGATGTCTACAGTTTAAACAAAGACAGCTGTCGGCATTCATGTTGAAATATTTTCTGCATAAACACCGATACTAAAATCTAACACATTGGACAAAGTATGATGCCAGTTGATGAAATTTTTCATCATAGTTCCATTTGCTAGATTTTTCGGCAGTTTCTTTCGAACTGCAAGATGACAAGTCTCCACTGTCAAGGTCGTGAGACTCTGATGTCAAGGTGATGACAATCCACTGTCCAGGTCATGATGCCCCACTGTCAAGGTCGTGAGACTCTGATGTCAAGGTCATGACAATCCACTGTCCAGGTCATGATGCCCCACTGTCCAGGTCATGACACCCCACTGTCCAGGTCATGTGGGAAGACAGGTCATGACGCCCCACTGTACAGCAGAGCCTATGCTGATGACAGTTGCAGCTTCTAAGAAACTTGACCTCGGTCCACTCACTGAAAACATTTTTTAGTTTTTTGTTAAATGAGTGAAATTAGCTCTAGGGACAGTACATTGGTGGCTATGTGTGTTTTTAAATCATGCATGAAATAATTTCTGAGTGTGATGTCACATATCCAATTCAGTTCTAACACCAAAACAATAGAGCTCCGCACAGTGGGGCCGACAACAAGCACTGCACAGAATAAACTGGCTTCAGTAATGAGACAGCTTGTGTGTTTTTCTTATGGCCGAGTTAAAAAATACTAATTGCCAGCTTCATTTGATTAGATTAGATGTCGGTGTTTATCAAAGCTAACAGATAACAAAATACATATGCTATGGTCATATGAAGCCAATCACTCTCCTACCCAGGGTTCATGGGGCCAGCGGACAACCTCTGTCACATCGTGACATCTTACACAGTCCATTCATGTGTTTTTCATCTGTTTCATTTTGGACAAGTCTACACATCCAGATCAACATACGTCATGAAATGTTTAACTACCAATGAGAAAATATCCTAAAACGTGAAAAACTATTTCCATTTGCGCATTTATCCTCCACACTCTGTCACTGAAGTACTTCGGAGTCACTTTGATGTCTAAAGCTATATCGTCATGCACATCACTGTCGCAGTTGTAGCAGGATAACTTAATTATGCAAAACAAAATTTAAAGGTCACCGAAAGGTTTGCATAAGTCCTCTGTTCTTATTTCAGGATAAGTGTGTTTGTTTTCAAACAAGAGGGCCGCGTCATACCAAAAGACGTTAAAAGATGGTACTTGTGGTTACCCTGTCTGGCGCTCGGCATTAAGGGGCTAAAACAAGGACTGGTCGGCTCGGAGTCAGTATACTGTGTCTGAGTGGGGTATTCATGTTAAACTGCGGCATGGTATCTCAGTGAGCTAGCACTATAAATCGGCATCAGTCCGGACTAGTACAAGCAGCCACACAAACACACACGTACATGCACGTCGCTATATAAGTGCAATAATCTTGGACGTGACGTTAAACCCAATTTCACCTCACCTTCAAACAAGAAAGGTGTGGTCTCGTGACAAGCCTAAACGCTAGTGTGGTCCATCGAACAGAATTGGAATAAGGCGAGCAGAGCCGAGGTAGGTCGGGAGTTATTGGCTATTGTTTACACAGCTTCAGAATGGTCGATGTCCTGTCCCTTTAAAGATTCTTGTCCAGATTAAGAATGTTGTATGACATCTAGTTCCATAATATCCAGATCTTGTGCCAGCAAAATGTTGGTATTCTATTCTTGGTATTAAGTGGCTTATTATACACTGAATTAAAGCAGCTGCTCATATGGAGGGAGACAGTTCGATTGCTGCTGGCGACAAATCTATCAGAAAGAAATTATATTAATTATTTCTTATATTACATTATATTGTCAAGCAGAATCTAAATTCAAGAACTCTGCAAGATTGACCATAAAATTCAAGGCTTTTTGAAGTCTGTGACAACTACAAGACATGGGACTGCCCTGATATACGAACCTCGGAGAGCCTGCACGTAAGAGGCCAGGACGTAGGCTCGACTGAGACTGAGATAGATGGCGCTGTACGTCTGTCCCCACAGCATGACGGGAATCACAAGCACCTTCCCGAAGTTGGACCAAATCAGAGATCGGACGACCAGCTTGAGACTGGATTATATAAAGTCATTGTACAAATACTTTAGCTGGTTTGTGAGAAGTGAACAAGAAATACAGCCAAGGTTTGTTTGTTTGTTTGTTTGTTTAACACCATAATCGAGTCTGGACTAGACAATCCAGTGATCATGAGCATCATGAGCATCCATCTACACAATTGGGATACGATGACATATATCAACCAAGTAAGCGAGCCTGACCACCCGATCCCGTTAGTTGCCTCTTACGACAAGCTACTGAAAGGATAAACAAACAGCCTACCATGTCTAATAATCATATTAACATTAAAGCCATTTATATTGCACCATCCACACCACACTGGGGCATGCTCAAAGGGCTACATGTCAATGGCACAGTATGCACACTCCGTTTGTTCGTTCGTTCGTTTAAATAGTTGGGTTTAACGCCGCTTTTAACATTATCCCAGTCATATCACTGCGTGTCAGCTTAATGTGCGAGGAAAGCCTGAAGTGGTGCAGGTCTCAGACATTTACCACTTTGGTGAAACCCACGAGCATGGGTATTGTGCTGACAAACCTAGAAACTTAATCGGGGCGAACATGAGCCATGAAAACAAGGGACAAAATGGCTTGTCTGATGTAGACTTGATTATTAGCAGACTGCTGTGATATAGCGGAGTATGGTGAAACTATTCCTTCACCCACTCTCTATCTCTATCTACTCTATTCTAAGTGTAATAAGATACACTACCTCATACAAATAAGAAGTGTGGGTGAGTATGGTTTTACGCTGCTTTTCGCAATATTTCAGCTATATCATGTCAGGGGACACCAGAAAGGGGCTTCACATATTATACCCATGTGGGGAATCAAACCCGGGCCTTCAACGTGACAAGCAGACACCAGGCTGACCAACCGCCCCAAAATACGAACAGGTGAACTCTTTGACAGGGTGTTAGATTATGTTCTCATGAACAACCACCATCTAAATTCTGGACAGTACACCGATAGTCTGGACATCTTGTTGCATGTCTTTTAATAACTGACACCTACTTGAGTTGTGAATCTTGCTGTCCCCTCCCTCTGCTTCGCTGTAGAATGCACAACACCATCACAACAGCCACAAGAAATATCATCAGCTCTGAAAATGAAACAACAGAAATGCAAACTATACTGAACCTCAAAAGAAACGTCATCATGGATAGATATATATGAGAAACCTTATTTGTCCAAACACTGCAAACATACTTTGAGACATATTAAAAAGATGAAACTTGGCAAAACTGATCATCAAGGTTGAAATTAAAGTGTCAAATGTTCTTGACACACAAAACTAGTGTCTGAGAAAATGGCATCACAAGTCAATAAAGGCACTTGAGCCCACACTCTGAGGAACGCCTGACGCAGTTCAGTTGAAGTTGTCGGCCTTGGTCGGACGTCATTCAGATGTCTTTGAATCTCATCCCACAGGTGCTCAATGGGATTTAAATTGGAACTGAGGGCAGGCCACTGCATGGTTCTGATGCTATTCTGCTGGAGGAAGTCTCTTGTTGCTCTCGCAGTGTGGGCACGGGTGTTATCATGCTGAAACTTGTGGTTGCAGCGACATGCCAAATGAGGTATGGCGTGTGGTCTCAAGACTTGATCAATGTCTGAGCTGCTGTGGCACCAATGCCTCACCCTGGACTGAAGACCACAGGGCCGACCCTCTGTGCAAGACCAATTCCACCCACACCACGATGCTCGAACCACCCCTCGAGTCTCTCTCAACAACACAAGCATCCAAATAACATTCCCCACAGCGTCGCCAGACTCTCTCTCTCTCTGCCATCTGCTGTTGAGATGCAGTAACGGCTCTCGTCTGAGAAGAGGATTCTTCTCCACTGCTGGTGGCGCCAATGCTGGTGCTGTGTTGCCCTCTGAAGACGGTCCCGGGGATGACGTGGTGTCGGAATGGGTCCTCGGTGTGGCCTGTGACAGTGGAGGTCTCTGCTTGTCAATCGTCGACGCAAGGTGTCTGCACTAATGTATCGCTGGTGTGTCCCCATTGTCTGTCGAGCAGTTTCCGCAGCAGTAACAAAGCGATCTTGAAGATGCTGTCGCACAATCTGACGATCCTGACGTCAGGTGGTGACCCTTGGTCTTACAATATATAATCAGTCATCTGTAGTGTTGGTGGTCTGGTACTGTTGCTGGAGCCTGTATGTTGTCCTTACGTGGACTTGAAATGCATGGGCTACTTGCCAGGTGGTTTGTCCAGCTTGCAATCGTCCAAGGGCTTGGTGTCGCTGATTCCTTGTCAATCTTGGCATGTGGTAGCAATTCAATAACGAATGAATGTTATCCGTTCTGGGTGGATTTTTATAGGGCAAGAAATGGGGTAACCCATAACCATTTCAATTTGCATGGAACTCACGTGCATCGGGTTACCACGGCCATTGCCGTGATGCGTTTGGGCGATCGGTTTTATTGTCATCTGCTTTGTTTTTTTCATCATCAAATTTCATTTTTTCGGACAAGGTAATGTTAAATTTTAGAAACTTTGACAAAAATTACCCAGATATTTAAATGACAACTTTTCATGCAATGTTACTTGGGGTGATGTTTCTTTTGCGGTTCAGTATATATATAAATGTAGTGAGTGGGTGAGTGTAAAGCATTACACAACTTTGTCTTGAATCATGGAATTCTGAACCAGGTCTTAATGCTTTTATTTTGATTCAAATTGGAACTGAATAGAACTGATTGAAAGTAAAAACACAGTAAACCTTTTTGTCTTGTTAAGCAGGACTAGCTACAAACTCGGAGTGTTAGAGAAATCAGGTTTCCACTAAACCTTTGTACTTGTGCTTAAAATGAAACAACAAAGTTTGGAAGGCGGCTGTCATTTGATTCCTGGAAGCTGGAGAAATATTCTTGGAACAGGGCATCCCAGAATAATGCTTTAATGATAAATAACGTGCCCACACATACCTACTGCTGATACAGCGTAGTTGTAGTACAGGTTCCATTCTAGAGCTGAGTAGAACACATAGTCTGGTTTGATGGGGCCGGCCATCGGGACTCTCGCATACCGATCCTGCAGCAGCCGGATGAACGCCTCACACAAGAGGATCACTAGTGTAAACTTCCATATCGCCTGTGCAGAGGAGACCAGTGGAGAATTATTATAAACAAATATCTGTTAATCACGGATTCAAGAAATTATGCTCTTGAATAAATTACTGTTTTTGAGAAGATGTTTCATTATAAGTATCTGATATTTCCTTAAAGAAATGATGGCTATGAGTTGTAACACACTAAAATCCTCTACGGTAAACCCTGATTTACTTCCTTTCTGGACCCATTTCATTAAGCAATTTTACTCACAGACCCCACTGTGATTAGAACAATTGACCCCACTGTGATTAGAACAATGGAGAAGAACAAATCCATCTGTAATGAGTGAGGAAGTTTGGTTAAATGCAGTTTTATGTAATACAATTATAGCACTTCTCAGACGGACTGGTTCCTGATTGTTTATCAGGTTTGACATCTTTATAATATATATACAGATAGATCATTCTCGTAACCTCCTCCAGTCCGTGGTGATTTTATGCTTAACATGGTACATGGTAGAACAAATCATATGTTGACCTTTGTTTCTGCTATCAACTATGGGTTTTCCTCAGGTAATGAAAAAAAACAAGCCATTTGTGAAAAGAATCTAAAATACATTCTTGTTTGTTTGTTGTTTTAACGCCGCACTCAGCACTTTTACGGACGTCGGTCTGTCAATAATTGAGTCTTGACCAAACAGTCCAGTGATTGATATCCTGAGCATCAATCCACGCAAATGGGACATGATGACATGCATCAACCAAGTCAACGAGCCTGACCTGCCAATCCCGTTAGGCACCTCTTACAACAAGCATACGGTGTGGACGTAAGTTTTAGAGAGTGCATGAGTATGGTTTTACGCTGCTTATAGCAATATTCCAGCAATATCACAGTGGAGGAAAACCAGAAAAAAGTGCTTTACACAAACTACACAGGTAGGGGATCGAACTTGGGCCTTCGTTCGGTTTAAACAAACAGCTAACACTTTACCCACTAGGCTACCCCCCAACCCATCACATGTTATGGGTACTGTATACGCACTGTCTGCACTGTGTTTATGAGGATATGTCTGAAGGCAGGGAGTTTCAGCAGCAGAGCATCCAGATAGATAATGACAGGTTCGTACTCAATATACTTGTCCACAACTTCATCACAGGTGGTCTGAAAAACATAAAATAGGATACAGACCATTGAGTAATTATAGTTTTAAGTGGCATTTGATTTATTAGCCCAATTAAGGAAATGAGAGTAGTCACTGACCACTTTGACAAGATATTCTGGCAACATAAGGAAAGTCTTTGATAGGCATTTAGAAGTTGGAAGAACATGAATACATGACACTTTTATGGATTAAAACTTATTTTGTTCTTTGTAACGACGTTTCAGAGCTACACCTCCCCCTTAATCAACTGAATATGCCTGATGAAGGGGCAAGAAATAGCTCTGAAACGTCCTTACAAAAAATAAAAGTTGTTATACTTACTAAAAATGTGCCATGTAAACATAAGCGTAATAAAGAGGACATGTATGTCTGGATACACGCAGGTTCATGTGGTAAAACTAAATATATTACGCACACAGTGACTTATTTTGATTATCCCTCCCTTAAAGTCGCGATACAGTTCGTCTGCTGGCTTTCCACACCTTATACACTGAAACTTGTTCATTTTGGAAACATTATCAAAGGGAGATCACTCTAAATTATTGGAGCCGGAAGTAATGAATGTTCAACTCCGAACAGAGACATGCGACTTGTGTCACGTCTATAACTTCTGTACCTGACTGTGTTAGAAGTATGTGCCGTGTTGTTCCATCGTCGTCGCTCTTCCACATGCAAGTGCCTTCCTTATGAGTGTTGACTAGCATATTCATATATACATTGACACCAGTCCTGCATTTTATGCCGTCAGAGAAATAAAAATGCAACAGGAGACCCACAGTGGTGCCAAAACCAAACCAAAGGACACGAAAGATTTCCTCGAAAGAGAGGAATTCACGTTGAGAAAACGACTGCCACCGAAGCTTCCCAAACGTAAGGATGATGTTTACGTGACAAGAAAGACGGATTTCCAAGCTCAGATGAAACGTTGTCAGAATATACTTGATGCTGGAAATGAAGTGTATATTCATGGACTTGGCGCTGCTGTGAACAGAGCCATCAATTTAGCTCTGCAACTGAAGGCAAATGGTCGCGGAACAGTAGACGTGTCTTGTCGAACCTCAACTGTCGAACTTACAGACGACCTTGAACCGAACAACGACGAAGCCGAGGCAGACACAAGTGTAAGGAATAACTCGGCAGTACACATCAAAGTCTGCAGACCGCACTCCCCACACGAGGATGGCCAAACTAACGTGTCCAGTCAGTGACTCGACCATTATACAGATTTCGTCGTATCCTGTTCGAACAGACCATTGATGTGTGTTGATGACACTGCTGTTCAAGCATATGAACCTTATGTGGAAGTAAAACTAAGTCATTTTTGTTCTCGTGCTACAACACACTCGGTAGATATGACACGAGTGCTGTGAACCTCGTATTGACCGACATGTGTATATCCCCCAGGTATTGCTATTGACCTGTTGATAGATATGTTTCTCGATGTGAAAAAGGATTATTTCCGTTTGTATATCCATCGAAAGAAATGTCTGTACATTTTCCTGAATACAAATGTTAGATTAAGAATGTAGTTTGTTCTTATTGTGCCTCTGCCCATTGTCACTTAAGGACTAGATCTTATTCAGACAGTTAGTTATAATTCTTCCGTAATTTGTGTACAATTACTTTCGAGTGTAGCGAATTCAAAAAGGAAATAAAGAAGTAGGATCGCCATGCTGGTGTTGTAGTCACGGGTCCTTTTAAAACGTTTCATGGTTTGAAATTTGTCCAAAATTCTGTAACTTTCAAATTTCAATTTGTAAATTGTTTGAAATGTTTTTCATTAATTTAAAATGAGCATCTAGTTAAAAACATATTTTTTTTGTTTTTTGCATACTGCTATATGAGTGCAATAATCTTGGACGCGACGTTAAACCCCATTTCACCTCACCTCCGAACTTGAAACTGATCGAAATGGACAATGTTATATAAATATACAGATATATTGGCCGTGTGATAGCTATGGACAGCACATGACTTTATTTCACGTAAGTCTAAATAATTAGTCCAGATAAAAACAACAACAGTAGCTCTTTCTTGGGGGCGGCCATCAGTTTTTCTTTTCGTTCAGGTACCCTAGTTCGTGGTTCGCTTACGGCGAAATAACATTAGGTACAATGTGTGAAGCCCATTTCTGGTATCACCGTCGTGATAGTGCTGGAATATCGCTAAAAGTGGCGTAAAACCATACTCACTCTGAAATTTCAGTTTTCATCGTATGTAACGTGTCATTTAGAACAAAAATAAAACGAAATGTTGGCAACAAGCTTATTAAAGTCAGTTCAATATGAGTGTGAGTGAGTGAGTTTGGTTTTACGCCGCTTTTAGCAATATTCCAGCAATATCACGGCGGGGGACACCAGAAATGGGCTTCACACATTGTACTCATGTCGGGAATCGAACCCGGGTCTTCGGCGTGACGAGCGAACGCTTTAACCACTAGGCTATACCCGACCGCCCCAGCTCAATATGACAACAGACGGCTCTGACATATTGCCGACTCAATATGTGTGTTTATAGTCAACTAATGCAATATGCAGGTATGTACAGGCGCTTGACAGTGAGGAAATTCACATTCCATTACTTAAATAAATAGGTTTCACACGTGAACGGGTATATGTAGGTTCCATCTACTTTTGCCAACAGAAAGGTAGTCAGGTGTACATCTGACTACATCATTGCCTACATCTATGATACCGCACCCTGTAAATTATAAAAGGGCCTGTCGAGGATTAACGAGAGCATGTGATAGTGAGTGAGTATAATTTTACATGCTTGTAGCAATATTCCAGCAACATCACGGCGGGGGACACAAGAAATGGGCTTCACACATTTTACCCATGTGGGGAATCGAACCCGGGTCTTCAGCATGACAACGAACGTTTTAACCACTAGGCTACCCCACCGCCCTGAGCTTATGTAAAAAGTAATTATTGTAGGTTTGTATGATTCCAGATGAGATTATCTACCACTGAGCATGGCAACACCCCTGAATTACAGCCATTACGTGATTCTAACATGGGATCAGGAAACAATAATTATTGATCATAATCATACTGCTTCTCCTGCCTCCCTTCTCGGTACGTCCCCGGCAGAGTCTGAGCTCCCCGGTTCCCGATAACAACAATGGATGGCTCTAAATAATATCTAATAAATATATGAAATAATCAAATACCATGTAAATAATCCCTATATATTACTACAAAAGTCCTTGTTATCGTTATTAAAAATACAGGTGCCGTTTTCGCCCGACTCATTGTAGCCGTTTCGCCAGAGAAATCGGTGACGTTTTGCTGAGGTGCCGTTTTAGCCTGCACCCCTCGAACCTGACCTGGAACTTAATATAATCTTAAACTAAAGTATCTAATACTTTCTAATATCCGGGCAAGACACTGAATGGCAAAGCAATGATTTATATTCGAGTAAAATATGAATTTACATGTCACATTTTGTTGTCTATATCTTTTGTATGTAATTTTCTGTTTGTTGAATTAAGGCGGTACATCATCTTAGATGATATATGTACACGTAATGTGAACTGGTTTCCACCCTCAGTTTACCGCTATACCAGTCACAAATGTCTGTAGGTTGGCGAACAATACAAACAGTCCATCGATTATTATTTGATCGAGGTTTACACAATTAGATTTTATTTTCAAGTAATGCAGTGGTTTAAGAGGTCTCTGAGAAGCGCTACAGCTTGTTTTTTTATCTTGACAATGTTTCTCTCGTCGATACAAAAGAACATTTACAAAGGTTCATGCGTTGCTATGTTCATGAAGATATTTGTGTTGATACACTAACATGCGCATGTCACGTCTCGCGCAAGAAAGGAAAATCTAGTCTGGGCAGGTGCCCTTTTACGACATTCAAAGGGAGGCGATCGATCGTGTTTACGACTTGCTGTACTCAGACATTGCTATTGGTGACAAGAATGGCGGACGGTAAGCATTATTGCTCCAGCTTTATGTTTTTATAGTGTTATTTACCTGTTTGGTAAGTATTTTGTTAGAAAAAACTTGCGAAGAGTGAATTATTTTGACGAGGGAAGTGATAAGCAGTGATGTCGTGAAGAATCACCTTCTAAATGTCTTGGACAAAAATCGATACCCGCTCCTTGAAGTTGACCCTGTTTTGAAGACTTTCGTCCCGCTGGGCTCTGTTTGGATTGGTCCAGTTTAGCTTCTCTGCTGATAGTTGTTGAACAACCGAAACTTTATTGTAGCTTTCGAGAATTAATCATGGAAACTATTTTAGTAAAAGTAGAATAAAAATCAATAAGTGGGATTATGTTTCGGGAGGATATTGAACATGACGAACTTGCTATGTCAGCGCCAGGTTCAAAATCGACCTGTTTGTTGACAGGAAACAGACGAGAGGTTTCATCCAACAATTTACCCCAAAACACCGGGGTCATCTGATTTATTTAAGATCCCCAGGAGTATTTGATGCACTACACATTTCTTTTTGCGGTTAATGAGACGCAAGGAAGAATTCTTAGCATGATAAGTATGCCTGATTTGGACATGTTGGATAGGCCTATAAAATTATGTTCCATCAAGTAGTGGTCGTTCGTGAAAGACTAGGAAGCAACCATTTGAAATTCAGGTGATGTATGGTGTCAGAAAAATAATTGTTTTCACATTCTAGAAATTAAAAATAATGTGCCCTTTCGTTTCAGAATATATTTCAAGGGTCCAAAGAATAGAGTTTATTATTTTTATTTATTTACAAAATAAAGCTCCTAAATATTAAAAACAAATGATGTTCTCAAACCAAAATCCCCCCAATTAAATAGTTGTTCCCTTATCATTCTTATATTTATTTATTTAATTAATAAAGCCTATCCAATTTCACCCAGTAAGTCATAGAAATACTTAAAATAATATAACAATATTTATGAAACCAACAGCAGTTGTTTGACACATTTAAATTATTCATATGAAATATGTTTTAATTGTTAGGTCGTCTGAGCCGAAGGTGTAGAGTGAACTTATCGCAAAGTGTGTTCATCTTAATTCTTATACTTTCACATTTTCATCTCCTCTGACACCACAAATGCCTGATAGGTGATATATTATGATGTATTATGCCAGAAATAGTCTCCCAGAACTATGATCCATGCCCTTATGTATGGGTATACCATGTACAGGGAGTAGTTGGATGGGTGACCTTGCTAAGCAGCTTGACTCCTGAGAGTTTCCAGAGCTTCGGTCCTGCCCCACACTGAAGCACATGTACCACATGTGGTGTCTCCTTATGCAAGTGAATTTGTACGAAATTCGCCTCTGTTCACCCAGCAGTGAGTGGGTACCCGGTAGGATGAGATGGTAATGTGGCTGTTAACCTTCTAGCGCCTTACAGGCAGCTTTAAGATGTATACTCTCCAGGGAGCTGAGAATGAAAATCGAGTGCACACTGATCCATTGACCTGGGTAATAATGTAGTGCTTTGAGCATGAACTGCTACATGGAGGCTAGGGTTTTGTCAGTGCACATTATTATTATGTACAGGGTTATTCCTTATGATATTGGGTATGCACGAAGAATCATGAGTGTGTCTGTGGTGTGCACAATATGCATGATCATGAGGATAAGTTCAAGTTGCACATGGTGATTTGGGTTGTGAAGTTTGACTGCAGTGCAGTAAGTTTCTTACTTTTACACAACTACGGCCATGATGAGCTTCATGTACTGTCACTTGTTTATGTTTGTGGCTGCCATGGTAACCATGTTGAAACTGAACTTTGGGGTAATTAATTTTGTATGGCTCAGTGTTTAATATGATACACCATTTGTCATAATTGTGCCAGTACATAAAACATTGGTTGTGTAAAAACTTGTCTTATGCTTTAAGGTTTTTTAAGCTCTTGTGATCTCTTATGACCTCTCTGATCTCAATTTCAACATGTTCAAACTATCTGATCTGTTATTATAATAAGCAATGAAAATGTCAACAAAATAATGAAATTCCAGCAGAATGTTGTGTATTATTATTCCATAGACCTATGTATGTAATTGTGTTTAATACTTTGAATAATGTTTAATAATGTCGCTTGTAGACTACAAGGCAATTAATGTCAGCTCAAGGTGAAGATCTATGGTGGTGAGCGAATATTGCCAACAAGTATTTCACATATGTTATGAACACCTTCAGCTGGTGAAGTCCACCTAGTTCACAGCTCATTTTAGACTAGTTTCTTGTAAAATATTACTTCTACTTTTCACTAGCACTGGACTAACAGTCGTCAACTCAACCACTGAAAACATATTGCTAAAAAAACCCAAAAATCTTATTGATTCCAGATCAAGTACGAAGTGTATCAGCAGTTGGGGAGGCAGGTGCAGACCAGCCGGAGACAGTGGCTCCAGACATCCCCGACAACATTCAGGTAGGCAGAACTTGTAACCATGGTAACGATGAGACCAGGTAGTAGTATTTTGTTCCCGAAGGAAAGGTCTTGACACTATCGCATCTCTCCCACATAGTAAAGGTGATGCAAGGCACAGGCAACTGAGGACTTCTTCCTGAACATGTTACATTCACTTTGCCATGTTTACAGAGCTTCAGGGAAATCGGCATAAACATAAAACTTTGATGTCATGATCTAGACTACCAGACTCCATTTCTTGTTGAAAGTTCAGAGCTCCAGATAAGCTGCGTATCTGCGTGAAATACGCATCAGAAATGCAGAAATACACAGTAAAATATAATCTAAGCGTATCAAATACGCAACGAACATTACAGATACGCTACAAAAATAAAACTTGTGCGTATCATCATAATATTGTGAAGTAACCCTGCATATTCGATTAGCAAATCAGCAACTTATTTTGAAATTATAATGGGCATTCCGTCAACCTTGCCAAACTCCACGATGACAGTTACATCATGATCATTTGCCATCACACTTTCTTGTGGAAGTAGGGGGTATTTTTTATTCCTATAAAGCTCTCGAACCCACACGACACCAGTTTGTAGGGACTAGATGGATAGTGTTTTTAAATATTTAACTTAAATACCCACATGTGTAAAAACTAGTGGGTAACAGAAATTTGAATACGCAGATAGAATTACTGATACCCAATGATTTTAAAATGCATGGGGAAAATACCCACAACACCAAAAGCTTATCTGGAGCTCTGAGAACACATAGCAAAAAAAATTAAAGGGCCAAATTTGTAGTTGCCATTAGTATACCTTAACTACTGGGCAGTTTGACAAGGACTGTAAGACTAGAGCCAATTTCTAACACTGCTTTTTCTGAGAAGTGTGGTTGGTGGGAATCCCACATGAGACTACACCTAAAAAAAAAAGTACTAGAATTTGTACTTCACTAAAAAAAGGTTAATCCCCCAAATAAAGTATGTTACAGAGAAAGATCATGTCTTGGTACAGCTACTCATACGCAAGTTAAAGTAGTAATAGCAGCAGTAGAAACGAAACTTTTAGCCCACTAGTCCTTATAATGATAACATATATAGCAAACCCCTTAAAAATGGGAAACTTCTAATAGTCCTTATGATACCTTAACTATTGGGCATTCTGGCAAGGACTACAGGACTAGTGCCAATTTCTAATGTTGAATAGAATCCTAGCTTCAAAATGTTCGTTGAGGTATACATTTCTTCTTATTTCAGAAAATCATTGCAAGTGAGAAAGAGGCAGCAGAAACCCCTGCAAAACGCCCCAAAGTCGATCTTCAGTCATTGCCCACACGAGCATACCTTGACCAAACCGTGGTACCCATCCTACTTCAAGGCATGTCAGTCCTGGCCAAAGAAAGGTAGGCATATGTAAAAACTAAGGGTCATTATGAAGCAGTGGTAAGGGGCACCTGTTCTGTAATTCACTGTGCAGAGTTGTGTCCCTTAGTGAGGATCCTATTGCCATGCTAGAAATCCCAGTTCCCAGAATTTCCCCGCTCTGTCAGCACCACAGTGGAATATGTTAAAGATCTGCATATTCATATTGTATAGCTTCCAAATGTTCAACACGGCTATGGCCTTGTCACTTGTCTCTCTAAGGTTCAATGTCACTCTATTTTTTGACTGCATAGGCTTTACTAGCGGTTCCAGGGCTTTAAATTCAGGTTGTTGTCTGGTGTAAGAATAATGTCTCATGTTTGTGTGTTGTCTCCTTCCAGGCCACCAAATCCTATCGAGTTCCTGGCAGCCTACCTGTTGAAGAATAAGAGCCAATTTGAATGATCGAGACTGTTATATTCTTAGAATATTTATTGTTGGAGATTCCATCATTTGGCAAACCATCATCCTAAACATTTTAACATGAAGCATTACCTCTTTCCATTTGTATTTTTACATCCTTTGTTTCATAAGTGGAAATAAATCATTTTAATGAATTTGATAATATAACTGGGGGTTGTGTCTTTTCTTTGTGTACCTGCAGGGTAGCCCAGTGGCTCAAGTGTTTGTCACACCCAAAACCCAGGTTTGATTCCATATGGATTGTGTCAATGTAATTCTTGGTGTCTATGGTGATATTACAGGAGTATTGCCCTTGTGAATTTTGCTCTTGGACCTCTAATTGTCAGAACCTGGTGCAACCATCATTACTGCGAGATATTTCCTGGCCACTAACCAGAGATAATCTTGGAGCAGATGATGATGTGCTGCGCTGAATTATGAAGCAGATTTTTGAACCCATATTCCAAGCTGGCAGTCAAAGACAATTAACCCTCAAAGTCCTGGTTGAACATTTTTTAGTCACAGATTAGTGAATACCTGCGAGGACTACTCACAGGTCTGAAATATGAAATGTGGACTAGGGTTCTGTTCCTCATACTGGTGATGTGGGAAGCCCTGTCTTGCTGTCCCCTGCCCTGAGATTGCTGGAACATGCTCGATGTGGTGTAGAACTGTACCACCGTGTTCATCGCTGTGATTCCTCTACAGAATAGGTCCATTATGCCAGGTTTGTCTCCCGAAGAAGTTGTTCCCTGCATCTCAAGAGTCTCCCTGGCCCAGACATAATATTTAATCGATTGCCAGAAATTCATCTGACCGCAGTGTAATTAAAAATTCATCCTCTCTGCTTGTCAAGTGAAAAGAAACAATAATCTTGTCAACATGTTTATTTAGAGAACAAGAATGTAACAAGAGAAATACAAAGTCAGTGGTAAAAAACGTCAAGATGATTATAATAAAAAACTGTAAATAGAAATGTAATGAAGTCATGTGAGCTCGTCTTCCTCGACACCAGGCCGCCATGGCAGCCCTGTATTTACAATGAAATCAAAGCAACTAACATAATCATCCTATGCCAGGCTAGGTTTAATAAACAAAATATTATGCGAAACCTCTACAGTGTACATTTAAGTAGAGGGGAAAAGTCATTCCCATCTGAAAAGAATTATATTTAGATATAAAACTACACACACTGTAATAGTCTTGACTTTACATTCTTAATATGTATTTATAACTTGAATCACATATATATATATATGCCAAACATGAAAAAGTATATTTATGCCAAACATATAACATGAAGAAGTATATGTATGCCAACCATATAACATGAACAAGTATATTTATGCCAAACATGAACAAGTATATTCATGCCAAAACATATAACATGAACAAGTATATTTATGCCAAACATATAACATGAACGAGTATATGTATGCCAAACATGATCAAGTATATTTATGCCAAACATATAACATGAACAAGTATATTTATGCCAAACGTAACATGAAAAAGTATATTTATGCCAAACATATAACATGAACAAGTATATGTATGCCAACCATATAACATGAACAAGTATATGTATGCCAACCATATAACATGAACAAGTATATGTATGCCAACCATATAACATGAACAAGTATATCTATGCTAACCATATAACATGAACAAGTATATGTATGCCAAACATATAACATGAACAAGTATATGTATGCCAACCATATAACATGAACATGTATATGTATGCCAAACATGAACAAGTATATGTATGCCAACCATATAACATGAACGAGTATATGTATGCCAACCATATAACATGAACAAGTATATGTATGCCAACCATATAACATGAACAAGTATATGTATGCCAACCATATAACATGAACAAGTATATGTATGCCAACCATATAACATGAACAAGTATATGTATGCCAACCATATAACATGAACAAGTATATGTATGCCAACCATATAACATGAACAAGTATATGTATGCTAACCATATAACATGAACAAGTATATGTATGCCAACCATCTCTCTATCATGACACAAACACTTTGTGTGGCGAATTCATATTATACTGTTCAACTCTTGATAGGGATATCCCTATTGTTCTTTTACACTCTTTATTTATGGCTAAGTCTAAATTGAGCTGCGAACTAGTTGGTATGACCAATGGTGTCTACCCCTGCTCATCTTACGAGGCACATCAAGCCCACTTTCCAGTGCTAAATATGATTGGACTATTGCACATATCGTTGCACAACCTCAACATCTGGGTTCTGAAAACATGTTAGCTGCCACAGCTTGTCAAATTTGCACTGAAGTTCTTTCAATAATTAAGTGATTTTTCCGAGTATATTCTGAGTCTTTACAAGTTTTAAATCAAGTCACCCAAGTACTGAGCTTGTTACGGTAACACATTATTTAAGTACTGGCAGTGGTTTGTTTATGACTGACCATCTACATTATACCTGAGTATTTTCTGGTCGGAAACCCCTAACAAAATATGTTCAAAATTCAAAATTGAAGAAATGCTGACATCCTTGAAGTGATTCTTTTGTGCAACAAAACCCACTTCAAAATACTTGAGAAGCTGGAGCTGAGGTGGGGTTTTCGAGTGTCAAGTTGACTGTTTTTTCACTCAACATTTTGTATCTGTGACAATACTGTTCGAGTGTGATGTGATCTGTTACCTCATGATTGGACAATAAATGTCTTGAAAAATTGATTTTGCCAGATGGAAAACTAGCTGATCTGTTAAACCTCTCACCCCAAAACTCAAAGAATTATGATAGTTCCCCCATCAAAAAGATCAGAGAAAGCATGTGTAACAGCTCCTGAATTTGTTCTCCAAATCACCTGAAACTTAACCAACTGTTCGAGAATGAATTAACACAGATGATCACAACTCCATTCTCTCCACCATCGTGGTCACCAGCTTCTGCAGGTCCTTGGCCCGTAGCTCCCCCATGGCCAGCACCTCCTCGTGTGTCGTGGCGCGGGTCTCCTCATACTCCAGAGAACACATGTCAGTGATCAGCGAGATGCCAAATGTGCGTATCCCACCATGCTTTGCAACCACAGCCTCGGGCACAGTACTCATTCCTGTTGGTTATAGAAAATGATATCATTTATTTTATCAGCATTTATTATCCAAAGGATATACCGCTACAAGAATTGCATCACAATGCTTTGCAGACTATTGTGACATCATCTGTCACCATGGCATCACAATCAAATGACATCACTTATCTCTCTGCCACTGAAGCCAGTTAGCTGTATTTTTTACACTCAAGGGACTGGTCCTTACCATGATTACTGTTTACAAACTGAAAAAGTTGGAAGAATTATTATTTATGATAAATATAATTTTACCCTTGTATCTTTTTATATAAAAAAACACTTGTCAACGGATGTTGATATATCTGATATCAAAAGACACTGAGGTCAGATTCTCTATATGAACTATAATGCAGGACAACTTTTTCAGTAACTGATACATCATCGATACATGGAGGTGAGGTGAGATGGAATGGAGTTTAACATACACTTGTATAGTGACATGCATGCTATACCCACAACGTGCATGCACACGTGGCTGCTTATATTAGTCAGGACTAATGCCGATTTTACAAGGCCAGCCAACTGTGTTACCATGCCATAGTTTAACGCCAGGCAGGGTAACAACAAGTACCATCACTTAATGTCTTTTGGTATGACACGGTTGGGGATCAAATCCTCGACCTTCCAGTCTATGGGTGGACGTTCTACCACTAGACCACGTAGGTTGTCTGCTACATGGTCAGGGATCGAACCCTTGACCTTCCACACTCCGGGCGGACGTTCTACCACTAGACCACGTAGTTTGTCTGCTACATGGTCAGGGATCGAACCCTTGACCTTCCACTCTCCGGGTGGACGTTCTACCACTAGACCACATAGGTTGTCTGCTACATGGTCAGGGATCGAACCCTTGACCTTCCACACTCCGGGCGGACGTTCTACCACTAGACCACGTAGTTTGTCTGCTACATGGTCAGGGATCGAACCCTTGACCTTCCACTCTCCAGGCGGACGTTCTACCACTAGACCACATAGGTTGTCTGCTACATGGCCGGGGATTGAACCCTTGACCTTCCACACTCCGGGCGGACGTTCTACCACTAGAACACGGAGATTGTCTGCTACATGGAGGATGAAGTCTAATCACATCAATGACATGAAGAAATGTATTTCTTTTTAAAAAATTCTGGCATGAACAAATCAAATCCCATTCTGTAGCTACACATCATATCAATGTTTCCATACTAGACTTCATGGTTTCATGGTATTAAATTAATTACATTTCATTTTAAGAGATGACATGAACAAACCTCTACTAAACATTGTCCTAAAGGTTCCTAAAATTAATCAGTGTATGTACAGATGACAGAGAGACAGCCTGTTGTTTGGTTGTAGTTAATGCCGCACTCAGCAATATTCCAGCTATATGATGGCGGTCTGTAAATAATCTTGACCAGACAATCCAGTGATTGACATCATGAGCACCGATCCATCGAGCATCATTGGCACTGTCTTACTTAGATAAACTAGTGATGCTGTATTTCATACATGTGTTGCTAGGTACATCGTGTACTCAGAAATATGCAAGGAATATGTCTGGAAATACGTCAGAAATACCAGTGATTGATATAAAGAGAAACCCCAACTGTTGGTAAAAAGACACAATCAGAAAGTCACTGAGTCTGACCACCCAATCCGTTTTGTCACCTCTTGCATAAAGCACGTACAGCAAGTCTAACACTGAATCCCCACAGGGACAAAATGATACTCACACAATGACCAGACAAGACTGACCAGACATTTTAAGTGATGCCATATCGATGATAACAAAAGCTATTCAGACTAGCACATGCTTCTATGGTTTTACAAGACAGCCACTGGCCAATCAAACAGCTAGATTTTACAATGAGCCACGTTAGAACACTAACCCACAGCATCAGCTCCGTACAGCCTCAGCAGCCTCGACTCGGCAACAGTCTCAAAGGTGGGTCCACCGATCATGATGTAGACCCCCTCACGCATGTAATCGCCATATCCCAGTTCCTTCCCAATCTCAGCAGCCATGGACCTCAGTTTGCTGTCATAGATGTCCACAGTAGCCGGGAAACGCGGACCAAACCTAGACATCATATACAGGAGTTTACTTAGACTAACATTTAGTCTCTGAAATCTTATATTACACAATATCCTTCTTGACTCTAAAAATAAAATAAAAATTCCCTATGCTGATTTCAGATGTGGAATAGAGCTAGCTTGAGCTGGCTAGACTTGCTTTTGTATGCATTTCTAGATTATGTTTTTTTCATAAAATAAATATATTCCACGGTCATGGTGCAGGACTAGAGTTTACTGAGAAAACTTACATATGAACAGTATATGCAATATTTTATGCACCAAATCAGGATGTCAATAGTGAGAAAAGTGCAAGATTCGCAAAGACAATTATGTTGAGGTGTCAGCCATGTTATTTCAAGGGAGGTCACTCCAGGTAAAATGTAAGAGACAAACTATTGCCAGTGACAAATTGCGTTGTTTGGTGTTTTAACCGTCTTAACTTCCTTCATTTCTGGGCTAAGCGTGACCTTTCCGTGTTACATTTACGAACACATCAAGGCCTCACCCACCGGTCGTCATTCTTGCCGATGAGCACGCACTCCCCGGTGAGTCCTGGCAGGTCGATGTGATCCTTTATGATCATCATGTCGCCTGCCTTGTAGTCCGGGTTGATGCCCCCGGCCGCGTTGGTGACAAACAACGTCTTCACACCCATCTGCTTCATCACCCGCACCGGCATTGCCACCTACAGTCATATGTACACTTGAAGTATAACATTATGCCAGTGATTGTTGTAGCATTATTATCATAAGGTGAATTTAGACTTCTTCTAAGACTTGGTCCACCAATCTTTGTTTCACAGATGGTAAAATTCAATGGTATTCATAATGGAATAGAGACTTAGTACACTGTAGTCAAGGATAAGGATTGGACTGACCAGATAAAACAAACCATGATCCTACTAATTTGATTCCATGTCCTACATTCACTCATCAATCAGGGGCAGTGGGGTAGCCTAGTGGTTAAAGCGTTTGCTTGGCACACCTAAGGCCCGGGTTCAATTACCCACGTGGAGCCCATTTCTGGAGTCCCTGCCATGAGATTGCTGGAATAAAACGGTGAAAAACATACTCACTCACTCACTCAATAATAACTGGATTACCTGTGCCAGATGCCAGCAGGCTACCATGTAATGACTCAAAGCCCAACTCACTCACTCACAGCGATTCACCCTACCTTCCACATGGGGTACCCCTCGTAGTAATGGAATCGTCCTCGCATCAGCACCACCGGCTTGCCACTCAGCGTTCCGAACACCAAGTAGCCCATGTGACCTGGCACTGAAACAAGGTCACGCCCCTGCCTTAAAGCCGATGCATCAAATAACAATAACACCTGTCCATTAATATTAAACCCAGTTATTTTTTTAACATATGGACAATTCAAAATTCCTGGTCCATTCCCAGTGGAAATAAAGGCCATACTCCTGTTAAATAAGAACCAAACAAATCAATTCAGAACTTGACATGGTATTTTTAAGAAAAGGTGTCATTATCATGCCTTGAACCTTAACTTCTTTTGAGTAGTATATGATCCCATACAAAATTTCAATGTGTACTTTTACTAACAAAACACCCTGCAAAACCTGTTATTTTGGAAACAGAGACAGCCCCTAGTCCAGTGTTTGAAATATTATTAGAACCCAACAATACAGTCAGGCAGGTGACCCATGAATGTTGCCTGCCCATCTTCAAAGTTACCTGCCAACATTCAGATATAATAAATATTGAAAAATAAGAGACAAATCATGGCTTAATTCAGTTGAAATAATACTAACAACTACTTGAGAGTGTACGAGGAGTTATAATAAAACTGAATATGTAAGTAGTCTTAAAAGTATCTGCCAGACAGTCGGGCAGGTAGAGCAAAATTTCATGCAACCTGACAGAAAAGTAACCAGCCACGGGCAGGCGGGCAGGCGGGCAAGCAGTTATTTCAGACACTGCTCCAGTCTAGTTACAGATGAGCCTAGTCAGTTGCAGACAGTTGAAAGGGGGGACTGTGTACATACCTGTGCTGACTGGGAAGTCCTTGATCTCTGAGTAGGGGATAGTGTCGCTGTCCTCCACCATGTCCGCCAACCCACCCAGGCCAGAACCACAGATGATACCCAGCACGGGCCGGTGCCTGGTGCGAGTCAGTATGGCCTGGGAGATACGCTGGATATCTTCATAGGTGTAGCTTTAACAGATGGGAGATAATGGACTTAACTACACTCTTCTCTTGTATTGGGTTTACTATCATTTTAATGATATTCTGAATGTTGTTGAAATAAAATCATTTTAATGTGGGCAGACCATTTATTAAAAACTTGCTTTAGCACATTGTCTTAATAAATTATATTATACTCAAGGTTTTTCTTTCAAAAGGCTTCCAACAGTAACCAAGATATAAAAAAAGTGTAGCCTAATTTACCTTTACAACAACATTGATTTATATTTTTTTGTTTACTGATAAATGTTTCCTTTTGGTCTACTAGCCTAGGGTTGAGAATAAGGATTGGGTCCTTAATCTGAATGCATGCGTAGGTCTGACGTATCTGTTGAAAAAGGTACCATAACGTTACCATGACGAGATGTTATTATCACCAGAGGTTTTAGCAGAAGGGAAGTAAACTTTTAACTTTCTTCAACTTAATTATTTTCTTTAATTCACCCAACCAACAACAGCTTTTGATATCAATTTCATAATAAACATTTCTAAAAATAGGTGGCAGTCTATGTTGCAATCCCACTAGGGTTTATCTCAGATACAATACATTGGTAAGGCTCTGTAGGACACCAGGGTTAAATAACATACTGAATTAGACCCTCATACCTGCCTGCCTAACAACCAAACTACTCCCACACATCTTTTTATAGGTCACAAGTACCCACAGATGAAAATCATTATGTGTGTTGCCCGTATCTTAACTTGGTTAAAGGGGCGGTCGGGTAGCCTAGTGGTTAAAGCGTTCGCTCGTCAGGCCGAGCCGGTATTAATTCCCGACATGGGTACAATGTGTGAAGCCCATTGCTGGCTTCCCTCGCCGTGATATTGCTGGAATATTGCTAAAGGCTGCTGAAAACTATACTCACTTACTCACTAACTTGGTTAAATATACATTTATGCTTCATGTGAACCCCATATGTTGATGGTTAAGTAAACAGGTGCTTTAAATAGCTTGTTCAAACAAACATAAAACATTAAAAACTAAAATGCCTTCAACCTGACATTTTTGTCAAATTTAGATGATAATCTAATCATTAAGTTATTGTAGCTCAACAGGTTGTAGTTTGAGGGCTTACAATATCAGATCAGGAGTCTTTATAAATATTTGACCCAGTCCATAAATATTTGTAGGAATCAAATAACTATCCAGTTGGTTGTTTGGACGGATAGAAGCAACAGGTCTGCAGGTATGACACTAGTTTAAAGGAACTGGTGATGTTTGCTTGGAATTTGTGGAAGATAATGTTTGCACTTGTATGACAGGCCAATGGCAAATTCTGTTTCTGCTACCATGTCTGTTGATTAAAGAAGGACACTAAGCGACTATGGTAAAGAAATGCCTACAAAGCACTTTTTTAATGAATAGTTTGGTAACAGTGTAATACTGTCATTAGTTACCATGGTTACAATTTAAGACATAAAGTGGATAGAGTAGAACATAACAACAAAAAAGGATTTCATCATTTTTTGCCGAATGTGTGTTGTCGTACCCCGACTGCGTGGTTAGTTGCTCACAATATCAATCACTGGACTGTCTGGTCCAGACTTGAATATTTACAGGCCACTGTTATATAGCTGGAATATTGCTGAGTGTGGCGTTAAACAACAAACCATGAACAATGACAAGAGGTAGGAAATCTTGAACAATCAGCTGGCACAGGCATAATATAACACTCCCCTTGGAAGAAAGAAAAAATAGACTGCTGTAAACATAAATGCATCAGATTCCTTGGAATCTTGGAATTTCTTGGAATTTTGGAATTTTTAACATTTAATATTCAATAATAACAGAAATAACTCACAGCACAAAGTTGGGTTTTTAGATCCCCAACATTGTGCTAAAATATATTTGTGCTTTAAAGATCGTCACCAGATTATTTGTTTTCACATGTGATTCAAAATATTTGCATATAGCAAAGATATACTCATAAAGTATTTAAGTGATTGATTATATAAAAAAATTATATCAAAATTAGCTTCTTCGTTGCTGGATTGCTGATAACTGACTCAGTATGACTAAATAGAATACCACATTCAGAAGGGTCTTAAAATAGAGTATCCTGAAAACTGATTATTATTTTCATTATTTCATAGTGTAGAGAGAGAAAAAAATTATTTTTCAAATTCTTACCTCTAAAATAAAACACACAAAAGAACATTATAAATTTGAATGCAACAATAAAATTGTACTTCTACACTCTGAAATCAGTCACGCAACATAATGCAAAGCAGATTGATAAAATTATGATTTTTACCTGCTCACCAACCTGCAAAATCAGTAGAAAACAATTCAATATGTTTACAATTGATATTCATCAAAATTCTTTAAACTCACATTACTAAAACTTTGGCAATTCTTATCAACATGTGTTTCCATTAATTTCCATTATTATGTTAATCAAAATGGATTTTTCCCAAAATTGTTTCCTACCTATTCAATCTAACATGTATCTAAAATGACATTTAGAAGTATCTGTTTTGAAACATCCCACTGAAACAACTAAAATTTGTTATCATCGTTGATCCTGACCCCGAGCCAACATGTGTAAACTATTTTACAGCAATAAACATATTTTTATTGATCCATGTATCCTCTGCCTTGAAGGAGTTGTTTCAGTGTGATGTTTCAGCTATGAATTCCAGTGGCAACTGATTTAAGTTAATAATATTGATTTTTTCCCCATAACTGTAGATATTTTGATCGTTATCAATATGTGTGAACATTGATGGGACTGAGTTAGACTGAAAACACTATGGGTCGAGCTGCTCGACTGCTGTGGGATACTATAGAACACCGTAGAACAATGTCTTTCCTGTTGCAACTTTGTAAACTTAACAGATGATATCACCCAGGCTATATCAACAACTGGAAGTGCTTCATATCTTCACTCCGTTACGAACTTGTTTACACTAGTTCCTCTAACAAGAAGCAAGAACGTGAAGTATTGACAATGGTTTCTGAAAAGAAAATTGAGGATAGTTCTTTTCCGTTCCTTTTCTTCCAGCACGCTAGAACGCACAAACGTGGTAGAAACACTCGCAGACATCAGAGACAATATAATATCTATAATATGGTCTCTGCTGACATACAGTTTCTACGATTATTGAAGGAATCTGAACACTAACTGCGCTCATGGGCGCTATGGCATGTGGACACCCAGAAATTAATGCAAATAGTCTCATCGGTGGGATTGTGTGTGGTTTGAATCTTATCTGTAGCTGGTGTTAAATGATATATCGTGGTATGATATGAATATTATCTCACCCCCGTGACCCCTCGGGGTCAGTCCCTCCAACCGCTGGCACGGACATGATACAGGCGGAATGATACGCTCGACAAAGCCGCCTCACAAGTCTAACAATAAAACCGTCTGCTATAAAATATGGACTGAAGCGACCAATGTGAAGGCCGCAATCAAGGGCAGCCTAGGTCAAGGTGACCATGGTGAAAAGGTTAATGCTTGACTTCCATGTCCAAATATCGAAGCAGGGTCATATTATTTGCAATTTTCCTCGTAAATGTACAACATTGTGGTATTAATTAACATAAGAACATAGTGTGGGCGTTTTTCGCGTCAAAACGAGAACGCGGTGAGAAATCGGAACGTGGGCATACGCACGTAAAGAAACAAGACTCGTTGGAGGCAGTACTACAAACATATTTTACATGTTTTGCCATTACGTGCATGATCCCGCGAACACATTCCTTTGAAGTCATCTCATTCTGTTTTGTTCTTTTTAAAGAGATACATATATATTTGATTGAATAAAGTTTCATGAATATTTTGTTCGTATAGTCCTCGCCACTTGAAATAGTTTGTGAGTGGGTATGGTTTTACGCCGCCATTAGCAATATTCCAGCAATATCATGGCGGGGGACTCCAGAAATGGGCTTCACACATTGTACCCATGTCGGGATTCGAACCAGGGTCTTCGGCGTGACGAGCGAACGCTTTAACCACTAGGCTACCTGACCGCCACACTTGAAATAGAAATACGAAATATAGCGATAATTAATTAATGAAGATAGCTGTATCTCAACTATTAAGGGTAAACAAGACCTTCCAGCGATAAGGAATGCTACTTATATTAATGACAAACATGGAAAGTTCGCTTTTCAAGAAGTATCCATTTTGTTGGCGATAACCATCATGATTGAGTTTTAATTGGTCACGTGGTTACAATTCGGGGAAGGATCGACAGCCAGGTCACTGCAATCGGCTATGGTCATCAGTGCGTGCTTTTATGTCACTTCAGGAAGGTCAAGGCCGCCCATTAGTTCAACAGTTGTCACTCACTCGTCAATAATCATTGAAGCCTACGTAAAATATATTCAGGCATCTTCTCGCAAGCAATGGATCCAGGGAAAAAAATAATATCTCTCTCTCTCTTATTGTAGCGAAATGTCCCATATGGAATTCAATTATGGAATTCAAGGTGTGTTTAAACATATAATTGATATATTGCATAAACAGACTACACGTACAACGCATTTCACGTCAAACACAAAGATAAACATACAAAATTGGCAATGCATGCATATTTCCCATTCAATTACCCTTAGACCGGTGAAGATCCGGGACTTCAGCAACCTATGCTTGCCGTAAAAGGCGACTATGCTTGTCGTAAGAGGCGACTAACGGGATCGGGTGGTCAGACTCGCTGACTTGGTTGATGCATGTCAGCGTATCCCATTTACGTAGATCGGTGCTCACGACATCAGTCACTGGATTGTCTGGTCCAGACTCGATTATTTACAGAGAGCCGTCATGTTGCTGGAATATTGCTGAGTGTGATGTCAAACAATAAATAAACATTCATGTATAATATCGTCAAAATCACGGTTCGCTGTCATGACGTGCAAAAAGATGTATGGAATAGGCCCATTGCAGGTCACGTGTCCTCCAGGGGGCGTGTCTGGGTGCATCTATATGTGTTTCAGTATTCAACATTCAGGCCGTGTGTGCGTGTGTGTGTGCGGGTGTGTCTGCGTCTAATCATCTGTACGTGCATGTTATATATTCCGTGTTTGTGTTTGGGAAAGCATGAATGTTTTACTTCCTGGATTAAGGCTGACGCTGTGCCTTGCGTTCAGGCCCAGTTGCTGACCAAATAAATGTGTATCATAAATATGTTAGTGTTTGTCTGCGTTTACAAAAGCTTGAGACGATCATGCAACATGTTTTAGACTATATTTCAACACATGTCAATGAATTATGCATAAGAGGAAACATGATTGACATATTTGTTGTTGACGTTTGCATGGATAATGTATGTTTGAGTTCGTCATCCAAGCATGGCCGTACATAGCAAGTCGCCGGGCGGTCCTTTAGGCTCCTTGAATGTTGTCAAACCGACACGTCAGTGAAGTCATTATATACATTAACCACATAATCTGGCGTTTTTTTCTTTGAAGAAAATGGATACCTCTAAATCAAACACGCGCGAAGAGCCAGATTATAATTGTTCTTCAGCAACTCATGCTTGTAAGCGGCGAATAACGGGAGGGTGGTCAGGCTGGCTGATTTGGTAGATGTCTACAGTTGGCGTTCTCGTGTTTGTTGCCGTGAGCTGGTGTCCGGCAACGCAAAGTGTCTTCCTTGAGTTAATCCCGGAGCTCTAGCTGCTTCGGAACAACATCCTGCCTTTGTCAAGATTAATGTGATAATGAATCCATGAGTCATCAAAGGTGTCAGGGCTACTTATGATGTTTATGCCGAACCTAGCAGGTGGAATCATAGTGATTCGTTTATTCTTTCTAGAGGAGAAGGGTCAAGGGTTGGCTCCTTACCCCACCTTCCTGCTGTGATATGCTTGAATACTGCTAAAACTACAGTAAAGGCAATGTAAAACCCGACCCCCCTCACTCACTTCTTCCTTAGATCAGCTGAACTGAGGCTTCAAAGCTTCTTGCTGTGCTTTGCTGTACAGTGTTTGTAACAAGCCCTCCTGGCCCCGGAACTAAGTCATACACTGTACACAGGCATTGATAAAGACACAGAAGATTGTGAGGTTTGCCTCATGTTTTACATTATCCTTGACTGGAACCAAATACTACTACAGGAGACCCAGCTATGAAGATCATGTAAAACAAGTTTGATCCATAGCCTACTTCAAAATTGAAGTTATGTTGACGACAAGCTTATTCCCTGTGACTTTGTTCCTTATTGCCTGTCAATAATTGAGTCTGGACCAGACAAACCCGAGATTGATATAATGAGCGGACATACTTGCACTGACTGACCTCCTCATCCATCTTGTCCAACAAGCACTGGTTGCTGGGGCCTTGAATCCTCATGGAGTTTTACCTTGACCTTTAACATCAGCTAATAAAGTACCAAAACATTTCTAGTAGCTTTGTGCCATGTATCATGAATTAAAAGAAATAATGTTCCTTGTTTCGAAATATGAGTGAGTGAGTATGGTTTTATGCCGCTTTTAGCAATATTCCAGTAATATTACGGCTGGGGACACCAGAAATGGGCTTCACACAATGTACCCATGTCGGGAATCGAACCCCGGGCATGAGGAGCCAATGCTTTAACCACTAGGCTACCCGAATATAGTCACTTGACCATGTCCTTGACCGCAAAACAAAGTTACCTACCTAAATTTTATCAGACATTTGGTCAAATCTGTGTCAAAATTTCTCAACTTATCCTGATAACAAATTGACACATATTTCATCAGTGACCTTCACCTTCCATGTCAGACCATAACATGACAACTGATGGGTATGCAGATGTTTTGTTTGTTTGTTGTTTAACTCTGCACTCAGCAATATTCCAGGTATATGACAGCGGTCAGTAAACAAACAAGATGGACCAGACAATCCAGTGATTGACATCATGAGCATCAATTCACGCAATTGGGTTACGATGACATGCATCAACCAAGCCAGCGAGCCTGACCACCTGATCCTGTTAGTTGCCTCTTATGACAAGCATAATCGCCTTTTATAGCAAGCATGGGTTGCTGAAGACCTATTCTAATGGGATACTCAAGGGTATGCAGATGTGCAAGAGTGAGCGTGCGAGTATGGTTTTATGCCACTTTTGGCAATATTCCAGGAATATCATAGCGGGGGACACCAGAAATGGGGTTAACACAATTTACCCCTTTGGGGAATCGAACCCGGGTCTTCGGCGTGACGAGCAACCGCTTAAACCACTAGCCTACCTGACTGCCCAAGATGTATAAGCACATGAAGTGAGAACATGGTGTGATGGTGGTGCCATTTGATAAAGAAAAAAAAAAAAAGAAGGTTTCCAAAGATATTGTACCAGTTGGCAGCTATATGCACATCACAACACACAAGTTCCACATTTCTGTATTTTATTTCACTGTATGTTACTCCATACATAACAGTACTCTGTACATCACCATGGAAACATAAGATAAACATAAATCGACAGTTGTTGACATGACAATAGCAGCAAATGTGCAAATATTACAAGCAGTCATTACAGAGCTAGTCAGATAACACATACAAGATGGTGCCAACCCCCTACTGCTACACCGGATGCCAACCCCCTAATGGTACACCGGATGCCAACCCCCTAATGGTACACCGAATGCCAAGCCCCTAATGCTACACCGGATGCCAAGCCCTGTTAAGTGGTATTCCGGATGCCGCGGTGCTGTACACCGGATGCCATGAAATGTTTATCTGGTATGTGGATGCCAATATTTCAATGTTGAAATTTAGTTTTCATTTTTTTTCCAAAGGGTGACACACCAATCAATTACTTAGCCCTAAGCTTATGAGCACGAAACCAATCAATTACTTAGCCCTAAGCTTATGAGCACTAAACCAATCAATTACTTAGCCCTAAGCTTATGAGCACGAAACCAATCAATTACTTAGCCCTAAGCTTATGAGCACGAAACCAATCAATTACTTAGCCCTAAGCTTATGAGCACGCATGGTCAGGCATTCTATCCCCATCTTATTTACTTGTACAGCTGTGTCCCTTATGTCTTAAGACTTCTTAAACTAGATGCCAAGGTAAATGCCAGCTGACTAGAGATGTGGGGTTGGCACCTTCACACAAGAAATCACGCAAGTGTGTGCGCGAGTGTGTGCACGATTGTGTGCGTGAGATGATTTGTAACAAGATGATAACATGATGGGACACTTGAATCTACGAACAAAACAACATGAAACAGAAGGTGCTGGATCGATCACAATGATTTTACGATGAACAACTAAACGGGAAAGATGAACTACACAATATTTTTCTTTGATTTTAGTCTTAGATCCCAGAAATATTGTACCTTTTCTTCTTGACTGGTTCATAGATGAAGTGGTCTCAGGAATGTACAGTTGATAGCACTGCTGATTCATATTCTCAACAATGAGCAGCTCTTGCTCAACAACCCTCTATATAATCAGAAAAACATAAACCATTTGCACCACATCATCAACATCCATTCTCTGTACAGTAACTTGCCATTGATTTCTCTACACACACCGGAACCATGCACCAATGTTCCATCAACAGAGCTTCGCTGTTAAATCAACAAAGTCCCACTTTTCCAACAGTAAAGCCTCTCTGTTACATCAGTAAAGCCTCTCTGTTCCCTCAACAGAACCGCACTGTCCATCAGTAAATCTGTCTGTTCCATCCAGTATATATACACTATTCTGTGGTAATCACTGACACTCGGGGTATCATGATTTCTTGGTGCGAGAGCTTCTCCTTGTGACCGGTGAGGTTTTGGGTGCAGCCTTCCCGCCACGACCTCTACGACTTCGACCCGCTTTCTTCTCTGCTGGAGCCTGTGGACAAAACATTGAAGAAAGTCAACGAAACAAAAACAATAATATACAGAAAAGAATATTGCCATGTTCCTCCCCATTCCTTCAAACCTCTTTTAGTCAATCCCGTACAAAGCCAGTATGTATAGAACAAATGTCAAACAATGAAGACATAATGGGACTCATATAGAATGACAACGTCTTGGTTCAATCACATTCATACTAGTTGGCCACACCAGTTACCCACCTAAGCTACCGCACCCTGACCATCTTCCTGAGGCAAGGGAGTTAACTTAGGGTAAAAAGTCCAGTTTCTACCCTTGCCGAGCTAGGCTGGAATTATGGAGTCATATTTTGGCTGGACTGAGTCTATGCATAGCCCAATCAAAATCGCGTATCAAAAACGACTTGGGGTTTGTAAACAACATGGATCTCAACATGTAGATTTCAGTTAACTGCAGGATCTGCAAAGGATGTGTACTGTCATTTTTCCTTATCTTTTCATGTTCTTAATCAAGGTGCTCACATTATTTGATGCACTTCACAAGGTAAGACACGTTTTATTACAGTATAGATCTTGATTATCGATCAGATCAGCTTGGCTGGGTGCGCCATTTTGTTTGAAGCAAATGCAAGTGATATGAGAGGTGGAAACTGATTGGTCATAGGGGCATAGAAGGGACATAACTGGTAATAGTCACTGGTGGCGCTACGATCAAGCCCAGAAATTCTATCCCAATTCGGCAAGTGTGGAAACTGGACTTGGAGTTAACTCCCTTGTTGTTGGGAGTTTGCAGCCCTACCGTCACCAGGTACCACCACCAGTCCCTCTCATTGACCCGCAGTACCCACCTGTTCCTCCTCCTCCTGGGTGTCCATCGCCTCCTCCTGACTGCCGCCGCCCTGCTCCCCCAGGTCTAGTGACCCCTCCCCCAGGGAGCTCTCCGCTGTCTCCATGGCCTCCGTCTCTGTGCTGGCCCCACCCTCCTCTGACACCTGCACACAGAGCACACAGCTCCCATGTCAACATTTCTCTGCCAGCATAGGTTGCTTGGGATCAGTTCAAGCCTGGACTCCCCTCCCCATAGGGTCACAGCGAGCAGTATGAGGGGTGTACAGGATTTCAGTTATGCAATCTGAGTTAAATAAGTAAGGATAAGAATTTATGGATGAACTTCCGTATTACAATTAAGAGCGGCGTTTCGGTGTAGGTTCTAACACCGTTATCAAGCAAGTGTTACAGTGTAGGTTCTAACACCGTTATCAAGCAAGTGTTTCGGTGTAGGTTCTAACACTGTTATCAAGCTCTTAATTGTAATAAAGAAGTTGTTCATCCATAAATTCTTATCCTTACTTAGTACTCCAACTTCTAAATGCCTATCAAAGAAGTTAATCTGAGGTAAAGCCCATTGAGGCCCCAACAAACCAACATCAGTCACAACTTGGGCAAATCTAAGAATCAACCCCACAACCAGCAGATTATGGAAGAAAAGGGACACATCTCTGCACAGTGGTTTGCTTTGCTATAGAGTGAGTGAGAAAGTTGGGTTTAATACCGCTTTTTTGCTTTAGAACACAGGGTTACCCACACCTAGAAAACTAGAAAAAAATTAATAGTGCCCCTTTGGTAGCATACATATTTATTTTTAAATCAAAGTATTTTGTTATTTCAATTATTTGTTTATTTGCTTGAAATTTTAAGTTTTTCCTTGTTATTTTGATTATATTTTTGAAAAATTTCAATTATTTTCTCATTACTTTGAGTTTTTCCTCGCTATTCCGATCATATTTTTATATGTTCAGTTAATCCATGTAACTACATCTTCCTCACCTCAGACTTGGGCTCCACTTGTGGCTCGTCATCTTCTCCAACTTCATCCAGCACCTTCATCCCTTCATCGGTCAGCTCCTCTTTCAGCTCCTCTTTCACCGTCTCTTCCTCCACACACTTCTCTTCTTCTTTCACCTTCTCTTGTCTCTCCTTTGCTTCTTTCTCTTGTCTTTCCTTTTCCTCTCTCTCTTTCTCCATTTTATCTCGCCTCTCTTTCTCCATTTTATCTTGCCTCTCTTTCTCCATTTTATCTTGCCTCTCTTTCTCTTTTTTCTCCTTCTCCATTTTATCTTGTCTCTCTTTCTCTTTCTTCAACCTCTCCTTTTCAGTTCTTTCTTGTTCTAATCTGTCTTTTTCGGCTTTTTCCACTGCCAGCTTTTCTTCCCTTTCTTTCTTTTTCCTTACTTCTTCCTTTTCTTTCTCTCGCCTCTGCTTTTCTTCTTCATCTTGCTTCTCCTTCTTTATAGCCTTCTCCTGCTCTTCCTTCTCCTTCCGTTCTCTCTCCAACTGTTGTTTCTTCTCCACTTCTAATTTCTCCTTTTCTTTCTTCTCTCTCTCCAGTTTGTCTCTCTCTGCCTTCTGTTTCTCTTTTTCCAATTTCTCTTTTTCCAATTTCTCCTTTTCCCTCATTTCCCTATCTGCTTTCTCCTTTTCGCTTTTTTCTTTCTCCGCCCTCTCCCGAGCTATTCGCTCAGCTTCTAACTTGACAAATGTTTCCTCTTCCTCTTTCTGCTTGGCCTTCTTCTCGGCCTCAACACGCGCGGCTTCGGCTTTGCGCTGCTCCTCCAGTGGGTCTGTCTCCAGCACCGTCATGATGCCCTTCGGGATGTGGGCTTGCTGAAGACACAAGTCGCAAAATCACATAGCAAACAAGTGAGTGAGTGAGGGAGTGAGTTGGGTTTAACGCCGCTTTGAACAGTATTCCAGTTATATCACGGCGTGTCAGCTTAATGTTGGAGGAAAGCTCGAAGTAATGCAGGTCTCAGACTTTTACCACTTCGGTGAAACCACAGTTGTGGTGCTGACAAACCTGGAAACATAATCGGGGTGAACCGGGATTCGAACCCACAATCATAGGTTTCTGGCGTGCCCAAGGGATGCAACTCTGCACAGCAAAAAGTGGCGCCTTAGACGATTGGGTCACCCGTGCTCCCCATAGCAAACAAGAAAAGTGTTTGTCTTATGTCTTACTTTAAAACTGAAAGTACTATGCCTCTAACAACACTGATAAGACAATTATATGCACTTCTGGTTTAGTGACCTTACTTCTGGTTTGGAAATTTCCTGAATTTTTTACCTTATTTCATAATTTGACCTGTAGTGACCTTGCCCTTATATGGAGGTCTTGATGCAACCGAGATCCTACCTAAGAGATCATATACTAAGTTTCATCAAATTCCAAAATAAATAATCACGTTCCCTTGCACTTAAGCTTCTTGAAGCCCAACCACAGAGTGACCTTGACCTTCAATATCATCCTATCACATGCCAGACCATTACTTGCTGCAAACTTGGTGTGAAGTATGAAGTCACCATATCACACTGCCACAAAGGGTTAATATCCCTGTTATGACCTCACAAAGGGTTTTATATCTAAGTTATGACCTCACAAGGGGTTTATGTCCAAGCTATGACCTCACAAGGAGTTTATATCCCAGTTATGACCATCCCAAGGGGTTTATATCCAAGTCATGACCTCCCCAAGGGGTTTATATGCCAGTTATGACCTCACAAAGGGTTTATATCCAAGCTATGACTTCACAAGGAGTTTATATCCCAGTTATGACCTCACAAGGGGTTTATATCCAAGTCATGATCTCCCCAAGGGGTTTAAATGCCAGTCATGACCTCACAAAGGGTTTATATCCCAGTTGTGACCTTACAAAGGGATTTATATCCAAGCTATGACCTCACAAGGAGTTTATATCCCAGTTATGACCATCCCAAAGGGTTTATATCCAAGTCATGACCTCCCCAAAGGGGTTTATATGCCAGTTATGACCTCATAAAGGGTTTTATATCCATGTCATGACCTCACAAAGGGTTTATATCCCAGTTATGACCTTACAAAGGGTTTTCTATCCAAGCTATGACCTCACAAGGGGTTTTATATCCAAGTCATGACCTACCCAAGGGGTTTATATCGCAGTTATGACTCACAAAGGGTTTATATTCCGATTATGAACTCTCAAAAGGGCTTATATCCCAGTTGCACTTGTGCTTCTCGAAGCCCAACTAACACTGAGTGACCTTGACCTTTAATGTCATCCAATCACACTGCTACAAAGGGTAAATATCCCTGTTATGACCTCCATATATCCAAATCATGACCTCCCCAAGGGGTTTAAATGCCAGTCATGACCTCACAAAGGGTTTATATCCAAGTCATGACTACCCAAGGGGTTTATATCGCAGTTATGACTCACAAGGGGGTTTATATTCCAGTTATGACCTCGCAAAAGGGCTTATATCCCAGTTATGACTCACAAGGGGTTTATATCCCGGTTATGACATCACAAGTTGTTTTTTATCCCAGTTATGACATCACCATGATACTGCTGGAGAGAACAACTAACAGAAGTCTGATGAGTGCAAAAACAGCAAACTTGATGAATGTGTCCTTTCGTACCTGTTGTGAAGTGAATGCTTTAACATGACACAGAAGTGGCTCGCGGATGTCGGGGCAGATCTCGAAGGCGTTCTTCAGCTGGGAGGCCGGGAGCTGCAGGAGAACCTGGTAGGACTGGGGCTTGGTGCGCTGGCAGCACTTGACAAACCCCTCCCATACCTTCTTCTGCTTCCACACCTAGCAACAGTGAGCGAGTGAGTGAGTGAGTGAGTGAGTGAGTGAGTGAGTGTAGTGAGTGAGTGATGGAGTGAGTGAGTGAGTGAGTGAGTAAGTGAGGGAGTGAGGGAGTGAGGGAGTGAGGGAGATGAAATGGTTTAACAAAATGTTCAAGATTACGGCACATACAGAGTGCTGTCAATGTATTCAGGCCGTGTTAATGTGTGAGAGTAACAATAATTGTAGCACAATGTACGAGGCCCGAGTCCACACAAAAACCTCTAGTTTTTGGAAATTAATGTTTAACATCAAGAAAATGTTTGGAAATATCTATTTGAAAATTTCAACAACAGTCTCGACTTCAGAAATGCAATATTTCACCTCAAGAACACATCAGTTTCTTTCAGTATCAAAGATCTCCTGTGCCCAGTGGGACACTATAGCCATGAGTCTGAAACCGGAGTCAAGCACATCTTTCTGTCTCATAACCTCAGATAATAAAAATGTGTACATCATCAAAAGTATATACTGATATCCAAATATGATGCTCACATGTCTCGGGTAGTTAACTACAAGGATTTCACCGACTCCCTACCTGTTTGATGATGAGTCTCTGTAGGATGTTCATGACGAAGCCAATGAGTCGTGGGTACATTGACAGTGACTGCAGCACTGTCCTCATCAGCAACGTTGGCAGCGGTGTCTGCTCCATCAGCTGCTGCATGACTATAGCCAACACTTCCTGGGTGTAGATCATCTTCTCACTGAAGCACAGGTTGGCCGCTGGAATAGAGGCACACATCGCTACATTTGTTTACGTTACAACTAGCACATCAAGGGCAGTAACTCTTACAGACTGTCGTACATATTACACTCTAGGATTAAATGTACTGTTCTCCACCTCATCACCAATAATTGTGGTCACCATTTATCACTGAACACACTCAGAGAGAGAGAGTTGGGTTTAACGCCGCTTTTAACAGTATTCCAGTTATATCACGGCGTGTCAGCTTAATGTGGTAGGAAAGCCCGAAGTGATGCAGGTCTCAGACGTTTACCACTTCGGTGAAACCCACGGGCACGGGTATGGTCTGAACACACTCAAGGGTGAGACCTACCTTTGATGATGGTCTTCATGTCACACTTGGCGGGGTCGATGTTGTGGAGGGCTACCAGCAACTCAGCCGGTGTGAGGGGGGACGTGTAGCTGGCCGTGCTGTCGCCTGGCAGGAAGAAACGAGGCCTCAGGAATAAGCTACATCATTCAATTTATCAGTAACTAAATTAATTGTGAGAGATCTTTTGACATTTGGCTATCCAGGCAATTCGTTTTGCGTTTGTTTCATAAAGCAAAAAGAAACCAGACAATGCCCACTCAATGTCTATTGTTTCCTGATTGGCTGATAATAAACTGGGTTGGGTCTTCTTACATTGTGTTGAATGCTGTCACTGATTTTGTATTGTTCAATGCTGTGTACAGATGTTTGTGATTAATGCTCTCAATGCTACTGTCGAACCCTGTCGACAGGCGCATAGTCGAAGGAAACCCCCAAATGAAACTCGCAATAACACGTAAGTTACATGAGGTATATATAAATGCTCAGCTTGCAAAATATCAACACTTTCAGTAGTTTGCTTCTTTAATTGCACCTTGTTTAATGAATCACCGACTGTTTGAAATCGTCCACCCTCTTTACAGCGCCTTATGATAAAACAATTAAGCAGGCTTAAGGTTAAATAAGTGAGTGAAGTTATTATTTTTTGTGTTTATTCACTAGAATTGACTTCAATATGTTTTTGCATTTATAAAAGTCTAAATGTAAAAATTGGTACGCACACTTTATGTAAATCCGCTGATACCCTGGTACCCAGATTTGGAATTGAGAGACACAGTTTTGGTACCATCAATAAATAACAGCACTTTGACAAATATTGAAGCACATATTCCCCATGTTCCATACCACATCCCCCATGATGCGTACCACATAATACATACTATATCCCCCAGGATACATACTGTATCCCTTCATGTTACAAACCATATCCCCCATGATACATAATGTATCCCCCAAGACATGTACCACATCCCCCATGATGCGTACCACATAATACATACTATATCCCCCAGGATACATACTGTATCCCCTCATGTTACAAACCATATCCCCCATGATACATAATGTATCCCCCAAGACATGTACCACATCCCCCATGATGCGTACCACATAATACATACTATATCCCCTAGGATACATACTGTATCCCCTCATGTTACAAACCATATCCCCCATGATACATAATGTATCCCCCAAGACATGTACCACATCCCCCATGATGCGTACCACATAATACATACTATATCCCCTAGGATACATACTGTATCCCCTCATGTTACAAACCATATCCCCCATGATACATAATGTATCCCCCAAGACATATACCACATCCCCCATGATGCGTACCACATAATACATACTATATCCCCTAGGATACATACTGTATCCCCTCATGTTACAAACCATATCCCCCATGATACATAATGTATCCCCCAAGACATGTACCACATCCCCCAAGATACGTACCATATCCCCAATGATACATAACGTATCCTCCAAGATATGTACCACATCCCCCATGATATGTACCATATCCCCCTGATACATAACATATACCCGAGAATAGTACCACATTTCCTATGATACGTACGATATCCCAGATGATACATAATCCCCCCCCCCCCCGATACATACTGTACCCTCTATTGTTACATACCGTATCCCCCACTGGTACATACCGTATCTCTCCTCCCCCCCGAATACATACCGTATCCCCCCATTAGTCGGTGGAAAACTTCTTTCACAACCATTGGATTCAGCTTGATTAGTTTGGGCAGAGCACTGATGACCTCAACCTGAAAAGCAACATAATAATTACTTACTCTCCATAGATCTAGCGATGTGAGAGGTCCTGGAGCAATTGAAATCTTAGTGACTATATCACTGGCAAGCCAAAAGATAATTATAGCATGATAATGTTTTTCTGACACAAATCCCTGCTGGCATGATTCCCACCTTGGTGAGTCCGGTGAGGACTGGAATGAGGAACCGGACGTCCGGGACGCGTTTCTGGTACAGGTCACGAATTCTCTCCACCAGCTCCGAAGACGGCAAAGCTTTCAAAGAGAAGACAGCAATACTTATATGTATGGCATATACCTGCTTACTTCTCTGTGTTCTTACCACATTGTGTAGAACATTCTGTGAAAAATACGCCATAACATTAACATCCACTCTTCAACAGGTGAAAACTTCTGACACAAAACTTACCACAGTGAATGAGTGAGGGGTCAATACTCTTTCTGTCACTGTGTCCTATTCAAACATTATCATTGCAGTCAGGAAGTATTTGGGTCTGTCCAAGTCAGACCAGTGGTTGACAGCATGAGCAACAATCCCTCAACATCCTATCCCAAATGTAGTCAAACAAGCATCCTGAGTCTCAGTATACATCCAGTTTGTGAGGGGAAATTACAGGTCTCAGACTATTTTGATGAAACCCATGTGCTGACAGACCTAGAAACATATTAACGCGGAACTCTGCACAACAGATTGCGGCACCTAACCGGTAGATGACTGGGCCACACACACATGGTCCATCATGGATAGGTAAATAGTATTTGCAAAAAACCAAGGAATCCTGCAGACAAAGTTGTTGAAAGACTTCCTCTTTCCTGTTGGTTCTCCACTGATAAACCAGAGGTCAGTCACATGTTGATTTTTTGTTTGCTTGTTGTCTAACGTCACAGGGGGCGCGGGTGGCCCAGTCGGCTAAGGCACTGCAATTTGCTGTGCAGTGTTGCGTCCCTTGGGCACACCAGAAACCTATGATTGTGGGTTCGAATCCCAGTTCGCCCCGATTATGTTTCTAGGTTTGTCAGCACCATACCCGTGCTCGTGGGTTTCACCGAAGTGGTAAACGTCTAAGACCTGCATCACTTCGGGCTTTCCTCCCACATTAAGCTGACACCCCGTGATATAACTGGAATACTGTTAAAAGCGGCGTTAAACCCAACTCACTCACTCACTCTAACGTCACAATCAGAAATACTCCAGCTACAGGACAACGACCTGTATATAAGTGAGTCTGGACCAGTCAACCCAGTGATTGATATTGTGAGCAACGAGTCACACTGTCTGGGTACGATGACACGCAATCAACCGAGTCTGACCACCTGATCCTTTTGGTCACCTTACAACCTGCATCGCTTGCTGGGAACAAATTCTAACCCGGAATCCCCATGGCGACCATGCTGATAAACTTGAGGCAGCATATTTCATGTCCACATATTGGAGAACTCATGACAAATGCCCCGGGGTCCAGTGTCTGCTTACTTTTGTCTGTGAGGATGTGGATGACCCTCATCACCAGCGTCTCGGCTCCCTTGGGGCAGTTCTCCACCATCGTCAGCAGCTCCGGCGACTGCATCCCCATCCCCTTCACCTGCAACACCGTCACATCTACAGTATGGGGTCAGTGAGTGGAACTCTTAGTGTCAACATGTTGTTTGTTTGTTTATTGTTTGTTTGTTTGTTTGTTGTTTAATGCTGCACTCTGCAATATTCCAGCCATATGAAAGTGACCTGTAAATAATGGACTAGACAATCCTGTGATTGATTGTGTGAGCAACGATGCATGGGAATGATGACAAGCTACCGAGCCTAACAACAAGCATATTCTAACCCAGAATCCCCATGGGGTATTGATAATCAATTGATAATATAATTAATTATTCTGTATGTGTATAAATAAAAATCACCTATGTAGACCTGCAATTAATCAATTTAATGCTATGTATGAACTTGGTTAAAAACATAAAATTTACTGTTCTGCCTTCTCATTGTCCATCTTATTTTGACATATGCAAACATATCTGTGGAAGTGAATTATTAATCATGTATCAACATTAAAAAATTAATCAATACAGCCTTAACATAAACATTTTACTGATATCGATATCGCAATATACGATGACATTCCTAATCAATAGCAATACTTAAAGCTACTGAACAATGAGAGACAAATGCAATGGGATCATGGTGATGACATCTGGCAGATATTTTGGTTGAAACATCTGAGGTAATTGTTTTCATTCCCATATTTTCTGGAACAATCGTTTACAAAATGCCCCCCAAAGAAGTCATCATGTTGACACAGACTTAACATCTCTAAGACACAAGCCAGTTCATTATTGTAGACACATCACGGACAAACTGAAAGTCCAGTTGGTAGTAGCAAGACAGCAACAACTTACCGGTATCTCCAAGACTCGCAGAATGGTTCGCTTGATGTCAGCGGAGGTGGCGGTGTACACGTTGGCCAACCTAAAACACACAGAGGCTGTCAGTATTTGCACACACTGGTTGGTTAAGACTCTGTTGTTTGTGGTTTGATTCACTGGTGGAACATGAGGGACTTATTCATGCATGAGTCTATGCTGGTGGATGAGTCTGTGGTTTGACTTACGGGTGAATGAGTCTGTGGTTTGTCTTACGGGTGTACAAGTCTGTGGTTTGACTTACGGGTGAATGAGTCTGTGGTTTGACTTACGGGTGGATGAGTCGGTCGTTTGACTTACGGGTGAATGAGTCTGTGGTTTGACTTACGGGTGTATGAGTCTGTGGTTTGACTTACGGGTGAATGAGTCTGTGGTTTGACTTACGGGTGTATGAGTCTGTGGTTTGACTTACGGGTGGATGAGTCGGTCGTTTGACTTACTGGTGAATGAGTCTGGTTTTACTTACGGGTGAATGAGTCTGTGGTTTGACTTACGGGTGTATGAGTCTGTGGTTTGACTTATGGGTGTATGAGTCTGTGGTTTGACTTACGGGTGTATGAGTCTGTGGTTTGACTTACGGGTGTATGAGTCCGTGGTTTGACTTATGGGTGAATGAGTCTGTGGGTCGACTTACTGGTGTATGAGTCTGTGGTTTTACTTATGGGTGAATGAGTCTGTGGTTTGACTTACGGGTGTATGAATCTGTGGTTTGACTTACTGGTGTACGAGTCTGTGGTTTGACTTATGGGTGAATGAGTCTGTGGTTTGACTTACTGGTGTACGAGTCTGTGGTTTGACTTACGGGTGTATGAGTCTGTGGTTTGACTTATGGGTGTATGAGTCTGTGGTTTGACTTACGGGTGTATGAGTCTGTGGTTTGACTTAGGGGCGTATGAGTCTGTGGTTTGACATACTCATGTATGAGTCTGTGGTTTGACTTAGGGGTGTATGAGTCCGTGGTTTGACTTACTCATGTATGAGTCTGTGGTTTGACCAACTGGTGTACGAGTCTGTGGTTTGACTTAGGGGCGTATGAGTCTGTGGTTTGACTTACTCATGAATGAGTCTGTGGTTTGACTTAGGGGTGTATGAGTCCGTGGTTTGACTCAGGGTGTATGAATCTGTGGTTTGACTTAGGGGTGTATGAGTCTGTGGTTTGACTTAGGGGTGAATGAGTCTGTCGTTTGACTCAGGATGTATGAGTCTGTGGTTTGACTTACTCATGTATGAGTCTATGGTTTGACTTAGGGGCGTATGAGTCTGTGGTTTGACTTACTCGTGTATGAGTCTGTGGTTTGACTCAGGGTGTATGAGTCCGTGGTTTGACTTACTGGTGTATGAGTCTGTGGTTTGACTTACTGGTGTATGAGTCTGGTTTGACTTACTGGTGTATGAGTGTGGTTTGACTTACTCGTGTATGAGTCTGTGGTTTGACTCAGGGTGTATGAGTCTGTGGTTTGACTTACTCGTGTATGAGTCTGTGATTTGACTTACTGGTGTATGAGTCTGTGGTTTGACTTACTGGTGTATGAGTCTGTGGTTTGACTTACTGGTGTATGAGTCTGTGGTTTGACTTACTCGTGTATGAGTCTGTGGTTTGACTTACTCGTGTATAAGTCTGTGGTTTGACTTACTCGTGTATGAGTCTGTGGTTTGACCAACTCGTGTATGAGTCTGTGGTTTGACTTACTCGTGTATGAGTCTGTGGTTTGACTTACTCATGTATGAGTCCGTGGTTTGACTTACTCGTGTATGAGTCTGTGGTTTGACTTACTCGTGTATAAGTCTGTGGTTTGACTTACTCGTGTATGAGTCCGTGGTTTGACTTACTCGTGTATGAGTCCGTGGTTTGACTTACTCGTGTATGAGTCTGTGGTTTGACTTACTCGTGTATGAGTCCGTGGTTTGACTTACTCGTGTATGAGTCCGTGGTTTGACTTACTCGTGTATGAGTCCGTGGTTTGACTTACTCGTGTATGAGTCCGTGGTTTGACTTACTCGTGTATGAGTCCGTGGTTTGACTTACTGGTGTATGAGTCCGTGGTTTGACTTACTAGTGTATGAGTCTGTGGTTTGACTTACTCGTGTATGAGTCCGTGGTTTGACTTACTCGTGTATGAGTCTGTGGTTTGACTTACTCGTGTATGAGTCTGTGGTTGGACTTACTCGTGTATGAGTCTGTGGTTTGACTTACTCATGTATGAGTGCGTGGTTTGACTTACTCGTGTATGAGTCTGTGGTTTGACTTACTCGTGTATGAGTCTGTGGTTTGACTTACTCGTGTATGAGTCCGTGGTTTGACTTACTCGTGTATGAGTCTGTGGTTTGACTTACTCGTGTATGAGTCTGTGGTTGGACTTACTCGTGTATGAGTCTGTGGTTTGACTTACTCATGTATGAGTGCGTGGTTTGACTTACTCGTGTATGAGTCTGTGGTTGGACTTACTCGTGTATGAGTCTGTGGTTTGACTTACTCATGTATGAGTGCGTGGTTTGACTTACTCGTGTATGAGTCCGTGGTTTGACTTACTCGTGTATGAGTCTGTGGTTTGACTTACTCGTGTATGAGTCTGTGGTTGGACGGGAGGAGCCCCAGGTAGAGATACAGGTGAGACTTGATCACATCCTCTGTCCAGTGCTCTATGATGTCCACTGTGGGAGAAACACTCTTTAATGACAACAATGAAACACATAATTTATTAACCCGGATATTTGTGATAACAACCCAGTATTTGCACAAAATCAATTTTCAGTGTGTACTGGTTGTGTATACAAAACCCAAGAAACATCAAGCTTTGGGAAATCGGTTTTTCGAGAGTCCCCCCAAAAGGGCCCTTAGTTTTGTTTTCAGCAAACAATTCAAAGGCAGTTGTGTGAAGATAGTACCATTGGCAAGTAAACAAATGGCTGTCAACTGTCAAGCTTCTGTCAAAATCGGCCAAAACAAGGTACGTATGATTAAACTGGAACACAGTCACTTACAAGCAGAGTTAACCTCATGTACTGAAACCATGTATATAACAGCTGCATGGACTACAATATGGACAATATACTACAACACTTCAATTTTTTTTCCAAATTTATTTCCCGACCTGAGAGTGTGGAACGGAGGACACGGATGGTTTGGTTGGAGTCTGACGGTGGCGGCCGTGGCAGCAACAACTTCTTCAAGTGAACTAGAGCATATTTCTGGTATAAAAAAAAAGAAAAACAATAAATAAATACGAACAAATCACAATATCCATCTTTCTGTAATTTTTCTGGCATCAGCATACTTATCAAGTCACACTTGTTTGTCTACTGGTGAATACTGACACATGTAACACAATCTCCCTGTCCAGATTAACACTCTCCAGTATCTACTTACCTCAACTGGTGACTGCATGCTGGGTTTATTATATAACTCTTTGGTTGTCTCAATTGCCATGTTACGAACCTGAAACAACAGCAGTGAGTTTAGAACAACTACCAGATCAAAGACTTCATGATCTAGTAACTAATGAAAATACATGCCACGAAAGTTTTACTTTGTATTGCGATAGGATCAATGTACTGATCGTGTCTGACTGGTGTTTGGCGCCATAACCATGGCAACAGCTACATCAGTCATGGTGGTCAGTAAAGTAGGAAGCATTAATGGGAGAGACAAGCTCTGCATGATTTGGATACTTTTGGGTCAAGTGCCACGTCATGTGTGGAAACAACATGGTTCTGTATGTTCAGACAACCAGTGTGAGAGAACCAGGACAACACAAGATCAGACTGGTCACCGCTTGGTTCCAGAGTTGGATATATTGTTCCTGTGTGGTGAGTGATAAAACAGGGCTTATGTGGTACAGTTACAGTGGATCCCTGTTATAGTGGACCTCTGATACAGTGGTCCCATTACAGTGAAACCCTGTTACAGTTGACCCCTGTTACTGTGAAACCCTGTCACAGTGGACCCATTACAGTGAAACCCTGTCTAAGTGGTCCCCTGTCACAGTTGACTCATGTCACAGGGGAACCCTGATATAGTGGACCCATTACAGTGAAACCCTGTCACAGTGGACCCCTGTCACCGTGGAACCCTGATACAGTGGACCCCTGTCACAGTGGAACCCTGATATAATGGACCCATTACAGTGAAACCCTGTCACAGTGGACCCCTGTTACAGTGAAACCCTTCACAGTGGATCCATTAGATTGAAACCCTGTCACAGTGGTCCCATTACAGTGAAACCCTGTCACAGTGGTCCCATTACAGTGAAACCCTTCACAGTGGATCCATTAGATTGAAACCCTGTCACAGTGGTCCCATTACAGTGAAACCCTGTCACAGTGGTCCCATTACAGTGAAACCCTGTCACAGTGGTCCCATTACAGTGAAACGTGTCACAGTGGTCCCGTCACAGTGGAACCCTGTTATAGTGAAACCCTGTTACAGTGAAACCCTGTTACAGTGGACCCCTGTTAAAGTGGACCCCTGATACAGTGAAACCCTGATACAGTGGACCCCATTTATCCAAATTCCCTCGTTTCCTGATGATTATCATTGGGAATGCTGATACGCATTGCAAGTGATATTACTATGTATACTACTAAGAAGCTTAAAAAACACCCTAATTTGGCAGATTAACTATAGTCATATGAAAAAAAAGCGTGTTCTTAAACATTTTTTGGGAGATCCTGGGAGATCCTGGAGGCGCCATTGGGCTGTGACGACTGAGCGAAGTGAGAGATGAGAAATAACACAAGAACAAAGACTAGAGTGGGAAAATACTCACATCCGCCTCATAGTGGGATGTCAGATCTAGAAGGACGTCCAGGAACCGCAGTCTCTGGGATGGCCTCATCAGAATCAGATCCTTCAACACTGCCATCCCTATGTCAAGCCGAGCCTGAAAGATTTTTACAAACCTGTAGAGGTTATGAAGTCTCTGATGAAATCCCGTGGGGCACTTATTGCATTTTCCTGGCTCAAGAAAATCTACATGACATAGTTGTAACCATTTTCCTTAATAAAAATTGTTACCACACAAAAAACTTTGTTTTTGTATGATATACGTCCACCCTTATGGTGCCTCACCCTCCACGGCGCGTCACGCCAAGGGAAGCAACTCTCACCCAAATCACTTTCCATATGTCTAATGCTGACGGAATGTGGGGAGGCGGGTGGCCGTGCCCCAAGGAGGATTTCATCAGAGAATTCATAACCTCTACAGGTTTGTAAAATTCTCTTTCAGATTAAATCCTCCTTGGGGCACTTATTGCATCAAGATAGACTCCTAAAGATAATCTAGGAAGTGGCATCCGTCAGCAACAAGCGTGCATAAAATACATCGTATTTTGATTATTTCAATGAATAAACAAGAGTTCAATAAATGGAACCAACCTTATCGTGAGGCACCACCGTCGAAAGGCGGGGGCTGGAGACATGGCGTTATCGACCATAACAATGAAAAGAGCCATTCTTTGTGGCTCATCATATCGAGAACTCGAGACACACACACCCCCCACCCCACCCACTTTTTTGAACAAGTGATATTGGGGGCACAGATCACGAGAGACTATAAACCCGCACAGAGCTAGGCCAGAGGGTCCCCGTAATCGAAGGAGTGCATGTGCAATTACGATGATTATCGACTAGTAATGGCTGGTATTGTATCGACCGTAGAAGATAAAATCCGGACCGTTACTGAGCAGTGTTATAACCGGTCCGGGCGGTCTAAAATCTCGAAGGCTCAATCGGCTAGAGATGTAGTACTTTGCCCAGTTCGGAGAACTGACTGACCAAACCGAGCACGCTCGCTTGAGTGTTTGTCGAGTTGGTAATGTTTGATGAACGTGCTCGGCTGGCTCCAAATAGCCGCGGAGCAGATCTCCTCAATGGGCAGAGCCGCAGCATACGCTTGTGTCGTAGCCACTGCTCTAACCGAATGAGCCTTCAACTTGGTAGGGGGGTCCCTGCCTTGAAGCGTGTACGCCGTACATATAGTAGAGACTATCCACCGCGAGATAGTTTGTTTGCTCGCAGGTGAGCCAGCCTTCCTACCGCCATAACAGCAAAATAGTTGATTATCCTTACGGATACCCTTAGTTCTGCTGATATAGGACTTAAGGGTCCTGCGGACATCCAAGACATGAGCATGTCTTGTAGTGGTCCCCGACGAGGAAGGCTGTGAAAGAGCAGGTAGCTCAATAGGAGCCGTCACGTGGAAGGCGTGTGCGACCTTAGGACGGTAAGAGTCCGGCAGGCGAATACTGACCCTGTCCCGGTGAAAGACAGTTAGTTCGGGATCGGCTGACATTGCGTGAATGTCGCCTACCCGTCTGCCGGACGTTACCGCCACAAGGAACGCCGTCTTCCAGCTCAACAGCTGAAGAGAGAGAGACGACAGATCCCGAAAAGAAGGACCGGACAGCCAATCAAGAACGATTGACAATTCCCAAGGGGGACTGATCCGCCGGACAGGCGGTCGGATCCTGTCCACACCTGCTAAAAAACGCTGCACTAATGGGTGCGCACCCAAAAGTGCCCCGTCGACGGGGACGTGAAAGGCAGCGATAGCTGTAGAGTACCCCCGGACTGTCGATGCGGCCAGGCCGACATCTAGTCGCGACTGGAGGAACTCAAGTACGGCTACGAGATCTGCAGAAAAGGGATCTGCAATCCTTCTATCGACACACCAGCGCGCATAGCAGGCCCATCTATCCTCGTACTGAACGTTTGTCGAATCCCTCTGCGAAGCCAGTATTGTGTCTGCAACTCGTGCAGGAATACCGCTCTCCTGGAGGCGATTCCGGACAGTGGCCAAGCCACCCACTGAATCCTGGGATTCGGGTGGAGGGCCTCGTTCTGGGATAGGAGGTCCGGTCGTAAAGGTAATAGAACAGGAGGCTGAGCCAGAAACCAGAGTATGACTGGAAACCAACTCTGCGCCGACCAAAGGGGTGCCAGGAGCACAAGTAGTCGCGCAGGCAGAGTGGCTAGCTGAGACAGGACCTTGGAAATCAGAGGTACTGGGGGGAATGCCCACAGTATTCTGTCCGTCCAATCTAGCTGGAAGGCGTCCGGTGCCACCGACCTCGGGTCGGGGACTCGGGAGCAGAACGTTGGTGTCTGGTGATTCACCCCAGACGCAAACAGATCCACCTGGAACGACCCGTATAACTGGGAGATAATCCCGAATATCCCCGGGTCGAGCCTCCACTCGTGAGGAGCGAGGATCCGGCGAGACAGAGCGTCCGCACGGACGTTGTCTACCCCCGGGAGATAAACAGGTAGCACCCTGATAACGTGTGAGTCGCACCATAGGAGGAACTGCCACGTCTCTTGGAGAAGCGACGGAGACACCGTTCCCCCCTGCTTCCGGATGTAAGTCATCGCCGTTTGGTTGTCCATCTCTAGACGCACCACTTGGCCACGAAGCAGATCCAGGAAGCGTTGGAACACCAACCTGACCGCTCTCAGTTCTAGCACATTGATATGCAGTTTGATCTCCTGCTGGGACCATAGTCCCGAGGCAGTGTGATCGTTCAGAACGCCTCCCCAGCCGGAGAGTGACGCGTCTGTTTGAACTGTGAGAGACGGCACGGGAGTGTCGAGGGGGAGCCCCCGGGACAGATTCCCGACCTCGGTCCACCACTGAAGGTGTGCATTGAGCCACTGCGGAGTCTCGAGAACAGTCTCGAGATCTTCCGAGTTCACCCAAAGTCGACGGAGCGCTTGTTGAATGGGTCTCATTCTCAAGCGCGCCCGCCAAACCACATCCACTGTCGCCGCCATGTTGCCCAGTAACTGGAGCCATGTACGAGCAGTGTGACTGGCGGACAGAAGGAACTGGGAAGTAACACTTCTGACCTTGGTAATGCGATCTTGTGACAGAGATACAAGTCCGCTCACCGTGTTGAAATTCGCCCCTAGGAAGACTAGATTCTGAGTAGGGCTCAGATCTGACTTCTTGAGATTGACTATCCACCCTAGAGTGATCAGAAGATCTATCACTTGTTGTGTAGCTATCTGACTCAGGGATTGCGATAGAGCTCTTAGTAACCAGTCGTCGAGGTACGGATGGCAGAACCGACCTTTTGACCTGGCCACTTGGGCGGGAATCAACATCAGCTTGGTGAACACCCTCGGGGCTGTAGCGATCCCGAATGGTAGAACCCTGAACTGATAACACCTCCCGTCGAAAGAAAACCTGAGGTATTTCTTGAACTCGGGGTGTATGGGTACGTGGAGATAGGCGTCTTTTAGGTCTATTGACGTTAGCCATTCTCCGGTCTCGACAGCTGAGATCACCGAGCGCAGTGTCTCCATCCTGAAGGACGGTACCTCTATAAGTTTGTTCAGCCTTCTCAGATTGAGAATAGGCCTGAACCCTCCGTCTTTTTTGGTGACTAGGAAATATGTCGAGTAGAAGCCCTCGCTTTCCTGTCCCACGGGAACCGGTTCGATCGCAGCCTTCATAAGAAGTGCGTCGACCTCGGCACGGAGGAATTCCGCCCTCTCCAGGGTAGCAGGGTAGCAGTGTGCTTTATCCCGGAGAAGGGGGGCGGATGATGTTTCCACCGAGGCAAATGGCCATCCCTTAGAGAGGACAGGGTCCAGGGATTGGATGTGACTGTCTCCCATTCCTGCAGGAATAGAGCCAGTCGGCCGCCTACGGGGACATCCGGCTTGAGGCAGCAGACCCCGGCTGTCGGCAGTTCGAAAACATGCGACCGTGGGTCCGCCCGGGGCGCTTCGGGCGCTAATGGGAACCCGATGGGTTCCCGGCCCCGCGAAAAGGCTGCTGGCCTCGACCAGCTGCCCTGCCCCGGCCCCTGCCTCTCTTGCTCCTCCCGGCGCCCTTACCTGAAGGAAGCGGCTGCTTCCAAGCAGGTGCAGACTTCTGACCCGGCGCGTCAGCGTAGGAGGAAGCAAGTGGAGAGGTCCGCTTACGCGGTTTAACGCATGGTACCTCCAACAAGGCCTTAGAATCCTTGATGGAGGCATACAACTGTGCGGCCTCTCGGACCACCTGCTGAGCCCCAGGGAAGAGGGTGGCACCCATCTTATAAGGCAAAGCAAGTAGATCCTGGCGTGTGGAAGCCGAGTATTTGGATACCGACATCCACAGCCTGCGCATGCCCATGACTGCGCACATCATCTGCGAGGCACAGCTACGAATAGCGTCCCTCGCAAGATGACTATGTACCTCCGTAAGTTGCGCGGCCAACTCCGAAGAGTCGTCCGGCCCCTCTCCCGCTAACTCCCTCTGTACGGCCGACAGATAAGCGGAGTGTACGGACACCCGGAGCTGCTGACATGCGTTACGATATTGCTCCTCGAAGCAAACGTAAGCAGCCTTCAGCTCCGTACCGCACGCGGGAAAGGGTGGCAACCGCCGGCCCTGCTTGACCTTAGCCAAGTTGGGGGTCGAAGACCCCCCCAGGGTAACGGAGGTCCAGACGCATTCGTCCACCACCGGTACCTCAAAATCACCATCCTCTGCTAACGGGTACCGCTTAATAAGTTCGGGCAGGTCGAACTTCCTGCGGGCACCCGACAACAGAGGGTTGATGACTTCATGCACCAATGAAGACAGAATACGGAGCCGCACCTGGGGCACCTTGCTCGGAGCAAAAGCGTCCCCCGGAAGGCGGAACTCAGTCGGATCCGACTGGGGCATGGGCGCAGCCACCTGAGGCAGTACCTGGACAATCTTGTCCCGTACATGCCTCAACGAGGAAACGAAGGAAAATATTCCCGAGGTCTCCGAGTCGTCTCCCCCCTCCTCCATCCACTCCTCCTCTCTCGATTCCGAGCCGAAATTAATCGACTCTTCCCCGAGAGAAGAGGCAGACGAAGTCGGAAGGGGACGCCCGAAGGCCTGGGCCTTCGCATCCCCGGGCTGCACCCGGCCCGAAGCCGAGTCCCGGTCCCGAGGTGCCGGGGGTTCAAGGGAACCCACCTGGCTCTGGGCTAGAAATCCGCTAGAGGAAGCCTCGGCCTCGGAAGAGGCGTCTGGCTCCGCTAGGGAGAACTGTGCGTCGGTAGTGAACGGGCCAGTGCCCGCCACCCCTCCGCTGGGGAGCGACCTCGAGCCGGCGCCGAAGCCCGGTCTGAGTTCGTCCCCGAGACCAAGTGGCCTGCCTCGGCCGACGCCGGGCATATCACTAGGTCTCGAAGCCGCGTCCGGCGCCGACAACGGGGAAGGCTCGGTCCGCAACTCCTCTCGGAGCTGAGACTTTACCTCCTCCATCATCGACGCCATCTGCGACCTCAACAAGGCAGAGATGTCTGCCAAAGACGGTGCAGGAGAGGGTGCAGTGATTGTGACGGGGACCCTAGAGCCTTCTCCCCCGGCCCCCGGGGAGGGAGCGGAGGAGACAGTCTCAGCTGCCTTTTTACCCTTTCTTACTTTTTTTGAGGGGGGCGGGGCGGTCTTTGCCGATCTAATGTCCACCCCCGCCTTCAATAGACCCTTAAAGTGTAAGAGGTCCACATTTCTCTTTTTTTGCGCCCGTGGTGTAAATGCAACACAGATCGGGCATGACCCATCGTCATGCCCGTCTTCGGCCAAACACTTTATGCAGGTATCATGCCTGTCTTGGGGGGGAATCGAAGCCGAGCACCCCGTACACAGTTTGAAGGTCTGTAAAAAAGACCGTAATTTTTGAGTTTGGCGGGAAGGGTAATAAAGTGTATCAGTGCGATTGAAAGATCGGAAAGATACGTGCATAAATTGTGTAACTAGAAGCAAAGGCGTAATTTAGAATGCGATTGGTAACGCGATACTAATAGCCAATGTCGTAGTATAATTATAACACCAAAGTGGGCGTGTTACGCGCGAAGGTGTAGAAAACCCGTAAAAAAGGTAAGTGTAATTTAAAATAATTAACACACCACCTTGGGTTTATTTAAAGGAAAAGATTGTAGGCTAAAGCCCGATGATATAGATTAAAAAACCGAAGCCGTTTTTGATGGCCCTGGTGTTACATATATCATACGTGGCACTACAAAATGGACGCTACGACGGCCTTATTTCAAAGGTATCGTACACGTGTCACATAATTACAACTTTATAACTTTACAATGCGATGTATTACGCCTTTGCATGAAAGAAATGTACCATACATACAGTTTGGTCTGCCATGGTTCTTGTACGAACGATTATCTTGTCTTTATATTGTCTTGAAAAAAACAGCACGTCTGTCTTTGTCAGATGACATAAGGAAAGTGATTTGGGTGAGAGTTGCTTCCCTTGGCGTGACGCGCCGTGGAGGGTGAGGCACCATAAGGGTGGACGTATATCATACAAAAACAAAGTTTTTTGTGTGGTAACAATTTTTATTAAGGAAAATGGTTACAACTATGTCATGTAGATTTTCTTGAGCCAGGAAAATGCAATAAGTGCCCCAAGGAGGATTTAATCTGAAAGAGAATGATTGTTATGTCTAGACAGCCCTGAAAGATTGTACAGTACACATACAGTACACATATATTATACATACAGTATACATACAGTACATACAGTACACATACAGTACACATACAGTACACACACTGTACACACACTGTACACATACAGCACACATACAGTACAGACTGTACACATACAGTACACACACTGTACACATACAGCACACATACAGTACAGACTGTACACATACAGTACAGACACTGTACACCTACAGTACACACACAGTACACCTACAGTACACCTACAGTACACACACAGTACACCTACAGCACACATACAGTACATACTGTACACATACAGTACACACACTACACATACAGCACACATACAGTACACACTGTACACCTACAGTACACACATTGTACACACACAACACACATACAGTACACACACTGTACACCTACAGTACACACACTGTACATACACAGTACACAAACAGTACACATACTGTACACATATAGTACATACACTGTACACATACAGTACACATACGGTACACACACTGTACACATACAGTACACACTGTACACACACAGTACACATACAGTACACACACTGTACACCTACAGTACACACACTGTACACATACAGCATACAGTACACACACTGTACACCTACAGTACACACACTGTACACATACAGCATACAGTACACACACTGTACACATACAGTACACACACTGTACACATACAGTACACATACTGTACACATACAGCACACATACAGTACACATACAGTACATACACTGTACACATACAGTACACACTGTACACATACAGTACACATACAGCACACATACAGTAGACACGCTGTACACATACAGTACATACACTGTACACATACAGTACACACACTGTACACATACAGTACATACACTGTACACATACAGTACACACACAGTACACACACAGTACACACACTGTACACACAGTACACACACAGCACACATACAGTACACACTGTACACATACAGCACACATACAGTACACACACAGTACACACACAGTACACATACAGTACACACACAGTACACACACAGTACACACAGTACACATACAGCACACACACAGTACACACACTGTACACACACAGTACACATACAGTACACACACAGTACACACACAGTACACATACAGCACACATACAGTACACACACAGTACACACACTGTACACACACAGTACACACACAGTACACATACAGCACACATACAGTACACACACAGTACACACACAGTACACACACAGTACACATACAGTACACACACAGTACACACACTGTACACACACAGTACACACACAGCACACATACAGTACACACTGTACACATACAGTATACACTGTACACACTGTACACATACAGTACACACACTGCACACATACAGTACACATACAGTACACACACTGTACACATACAGCACACACACTGTACACATACAGTACATACACTGTACACACACAGTACAGATACAGTACACATACAGCACACATACAGCACACATACAGTACACACACAGTGGTGAGGTGAGGTGAAATTGGGTTTAACATCGCGTCCAAGATTATTGCACTTATATAGCGACGTGCATGCACGTGTATGTGTGTGTGTGGCTGCTTGTACTAGTCCGGACTGATGCCGATTTATAGTGCTAGCTCACTGAGATACCATGCCGCAGTTTAACATGAATACCCCACTCAGACACAGTATACTGACTCTGAGCCGACCAGTCCTTGTTTTAGCCCCTTAATGCCGAGCGCCAGACAGGGTAACAACAAGTACAATCTTTTAACGTCTTTTTGTATGACGCGGCCCGGGATCGAACCCTGGACCTTCCGCTCTCCGGGCGGACGCTCTACCACAAGACCACGGAGGCGGTCAGTACACACACAGTACACATACAGCACACATACGGTACACATACAGTACACATACAGTACACATACAGTACACATACTGTACACATACAGCACACACACACTGTACACATACAGTACACACACAGTACACACACAGTACACATACAGTACACACACAGCCATTCCTATGTCTAGTCAGACCCAAAGATTGATGTTAACTGTCGTACACATGCTGGCATTCCTACGTCTAGTTGGCCATGGAATTTCGAAACATTCCTTGAACTGTCTAGCGATACACAAGCACCATTCATGCATTATTTGTCTTCTTTTTCAAGGTGTGTGAAACATCAAACACAGGCGAGACAAGATGACAACCTACCGGGTCCTGACAGTATCGCTTGAGGATGTGAGTGGCGTTGTCTGTGATCAATGGGGCTTCCATCATGAGACGACCAAACAACCTGCAAACAGAGCATCTGGCCTTCAGATTGACGGGACTTAAACCTCTCCCACAAAATCATGACTTTAATAGTCTACATGTAACATTTCTTCATCATAAATACAGCCCATAAGAATCCTGAAGCTTTCCTCATTTATAGCTGGAGAGCCACTTGGCCAGGGAATAGCGTACTGCAGTCTGTATCAATACTCTAGGCATGGTGCAGGACAACAAGCCTGAGTGAGTTTGGATTTAACAGTCCTGCATTAGCCAAGCCACCCCCCGACCTCCCCCCCACCCCCACCCCCAGAATATCAAATGATCGGCCTTTCATGTCCTCACAAGAGTAGGACGTGTGTCCTCACCCGTCCTTCTGGTCCTGGGCCTCCAGGAGTCCGGTGAGCAGCCGGGTAAGACACTCATCATAGCTGTGCAGCGTGGGCCGCTCCCCCAGCGGCGCCGACACGCTAAAACCCTGGCAGTTGGCGTACTCCTGGAACAACCACGCAAATGCCAAGTCGGCACGGTTCCGCAGGTCTTCAAAGATGAACGTCTGCATCACTAAAAACATCAAATACGGATCTTCTCACTCAATTGCATTAGAATTTACATTCAACATAATGAGGTGCATACAATAAACCGCAAATACCATCATTCCTCAGGAAGCGGTCATGGTACTTGGGGGAGAATTAGTTGGTAATATTGTCGGTAACAGATCCCCCTGTAATGGAAGTTTACTGTAACTGTTGTAGAATCTCAAGTCATATAATATCAGTTGGGGGAATAAGTAGATCATTAGCCCTATGTTTTTCTACTACATCTGGAGAATTATGCGACATCCTGTTCAGATTACCAAATATCACAGCTAGTTTTGCAGGTGTTGTATTTGATAAGTAGGAAATGTGAAGTAGGAAAGTTATATACATGTGAATAATTGATGTTTATACAAGGCTGACTGATTCTAGATATGGTCAGAATGGTGGATTTGGAGTGCTTGTTTTGTACTGAGGCTTGATGTTCCTTAATTCTTATTGGGAGAGGCCCTGACGTTTCTCCAGCATAAGAGTCACCACAATCACATATGATGTGGTATACTGCACCGGTGGGACCATCGGGTGTTATTACAGATCTGCTATTGGCTTTAAGAATGTTCGGGGTGTTTTTTCCTCTCTCCTACTTCACATTCCTGTACATCACGTGCTTGTTAACGGTGTTAGTATCTACACCTAAATATTGTCTTCATTGTAAAGAGGTTGTATATCCATAGACATATCTCCATTGTTCATCATAGCAACTTCTAAATGTCCCTAAAGAAACACTATCCACACATGATAAAAGGGTTTATAGATATACCTTAGCTGCTGTTAGTATATTCTAGTTTGAAACAAGGCATCAACTGACCGTCTTTAAGCTCTCCCCCAAAGGCTGCAGTCAGACAGGCCAGGATCTTGGTGCGAGCAGCTGGCACGTGGGCTTGGACAGCTATCTCTGGAAGCAGAAGCAGATAATGAGGAGTTTATTGGTTGGTTGCTTAACGCCGCACTCAGCAATATTCCAACTATATGACGGCAGTATGTAAAAATAATCAAGTCTAGTCCAGACAATCCGGTGACTGACATCATGAGCATCGATCTACACAAATGGGATACGATGACATGTATCAACCACGTCAGCAGGCCAGACCACCCTATCCCGTTAGACGCCTTGTACGACAAGCATGGGTTGCTAAAGACCTATTCTCTACCTGGATCTTCACAGGTTTATATAACGAGGAGTAAGTAGGTCTGCCTTTATGCCACACTGAACAGTATTTCAGAAATATCACAGCATGTGATCTTCATGTTGGCAGTGAGTTTGAAGTGATGCAGGTCTTGGCCATTTACCGCCTGGGAGAAACCCACAAGTATGGGTATGGTGCTGACACACCAAGGATCATATGGAGGGCTAAACTAGGATTCAAACCCAGAATCATAGGATGTCATTTCATGGATGTAGGAGAACCGATGTGCACCAAGTGGTCAACTCACTCTCCGTGTTGAAGACCCTCTTGACCGTGGCCAGCGTCATGTAGTCCAGCTTCTCCGAGTCCAAGGGGTGCGTCACGGAGGACAGCTTGAACTGCCGGATCACACCCTTCCTGGGCTGGACCTGAAGGGTGGTCATAACAGGCATCATTTTACTTTGTGATCGATCATTTATGTCACTGATCAATAACCAATAACTTATGGACAGTGATTATGTGATTGATAATAGAACTTCGGCATACAAAATATCTGTAAATTGATGACATGATTGACTGATGCACCCTGGGTAAATGTTAGACCTACAACAGTAACGGCTATCAGTGAGAACAAAGAAGTTTACCACCTCAGTGAACACATGAGGACAGGCATAGTACACCGGCGTGGATCTGGGATTCAAACCCTCACTAGCAGGTGCTTGCATGGAATGGACATGACTCTGCATAGTGTCTTGCAGCTCTGAGTTACACCATGTTACTCATGTCCACAAAAATTGCATTTTCAGAACAAAATCAAACTTTGATTTGGAATTGAACATATTACCATTTCCAATCTGTTAACTAGAGGTATGCAATATTTCTGCAGCGATGTTTCAGCTAGCAGCCGATATAAGAGTGTTGTCCTTCATGAGACTCACCACCGGGGCAGCGATTGGTTCCGGCTTCTTGAACTCAGTGATGCTCACTGTGCCCCCTGAAACATTCAACAAGAGCAGTAAACCCATGGTTACAGTTAGACCGTGGTTACAACATGTACAATCAACCCATGGTTACAGTTAGACCATGGTGACAGTTAGTCCATGGTGACACTTAGACCATGGTTACAGTTAGACCATGGTGACACTTAGACCAGTGGTAGAAACTAACAGTGGTCCACTAGTCCTTATAATGATAACATTAAAAATGGCAAATATCTACTCGTCTTTATGATACCTTAACTATTGGGCTGTTTGGCAAGGACTATAGGACTAGTGCCAAGTTCTAATGCTGTTAGACCATGGTTACAGTTAGTCCATGGAAACAGTTAGTCCATGGTGACACTTAGACCAGTGGTAGAAACTAACAGTGGTCCACTAGTCCTTATAATGATAACATTAAAAATGGCAAATATCTACTCGTCTTTATGATACCTTAACTATTGGGCTGTTTGGCAAGGACTATAGGACTAGTGCCAAGTTCTAATGCTGTTAGACCATGGTTACAGTTAGTCCATGGAAACAGTTAGTCCATGGTGACACTTAGACCAGTGGTAGAAACTAACAGTGGTCCACTAGTCCTTATAATGATAACATTAAAAATGGCAAATATCTACTCGTCTTTATGATACCTTAACTATTGGGCTGTTTGGCAAGGACTATAGGACTAGTGCCAAGTTCTAATGCTGTTAGACCATGGTTACAGTTAGTCCATGGAAACAGTTAGACCATGGTTACAGTTAGACCAAGATTACATTTTGTCGATGGTTAGAGTTAGTCCATGCATTATTTATTTTGGCGCAACACTCAATACGTGAGTGTCACAGATGACATGGCAATCTGAGCAGGTTGCATTGCCCATTCTAAACACACTTACCGACTAGTGTTTGGATGAGTTGTTTTGGTGAGGTTGGTTCAAAGCTCATGGGAGAGGCAGGAGAAGTGTCTCCATCACCTGTTATCTCTGCCTCCATGGCCTGCAACAGTCAGGTCATTGAACAATGGACAGGATGGCTAAATTCATTTCAACATTTTCGTATCTTACAGAAGATGATTAAATTCAAAGGATATAAATCTACAACCAGGGATGTTTTGGTACCGACCGATCTCTGGAGTTCTCCAAGTCCTTTGCCCATGCCGGCCATGGTCAGCTGTGTTGCTAGGAGACGGGCTATATGCCTAATCTGTGTCTCGGTGCCGGCAGCAGCGATGGGGGTGTACGTGGCCTGGAACTGGGCAGGGGCCGTGTCTGGCAGCATCACCTGGAGAAGACGGAGGGAAGTGAAGACAATGGACAAGGCTATTTACAGTGTAACTCTCCTATCCTACAAGACAAGGCTATTTACAGTGTAACTCTCCTATTCTACAGGACAAGGCTATTTACAGTGTAACTCTCCTATCCTACAGGACAAGGCTATTTACAGTGTAACTCTCCTATCCTACAGGACAAGGCTATTTACAGTGTAACTCTCCTATCCTACAGGACAAGGCTAATTACAGTGTAACTCTCCTATCCTACAGGACAAGGCTATTTACAGTGTAACTCTCCTATCCTACAGGACAAGGCTATTTACAGTGTAACCTGCCTACCATACTGAGGAGGACCAGATCAGCCACATTCTGGGGAGACAGACGAGGACAGAGATCATCAGCTGTTATATCGATGGCGGTCTGACGACTGGCGCCGGTTGGTCGGCTGGACTCATTACGACTTGACCATGGCGTCATTCCAATGTCATCATCTTCTTCATCTGCAGCATCCTCCTGTAAATATGACATTAATTTAGCATTAAGTTTGCGTTGTCATGGATGTTGAAAAGACACCTTCCTCTCTTAATCCTTTCTAGGGGGCAGGGGTGGCCCAGTCGTCTAAGGCATCGCAATGTGCTGTGCAGAGCAGTGTCCCTTGGGGACGCCATTAACTATGATTGTGGGTTCGAATCCCACTTTGCACCGATTATGTCTCTAGGTTTGTCTACTCCATACCCATGTTTGTGGGTTTCACCAAAGTGGTAAACGTTTGATACCGGCTTCACTTCAGGCTTTCCTCCCACATTAGGTGACATGCCGTGATATAACTGGAATACTGTTAAAAGACGTGTTAAACCAAACTTATTCACTTATATGATGAACACAGGTTATAGAAAACCTTATTGATGAATGAGGTTATGTTTGTCTTTCAAATATTTCTAGATTTTAAGATCATGGAATAACTTAAACGCGACAATATCAGGCTGAAGCAATCAACAATTCTTGAAAGATTGTTACTCATCAAAATTGTCACAGAATCCTACAATATGTGTTTGTTGTTTACTGACGCACTCAGCAATATTCAAGCTGACGCGGCCTGTTAATAATCAGACATTGTGAGCAATGATCCATCCATCAGAGTACGATGATACACTTTCATCTAAGTCACCAAGCCCAACCACCTGATCCACTACGTAGCCCCTTAAGACCAGCATAGGTTGCTGGGGACCTATTCGAACCCATAATCACCACAATGTGATTCCTACAGGAACAAATGACCATCAGATACCCACCTCCACCTTAGCCTTCTTGCTTGAAGTTGACGGCTCCTCATTCTTCCTCTTCCGACTTTCATCAATTTTTGGTAGAAACTTGCTCACCTGAAGTGCGGGCAATCATGTATTAAGTGACACAGAACACATGTATTAAACTTTACAAGTCTAGTTGATAACATCAAGTCAACTTGAGACATCATTAGGGTCCAAATGCAAACGCCTGAGAAGTCTGTATGAATGTGACTGTCACATGGTGGGGTGGGGTATATTAAGCTACAGTAAAATATGTTTATCATGAACACGCTTCTAACGAACTGACAGATATAACAAACTTGGTTTGTGGTTCCGGCAATTTGCTGTATAGTTGCTGTACATATACTTATCACGAACTACGGTTATTTGCTGTACAGTTGCTGTACATATACTTATCACGAACTACGGTTATTTGCTGTACAGTTGCTGTACATATACTTATCCAGAACTACGGTTATTTGCTGTACAGTTGCTGTACATATACTTATCACGAACTACGGTTATTTGCTGTACAGTTGCTGTACATATACTTATCACGAACTACGGTTATTTGCTGTATAGTTGCTGTACATATACTTATCACGAACTACGGTTATTTGCTGTACAGTTGCTGTACATATACTTATCACGAACTACGGTTATTTGCTGTACAGTTGCTGTACATATACTTATCACGAACTACGGTTATTTGCTGTACAGTTGCTGTACATATACTTATCACGAACTACGGTTATTTGCTGTACAGTTGCTGTACATATACTTATCACGAACTACGGTTATTTGCTGTATAGTTGCTGTACATATACTTATCACGAACTACGGTTATTTGCTGTACAGTTGCTGTACATATACTTATCACGAACTACGGTTATTTGCTGTATAGTTGATGTACATATACTTATCACGAACTACGGTTATTTGCTGTATAGTTGATGTACATATACTTATCACGAACTACGGTTACAACAAACTAAACTTAGTGGTCCATTTGAATTTGTTATAACCGTAGTTTACTGTAGTTCATGGTTTTGATGAGACGATACACTGGTGTATACAAGTATTGACACGTCATCTCAGCAATATTTCAGCCATATTGTGACAGTTAGGATACCGTGGACCTGTTCTATGTTTGCACAAGTTAATCAGTTACAGACTATTATATGACAGGGTCAAAGCGATGGCTGTGTCTGGGTTAATGTACGAGAATTTCAAGCAGAACAATATCGATTACAGCATTTCAATAGAATTTAGACAGAAGCTGGAAATACAATAAAAAGTTGTAAATCCCCTTGTCTTTGATTGTTTTAGCTACCAGACGAGGCCTCAGTGTGTACTTACCTCTGATTGGCTAGCCCCAAGGTCAGTGAGCAGTGTTGTTATCTGGGTCACATAGTCCACGGAGGCAGGGTGCTTCAGTAGGCTCATCATGTGCATCTTCAGGTTCTTCCTCACACTGGCTACCTGAGACTTTGCCAGCGTTGGTGGCAGGTTCACTGAAAACAACACCAAGCATTACTACGAGTGAGCATTGCTTTATGCCGCTTTTGGAAATAATCCAGCAATATCACAGATGGGGACGGAGTAAGTGTGTGGGTATCTTCTTTTATGATGCACTCGCAATATTCCAGCTGTTGGCAGATGTCTGTAAATAATCAAATCTGGACCAGGCAATCCAGTGATTGACATCGCCTACCAATTGGGATACGATCATCTAAGTCAGCGAGCCTGACCACCCTATCCCTAAGTTGCCTTTTACGACAAGCATGTGACACAGTATACTGACTCCAAGCTGACCAGTCCTTGTTTTAGCCCCTTAATGACATGTGCCAGACAGAGTAACAAGAAGAACAATTTGTTAACGTCTTTTGAGTGAGTGAGTGAGCCATATCAGCAATATTTCAGGCATGGCTGGACACAATGCATTTATATTTTCGAAAACCCTGTCATTAAAAGACAGTAAAATAACTAGTAACATCACAGACTGGTATTATAAAATAGTTTTAACAAAAACTTAAGAACAGACACAAAAAAACCTCAGGTCATAGATCAGCAGCAATGAAAATTAGGCCTTATGATGCCTTACGGTACCTCTGCTCCCTGCATAGTACCCTATCAGGATCTACACCAGCTCTCCAGGTGTTTGCAAGCTAAGCTAAATATTCTAAGATTAAAACAGTGGTAGATATAAACATTCTTTGAATGACATGGTCCTTACCATGGAGAGCTTCAAAGGCCTGGACAACCTGGTCGAAGAACAGTGGCCTCTGTCGAGCTACGTTTGTTAACGCCCCCATCACAGTCATCAGGTTAATACTGTCAAAACAGAATTATGTGAATCAAATATTTCATGTCAAATTGAGAGAAACAACTGACTTTTGAACTTGCAAACTCGTGACTGAAAATACTGAAAACATAACTAACAATCCATGCCATTGGTATGTAAATATTACAATAACAACACCAGCAATGGAGTCCTTTTCACAAGTGAACGTGCATAAGTTTCTTTGTTTGTTTGTTGTTTAATGCCGCACTCAGCAATATTCCAGCTATGTGTAAATAATCGAGTCTGGACTGTACAATCTTGTAGAATTTTCCTATTCGGAATATTCTATAAGTAATACGTTACCACTGTTATACCGAGGCTGTTGTCTCCCACAACTGCTGCTATAGCGAAATCTACCACAGAGATCTCAATTACCTCATGCAGCACGTGCGTAGCCACCCAGCTGCCATGTGACACCCTTCACTCTTGTCTCCTGCGAGAGCAAGTGCTCGGGGGACGGACGGGCGGGCAGCAGCCCAGTGGTAACGTATTACTTATAGAATATTCCGAATAGGAAAATTCTACAAATTACATTAAGTAATACGTTACCACTGTTATACCGAGGCTGACTACCACAGTAGGCGGTGGGGAGCACCTACAACCCGAATCCTGACTGCTAGCGTTCCTTCCGACCAGCGGAACTAAACACCAAGGCGGAAGCACTCGATGCGCATGCACCTAGCTAGGCGTTACCATATAGGAATACCAAAGCACTGTCAAGCGCATACCGTAAGGCTCAATCGTCATTGCCAAAACGATTGGTGACTCCAAACGGCCCCACTGGATAGGTATTTCATCGCCGCAGCGGATGAGAACACTGTATCTGCGTGAGCTTAATCTTAGATCAGGTTAAACAGTCGAAAAGAGGGAAATTAATTTCATTCAGACCGTATATCCCAGAGCAAGCCTACTTAAAGTATGCATTAGGCGCGTGACCTAATTCCAGTATTTGTAAGCATGCATCACAAGGTTGGGATACACGACAGACAATTAAAGACATAATTGTCAAAATACAAATAAGGACAAAGCACACAAAAAGCCGCCCTCACCTGTGGTGTGAGTGCGCTGGTTTGCGGGACCCCAACTCCTGTACCCACGGCAGTGGGAACATTGGAGTCGACCCAGATTGACCACCGTGCAAGGTCAGACGCCTGAGGAGTTCGGAATTGCGCTGGGCACACCCCTTAGGTGCCCGCTTGCGCCGCGATCCGCGGGCCAAGACGGTGCACACTCTCCACGACGGCATCAGCGACCTGTTTGAGGTAATGATTGGCAAAAACCGAGTCAGAACGCCAGTAACAACCTCGTAATATTCTGCGAACAGAGATATTCGAGTGTAGGGCAAATGTTGCCGCTAGCGCCCTGATCTCGTGCGGGTTTGACCCCGCTACCGGTAACCCCCGAGACCGGTACGCCAGATTGATGACAGAACGAAGCCACAACGCAATCGAGTTGCGAGTTATGTCAACCGTGCGATTAGGGTTACACGATATGAACAGACGGTCACGCCCTTGTCTACGTTCATTCGAAGCCTTAAGATAATACTTAAGGGCCCTAACCGGTATCAGCAGGATGTAAGATTTCTTTGAGTGATCTTACAGTGAATTCTCTCTCCGTTTGCCCGACTCTCTGATTCTTGGCGACGAAGCCCATGAGCAGGCCCAGGCGGACCGCTCCTTCGTCACCCCTATCGAATCGTACCTTGGCGACATCGAGTGCATGAATTTCGGATACACGTGCCGCCGTGGCAAAGGAGAGGAGAAATGCTGTTTTCCAAGTCACATGCCGGAACGAAGCACTATGCAAAGGTTCATACGGAGCTTCCGTAAGTGATTGCAACACTAGGGAAAGATCCAAGGCCGGTGCCCGAAGGCGGCCCTTCTTAAGATCGTGCTGTTTGAAACCCTTGATAATACCCCGTATCACCGGCTCTTTGGAGAGACTGGTACCCATAGCAACGTCCCGTACCGTAGCAACGGACGAGACATAGTTGGCAATGGAACCCCCGGAGAGTTTCCGGGTCTCTCGCAAGTGAGACATGAAACGAGCAATATCCTGCACAGATACCTTATCTGGCGAATGAATGTGATGTTTACAACACCACTTCGTGAAAATAACCCAACGTGCATTACACACCTTCTGGGTAGAATCACGATGCATACTAACGTATGCCCGAGACGCCCGGCGAGAAAAAAAACAAACTTTACTCCTCAGACGCTCGGTGACAACATCCACGCGTGCAGATTGAACTGCCCTGCGTTTGGATGAAGCTGATGGGTGTGAGGGTGGATCAAGAGATCCGGTCTCACAGGCAGTGGAAGTGGCGACTGCGTGACCTGGGTCAGCAAGTCGGGGTACCACGATCTGTTCGGCCACATGGGCGCGATCAGTAACATTCGACAGCGAACTCCTCGGAGCCGGCTTAGAATGTGTGGTATCAACGCTGTCGGCGGGTAAGCATAAGCGACCAAGCCCGTCCAGTCTAACGCGAGAGCATCGTGATCGATGGCCCTCGGGTCCGGGACTGGTGATACAAACAACGGGAGTTGATTGTTGAACCGCGTTGCGAACAGGTCGACCATCGGACGACCCAAACGTTCGTACAGCCACTGAAACACTACTGGGTTCAGCATCCACTCTGTGGGGCTCGGATCCTGAGGCCTCGATAGAGCATCGGCCAGTACGTTCCGCACACCTGGGATGTGACGGGCGCGTATCTGGCACGGGACACTGTCCACCAGAGCGTAAAACTCGAACGTGAGATCGAGTAGCGAGTGACTGTGGGTTCCCCCCAGTTTGTTCACATAGGACACTACCGTCGTGTTGTCGGTCGCCAACATGAGCCGGGCGTCGACGAGACGATGCTTCCAGTGATTGACTGCGTTGATCACTGCCTTGAACTCGAGACAAGTGATGTGAAGACCTAGTTCGTCTACGCACCACAGCCCCGAGCTCACCTCCCCCTTTAGATGGGCGCCCCAGCCCACTAGAGAGGCGTCTGTATACAGGGTCAACGTGGCCCGGTAGGGCCGCATAGAGACTCCTGATAAGACAATGTAAGGGACCGTCCACCACTCCAGATGCGGTTGGAGCCGATCCGGGAGGGCGACGGTCGCACTGTTCACCTCCGTTGCTAACAACTGGATTAAAAACCGTTGCAGCGGGCGGAGTTGGAGACGACCCCGTGCGGTGCAGTCCTGGGCTGATACAAGTAGCCCTAACAGCTGTTCCCAAAAGTGAACAGTCTGTTGCACCGCTAAGACTTTGGCAATCATCGCCTGAATTTTGTGCCACCGGTCTGGGGGGACAAAGAGGCGATGGGACACCGTGTTGAACCGACCTCCGATGAACAGCAAGTTCTGAGAAGGGGTTAACTCGCTCTTGGGGAGATTGATAATCCACCCAAATTGCTCCAAGAGCCGACGTGCGAAAACGAGATGGCGTGACAGGGTGTCCGTCATTCGATTTGCTACTAGCCAGTCGTCCAGGTACGCGAAGTACCGGACACCCCTCCTGTGGAGGAACCCCACTATGGGGGTGGTTAACCGGGTGAACAGCCAGGGAGCGGACGTGTGAATCATTCTGAGTTCGGCACTGTCCTACTTGGGAACGAGAAATATCCTGGAGTAAAACCCCGGTGTTATTTCTGGTAGAGCTAACTCCCGTACTGCCCCTTCTCCACCAACCTGCCGATGGCATCGGCGAGGATGGGAAGATCGGTTTCCGAATCGAAACCTGCCAACGGGGCAACGGTGAGCGGCGGATTCGCTTTGAGATCAAGCCGATAGCCGTACCGAATCGTGTTGACCACCCACGGGTCGTCGAACACTTGTTCCCAATTCTCCCAGTAAGTCTGGAGTCTGGCTCCCACTGGGGAAGGAGAGGGGGCCCTGACAGGTTGCGGCAGGCGCAACTGTCCAGGGCCAAGTGACTCGGGTTCGCCTAAGGGCCAACCGAAGTTGGCGCTGTCGGCATACGAACCCCTCCAATGAGAGTCACCTGGAGGGGCCCTTGCCGTCCGTCGACGACTTGGGCTTCCCCCAGTTCCCCGTCTTCCCGCGAAAGGGCAGCTGATTGCCCATACCGGAGCCCTCAGGGCGGGGCTACTTCCCAGAGGAAGAAGAACCCGACCCCTTAGACCTACCGGCCGCAGCAGCCTGGGGCGCGCTCCGGTTAGGAGCGGCACCCAGGCGCCTATGCAGGGACCCAACAAGAGCAAGTGTGTGCCGAGAGTCCTCGGCAACGTACTCCAGGGAAGCATTTAAACTGAGCAGGCAGTTGTAAATGCGCTGGTCACGGTCCGTGGGAGAACCTTCGACCAGACGGGCCGCTGCAGCCAAGTAATTGTCTCCGTGAGACATGGAGTGCCGAGCGAGGGCGTCCAGCTGGTGCAAGGTAGCTTGCGTTACCGTAGCAGCCGGTGGGGCACGGACACCCAACCGCTCAACATGGGCCTCCGCGGTAGGACCAGCCTCGGGAAAGGCAAGGTCATGTACCGGGAAGAAACCCTTTCTCCACGACGTCGGAGGCAACGGGAGACCCCGACCGGAGGCCGCCGCGAAGGCGTTCTCCAAGGAAGGCTTGAAACCGCGCAGCAAGGTTGATGCGGGGAAAGCCGTGTCGGAAGACTCATCGTATACCTCGGAGGAACCCACAGTCGTGGATTCCCCGCGGTACCGGCCGGGGCATGTCCTCAAAGAGGTCATAAACCATGGCCACGCGGTCCTAAACTGATAGCGGGAGCAACGGTTCGGGGGAAGGACCGGTGACCACGGGAGCCGCCGCCGTACCGATGGACCCCGCGTCCGACCCCGCGGCCACCGAAGTGGCCGGGGACGGAACAGCCAGCGGCCTATCCTGAGATAAGGCCGCCAGCTTGGAGTCCACAAGTTATGCAAGTAATGCAGCGACGGAATCCCCGGACAGCACACGGGCCGCCAAGAGATCCGCCGCTTTACCGGTGGACCCCGCGGCCACCGAAGAGGCCGGGGACGGAACAGCCAGCGGCCTATCTTGCGATAAGGCCGCCAGCTTGGAGACCACAAGTTTCGACAACAATGCGGCGACGGAATCCCCAGACAACCCGAGGCCGCAAGGGGATCCGCCGCAGCCGAGGAGGTGGTACCCGCACGGGGACCCCGACCGGACGAACCGGCCACCACAGGGGTGGAGACGGACTGTACGTACAGCCGGTACCGCTCAAACTCCGCATGCCCCAGACCTTCGCACAGGATGCACCGGGTGTCCCCGCAAGGAACCCTGCACCGCGGGCAACGATCGTGGGGATCCCGGGACGACAAAAACTTTCTGCACACCCCACAACTCCGAGGAGCAGGGGTAGAGGGGGTGGATACTGGGGACATATCCATGTCAGACATTGATTGTTTGCTATAAACAAAGAACAAAACATGGTTACAACGCACGCACCACAATGATTCACAAACGAACATTTTCACAAGAAAATAAACGAGCAATGTGAACATATAACATACACATATAACTTTTATTAAAGAAATAAGTGATGTTAACCCCCAAAACATACAAGAACAGGGGAAACGTAAAACACAACGTGCATACGCGAACCCCGCAAGTATATAGAAAAAAGGGCGGGAAAATTTTTCCGTTTGGCGGGAAAATTATAACCAAGCGTAGCTACCGCAACGCCCCATAAAAGCACAGTTTATTAGAGAATAAACTATAATAAATATCACCAAATCTTCAAGGAACGCTTCAGCAGGAGAAACACGTCTTGCTAAGCAGACGAAGGAGACAAGAGTGAAGGGTGTCACATGGCAGCTGGGTGGCTACGCACGTGCTGCATGAGGTAATTGAGATCTCTCTGGTAGATTTCGCTATAGCAGCAGTTGTGGGAGACAACAGCCTCGGTATAACAGTGGTAACGTATTACTTAATGTAATTAGTGACTCATATTATTAACAAAATTCCACATCAACAGTGTACGATGACACATCACCAACCAAGAAATCGAGCCTGACCACTCAACAAAAGCTATGGCCTTACCTGGAGATGTGGGGGGAGCCAAGGGGAGTCTAGTAGGCCTTACCTGGAGATGTGGGGGGAGCCAAGGGGAGTCTGGTAGGCCTTACCTGGAGATGTGGGGGGAGCCAAGGGGAGTCTGGTAGGCCTTATCTGGAGATGTGGGGGAAGCCAAGGGGAGTCTGGTAGGCCTTATCTGGAGATGTGGGGGGAGCCAAGGGGAGTCTGGTAGGCCTTATCTGGAGATGTGGGGGGAGCCAAGGTGAGTCTGGTAGGCCTTACCTGGAGATGTGGGGGGAGCCAAGGGGACTCTAGTAGGCCTTATCTGGAGATGTGGGGGGAGCCAAGGGGAGTCTGGTAGGCCTTATCTGGAGATGTGGGGGAAGCCAAGGGGAGTCTGGTAGGCCTTACCTGGAGATGTGAGGGGAGCCAAGGGAGTCTAGTAGGCCTTACCTGGAGATGCGAGGGGAGCCAAGGGGAGTCTGGTAGGCCTTACCTGGAGATGTGAGGGGAGCCAAGGGGAGTCTAGTAGGCCTTACCTGGAGATGTGAGGGGAGCCAAGGGGAGTCTGGTAGGCCTTACCTGGAGATGTGAGGGGAGCCAAGGGGAGTCTGGTAGGCCTTACCAGGAGATGTGAGGGGAGCCAAGGGGAGTCTGGTAGGCCTTACCTGGAGATGCGATGGGAGCCAAGGGGAGTCTGGTAGGCCTTACCTGGAGATGTGAGGGGAGCCAAGGGGAGTCTGGTAGGCCTTACCTGGAGATGTGAGGGGAGCCAAGGGGAGTCTGGTAGGCCTTACCTGGAGATGCGAGGGGAGCCAAGGGGAGTCTAGTAGGCCTTACCAGGAGATGTGAGGGAAGCCAAGGGGAGTCTAGTAGGCCTTACCTGGAGATGTGAGGGGAGCCAAGGAAGTGAAGCATCATCTCAAATGTTTTCAAGCCCTGGTCTTCCAGTTTCTTCAGTTTCAGGTAATGGCGACCATCAGGCACCATGTCTAAGGACACGTCACCTTCCTTCTGCTTCTGGGCGTCCGAGTCCTGGAAACACATGATGATGATGCACACACACCATCCATTTAGTCCATAGCCCATTTGCACAAAGTGATCTTAGCGCTATGTCTATCGTAAGCCTATTTTAAAGAACGGGATTTACGATCATCTTAGCGCTAAGGTCGCTTTGTGCAAGTGGAACCAGGTAGGCAGTGTATGGAACTTTTCTTTTATATATTAAATGATTCTCAGGAAATGACTGAATATGGTCTGGTTACCTCAGTTTATTTAAGGCGAGACTTGATTTTAGAATAGTTTATTATTTCCGCCAATCCTAAATTAATGAGAAGTGGTAAAAAATGTTATCAGAAAAGCACTATTGTCTTTCTTATCAGCAGAACAGTCTGATTATATTTCTCACTGAAAAATGTGTAAAATCAACAACAACAAGCATGAAATACTCAAACGTGCACTAACACCATTTTCAGTCTAGGTCAAAGATGTTGCTGTGGAAACTCGAAAAATTATTTTTTTTAAAATCCCAAAATATCAACATGATCAAAAGGCCCTATTTTACCAGTAGACCTATTTATGCACAAAGGTCGGTGAAGAAATAGTGTACACTTTTCAAGATCTGCTCTGGAAAGGAGCACTACCCCCATATTCAGTGAAGTCAAAGTTGTTGCCATGAAAACTTAAAAAACAATTTTTTCAAAAATTCCAAACTATCAAAAGGCTATCACTCCCAGTTCACCACTAGACCAATGTATAAGATATCTCTCATGGTTTTGGAATACTGCTCCAGAAACGAAACGTGACAGAGGGACGGACGGACGGACATCACCCATTCCTATATCCCGCTTCCACTTCGTGGCGGGGGATAATAATAATCACAGATATCACCATCATCATGTGCTATTTCCATCCAACATGGTGATGAGAAAGACACAAAGTTGTGAGTGTGTCATACTGCGTGTCATGAAAAGCAGTGACTGACGTACCGCAGATCTCTTGGACAGAACCAGGACGACCGTCTCCAGAAACTTCACAACATGGGTTCGGATACTGCAAATGACAAAATTCGAGATTGATGGGAAAAGTGACGTTTGTTTTGTTACATGCAAAAGATTACATAAATAATGAACATTAACATTAAATAATAATGAACATTAACATTAAATAATAATTATGTTCATAAATGGTATAATCTTACTGATAACAAAAGCCTCTCACCCATCATTTTCCGAGTCAAGCATTTCAAAGAGGCGAGTTTTGAGTGTGTGCATCTGTTCCCATGAGGCCGTCTTCTCTGGGGTCGGCGTCTTGGCCTTGCTCAGCCACTGCAGGTACGAGAAACATTGGGTCAGCACTTAACACACATCCCTCCCTTGTCTAAAGAGGATGTCGCCAACGTCTTTACATATCAAACCTATATCAGCAGGATTTGATTAAGTAGGAAAACTCTATAACTTGATGAGGAATCTTGTACTTTTATTGACAAGTGTTGATATAATTCAAGCAAAGTCACAAGGGCCAGTTTTGTTGCTATCGATACAGTTTTAATTTGGAAATCAAGTAAATTTTCAAAACAACTTAAACTTAATAGTTTGCATCATAGCAAAAGATAATATCCTCTGAAACTCAGTATGTATACGCAAAGTGAATACAAAGTGATAGACCTACACCTACCTGTATGGTATACTTGATATACACCTACGTGTATGGTATACTTGATATACACCTACCTGTATGGTATACTTGATATATACCTACCTGTATGGTGTACTTGATATACACCTACCTGTATGGTATACTTGATATACACCTACATGTATGGTATACTTGATATACACCTACATGTATTGTATGCTTGATATACACCTACCTGTATGGTATACTTGATATACACCTACCTGTATGGTATACTTGATATACACCTACCTGTATGGTATACTTGATATATACCTACCTGTATGGTATACTTGATATATACCTACCTGTATGGTATACTTGATATTCACCTACGTGTATGGTATACTTGATATACACCTACGTGTATTGTATGCTTGATATACACCTACCTGTATGGTATACTTGATATACACCTACCTGTATGGTATACTTGATATACACCTACGTGTATGGTATACTTGATATATACCTACCTGTATGGTGTACTTGATATACACCTACGTGTATTGTATACTTGATATACACCTACCTGTATCAAAGACTTGATATACACCTACCTGTATGGTATACTTGATTGATTACTTGCCCGTGAAGAGATCACCCGTTTAATTAACATACAGCTTTATTACACATTGTGTAATACCAAAACGTGTGCTTATGTACTCGCTGAAAACGTTTCACGAACAAATATTGAAAGCTCCCAACATCCCTTGGCTTATTCAACGACATTGCGTGTGGAGTTGATAGATCACTGAGAGGAGCTTATGCACACTCGATGACCTCAGCAACCTTGTTGCTAGGCTGACGTATGGTATACTTGATATACACCTACCTGTATTGTATACTTGATATACCACCTACCTGTATTGTATATTTGATATACACCTTCCTGTATTGTATACTTGATATACACCTACCTGTATTGTATACTTGAACATCTGGATGGAGGTCAGGATGACCTTCTTCTGTACATTGACATTCTCGTCAGCCAGCAGCATGTTCAGACTGGGGAGAACCTTGGAGAGAACTTCTGGATCTTTCTTGCTGTGAAGAAACATTGATGCAAGACAGTTCTCATCATCTCATGGCACAGGCAGTGGATACCAAATATGTGCAACAAATATGAACTTTCATTAATTCCTCTATGTTCTTCTATAGGTCTCCTTGGAAAAATAGGTTTATATATTTTATCCATCTTCCGGATGTGATGAGATGAACCTCTTCAGCAAAGTGTATAAAGTAACAACTAGATTCTCCACAACAGAGACTCATGCACCAAGTGCTTGCAGCAGGTAAAACTGGATAATGGCACTATACAAAAGTATATTTTGATTTGATTGATTTCATGAAATTTGTGTTGACAAACTTATATACCAGAAACAATAGATGCTGTTGGAATCCATAAGTCCATCTTCTAAATGCCAAGATGTAGAAATAAGGAACTAATAAAACGTAAACTAAGATGGTTCAAATACACAAAGCCTACAGATTTTCCTTATTCTGAGCAGAGTCTTTGGGTTAACATTACCTTGCTTCTTCCATGAAGCCAATCACGAATCTCTTCACATCCACAGCTCGGTCACTTTGGAAAGCCAAAATTTCCTACAAGCAAATATGCAACCCTTTATGTTTAGTCCAGACTCATATTCACAATCACACTCAACAGCACATAGATACCTTGCCTTGTTGAATAACAACAGCAACAACACAGCACTAAGGTGCCTTGCCTTGCTGAACAACACAGCACTAAGGTACCTTGCCTTGCTGAACAACAACACAGCACTAAGGTACCTCCCTGAACAACACACACAGCACTAGGTCACCTTGCCTTGCTGAACAACACACACAGCACTAGGTCACCTTGCCTTGCTGAACAACACACACAGCACAAAGGTACCTTGCCTTGCTGAACAACACAGCACTGAGGTACCTTGCCTTGCTGAACAACACAGCACTGAGGTACCTTGCCTTGCTGAACAACACAGCACTGAGGTACCTTGCCTTGCTGAACAACACAGCACTGAGGTACCTTGCCTTGCTGTACAACACAGCACTGAGGTACCTTGCCTTGCTGAACAACAACACAGCAGTGAGGTACCTTGCCTTGCTGAACAACACTCCAGCGGTCTCTTATGACAAGCATAGTCGCCTCTTACGACAAGTAAGGGTTGCTGAAGACCTAGTCTAACCCGGATCTTTACAGGTCTTTTTCATAGTAATCACGTAGAGTTAGGTACAAGTAAAGGAACATTAGGCCTTATTATTAATGTACTCACGTCTAAGAAATTATCAAGAAGTGTTGGATCCTTATGGACGATCAGCTCTTGGACCTGAAAACAAAATAATTGCAAACATGTCAAATGTATTGAAAGTCTTATGTCTCACATGTCCTATGTGTCCTATACACATTGTTCAAGATGACATCAAGTCATCAGGTCCCAGTAACCATGATCATGATGATAATCAAAACTTGTCATTTAGCATCACTTGGGGATTTACTTTATAAGATTCTACACTGAGTGCATGTGACAGGCAAATTGAGAGAATGCATCATTCAGATATTTTCGGTATAAAAACTGAGGCCAAAAGTATTACCATTGCGATTCAGATATTTTCAGCATAAATACCGAGGCCAAAAGAATTACCATTCCGATAAAGATATTTTTGGTATAAATACTGAGGCCAAAAGTATTACCATTCCGATTGAGATATTTTCAGTATAAATACTGAGGCCAAAAGTATTACCATTCTGATTCAGATATTTTCAAGGACAAAATATCAAATAGTGCAAGAAACAGAACAGATTATAACGTTGAGCCACACTCCTAACTATTTATGAACCAAACAAGTATGGAAATGTGAAGTTTCAGTTTCATCGGTTCTGTGGAGAAGATCTTTTAGTGTGGATGACACTGGCCAAAAAGGACATGACAGAAACTCATTTGACTTTGAGTAAGGTGAGCTAAAAATGGTGACAACCATGATAACTGGTTGCCAGCCAGAAGACACTTGCTTTGGGCTTACAAATACAGGGAGTTAACATGCTTAAGCTGAGGAGTCAAGTAACTAAAACAAAGACATGGAGCACAACATCATCACCATGACCCATGAGTGAATGAGTGAGTGAATATGGCTTTACGCAGCTTTTCGCAATATTCCAGCAATATCACGGCAGGGGACACCAGAAATGGGCGGGACACCAGAAATGGGCGCCATGGGTACACGTTGTACCCATGGCGGGAATCGAACCCAGGTCTTCGGCGTGACGAGCGAACGCTTTAACCACTAGGCTTCCCGACCGCCCCCCGTGACCCATGAACACAGAAACTCGCCTGTCTGAGATTGCTGATCTTCTGGGCATCTCTCTGAGCTAAGGAAGCCTGATTGAGGAGCTCGACCACCTGGAAAATATTGTACATATTTAGAATGATACATAAATAATATCCTGACTGCAAGAGCTTGATCAAGTAGATCAAAAGTAACAATATCAAGCACTGATGAGCAGTGTGTGAGTATTTGCTTTTAGCAATAGTTCTGCCTCCAATGTTGGGAATCAATCCACCTCAACCACAGTCACTCACAATAACATTATTATTTAATGCTCATGATGTCAATCACTGGATTGTCCGGTCCAGACTCGATCATTTACAGATAGCCGTCATATAGCTGGAATATTTCTTGAATGTGGCATTAAACAACAATCCAACAAATTATTAATGAGAGCTTTTTTGCCTTGTGATAAGCACCAGATTGTTAATCCCATATGTACAACATGCACATGCTCCGTTGCCCCTCTTTCCCATGAAACTCGAAACTTAATAGCAATCATACAGTTTCACCTTAAATTTCAGTGAATCAAGTGGATTACGGAATGGGGCGAGTGTGCCAAATGGCATCAGGATCACTCGTAAGTGTCCGTAGAATAAAGTCACGAGTCTACAATCTGAAGGTCGAAAGTTTGCATCCAACGGATTCTCACTAATACTGGCTGCTTGTCTTTGAGACACTGTATTCTGGAGGTGAGTGAGTCTTTTCTAATGGATGTTGATCGTCTATATTAGGCCTACTAGATGTAAATCAAAATGGAGCGAGGGAAATGATCATTTCTAATCGTGTAATGCAATGTAATAAAGCTTGAGTATGCAGGGTTTAACACGACCACTAGCCCGTTAGTCGTAGACTAGTGACAATCTAGCGGCACTGGTTGTTTTCTCAAAAACATAGACTTATTTTCAAATGAGCTGCTGATTAGCAGAGTGATACAAGCTAAATATATATGTATGTCCTTATACCGAGTTGCTACCACAGTCAATTGCCTTGAGCCTTGATCATTTCAATGACAGCGCCATATATATTTATGAAATATTGAAAGCGTTTACCCGTTCATACGTCGATGTGGATTGCTCTGCTTCTGCATCCTCCTCAATAAAGAACTGTGCCGCGGTTGATCTACGACCTTCGCCTGACATAATGATTTAATTGTGTCTTAGGTGTAATTCATGTGTTTAAATTGAACATAAAACTATTACTTGACAAGATATTCTATGTATCTTTGTCATGTAGTGTTTTCATGCCGCATGAACGAGGCCGCCATATTTAAATAACGTAAAGTGGTCGCGTGGCGTATGGTTGTCGTAAAACATCGCATTATTAAATGGGATAAAGCTATATAAATGATACGCACACGAACAGATTTCTTATGATAGCTCTGTTATCATAACAATAAGAAAGTCAAAGAGTAATTATTTCACACCATGATAACAATTGCATATGTCGCAAATACCTGTATATTTTACAGGCGCTTTTATTGATAGGATAACAATGAAACTATATTTTGCAAATATATCGTCGGATCATATGTTTTCGGACATCATACGTTTTCGGAAGGCCATGTCTATCCTTCGCGATTACTCGCTCTATGACGAGGGGTGTGGCGTCACACAGACATTGTAAATACTCAGATGAAGGCTTGTCTTTAAGATAATGTGAGTGCATGAGTATGTTTCTACGCAGCTTTTTGCAATATTCCAGCAATATCACGGCGGGGGACATCGGAAATGGGCTTCACACATTGTACCCTTGTAGGGAATCGAACCAGGATTCTTCGGCGCGACGAGCGAACTCTTCAACCTCTAGGCTACCCCCACCGCCCATAAGATAAAGTTGTCTTTTGTAAGTGAGTGAGATGTTTTACATTTGTTCTTGTGATTAGCGAATGTGTTTTTTAGCGTCCGAATACACGGGGTTATATTTACACAGTTTATCTCTGGACTACTGAAAATTAGTATTGTTATTGGAAGTCTAAGAGTTCAATATACATGTACTTCCCTGACGGGTTGTTTTCAATATTCTAGCTATAGCACAGCATGGTACCGTGGATCGTATCGTGTATCGTACCATGTATCATCTCAAAAATCGTTCCGTGTATTGTAACCTGTATCTCATTGTGTATCATATTGTGTACCATATCGCTTATCGTACCGTGGATCGTATTGCGTATCGTACCGTGCATTTTAGCGTGTATCGTACCGTGGATCATATCGTATATCGTATCGTGTATCGTACCGTGAATCTGTACCTAGGATCGTACCATGAAGCTAGAAAATGTATTTTGCCGCTATTTCTCAATAGTGAGTGAGTGAGTTGGGTTTAACGCCGCTTTTAACAGCATTCCAGTTATATCACGGCGTGTCAGCTTAATGTGTGAGGAAAGCCCGAAGTGATGCAGGTCTCGGACGTTTACCAATGCGTTGAAACCCACGAGCACGGGTATGGTACTGACAAACCTAGAAACATAATCGGGACGAACCGGGATTCGAACCCACAATCATAGGTTTCTGGCGTGCCCAAGGGAGGCAACTCTGCACAGCGAATCGCGGCGCCTTAGACGACTGGGCCACCCGTGCCCCCTATTTCTCAATAACTGCATGAGCATAAAAGTCATAATTTAAGGCTGTCAAAATTCGACCTAATGTAGCATGTAGAACACGGGATGGTGTTGGCAAAGGGCCGGGTTGCTTCGCAATACACTGTTCGGAATATAGATCTTGTCTACCCTTCAAAAAAGGAGGGGATCATGAAACATAAATGTTTATATCAAGTATTAGAACAAAGACAAGTGTTAACAACAAACATCCTTTACAAGAACGTTTATACAAGTAAAATATAACACCAAAATACATCCTATAGTTAGCACGTGCCTCACGCAGTAGCGCCACACAGAGTGTCATATCTGATTTTGACATTTTCAAGGAAGGTCGATTCATCTTATATAATTGATTCTGCTTATCATACAGTTGTGATTTACTTGATTTAATTCATTGTTTGTGTATGAAGTAGATGCGGCGCCTGAAACGCGCTGAGCGTCTCCGGGCTATTGGCATGCCGGAAACTGGCAGAAGTCAACGTGCAGAGGCCAATACGGTCAATGTTCCACAATATGTAATTAGCAGACTCTGGAACAGGTACCAACAAGCCCAAAATGTTGACGACTGCCCCGTTCAGGGTGTCCCAGTTCAGCGACAAGAGTACACCATCGATTGATCCGGACCAGGTTCTACGAAATCAAGCCCAAACGGCGAATGAAAGTGCTGCAAACGTTCATCAGGCTACTGGATTATGAGTTTCGGGTCAGACGATTAGAAATGGTCTTCATGCATCTCATCTCCAGGCTCAACGGCCACGTGTTGTGCCGCCCCTTACATAGCCTCACATTGCCAACAGACGTCATTGGTGTACACAACGTCGAAACTGGGGTAATCGTTGCTGGTCACGTGTCATGTTTTCAGATGAGTCCCGATTCACTTTACACTTGCTAGGCGCGGTCGTGTCTGAAGACGTCGAAATGAACGTCAAGCCAATATCAACCTGAGACCTCATGAGTGATTTGGCTGTGGATCGGTTATGGCGTGGGGTGGCATCACTGAACTGATTGAACTCCACTCCAAATTCATCTTCCCGAAGCAAGGGAGTTAACTGACTGTAAAAGTACAGTTTCCACCTTGTCGAACTAGGGTTTTCTAGAAATTGCTTGGCTTAGTTGTAGCGCCACCAGTGACTATTACGAGTTATGTCCCTTCAATGTCTCTCCTTTTGACCAATCCGATTCCACCTCTCATATCACTTGCATTTGCTTCAAACAAAACGGCGGCGCCCCGTGAAGACGATCTGATCGATAATCAAGATCTTTATTGCAATAAAACAGGTCTTACTTCGCAGTGTGCATCAAATCACATGAGAACCTTGGTTAAAAACATGAAAAGATTTGGAAAATATATGTTAAATATATGACGCTAAATTGACGGTACACATGCGTTGCAAATCTCTTTAATCGACCGAAATCTGCACGGCAGTTGACGAACCGGATGTCTGGTTCGTTACGCGATTTGATTGGACTATGCATAGACTCGTTAATCCAGCCAAAATATAACTCCATAATTCCAGCCTACTTCGGCAAGGGTGGAAACTGGACTTTATAGTCACTTAACTCCCTTTCCCCGGGAAGATGAATTATAACAGTTAGAACACACAAAATGTCCTGTGAAATTAAGAAGAAGGCTGACTGTGTCGAGGAAGGGTCACTGGACAGTACTGTCTGGACAAGAATACTGACATCCTCGGGTGTCCCGTTTGCAAGCGTGTGGGGCGACGTTTTGTCTTAGAGGACGACAACGCCCGTGCTTTTACCGTGCACGAATCGTCAATGCCCACCACCTGCAGCTCAACATCCATAGAATGCCACGACCAGCAATGACCACACTGAACACGTCCAGGACATGATAGGGAGACGTGTGCGTCAACGTCATAGCCCGCCGACCACGTTGGCTGACCTTGGCCAGGCGCTGCAAGAGGGTTGGGAAAGAGTCCCTCAAATCGCCATTGGGAGACTCATCCACAGTATGTCTCGTAGAGTGGATGAATGTTTGACAAATCGTGGCGGTATTTACGAACTACTGATCCAAAATTTCCCATCTTACCTCTATCGTCCTTCAAGATCGTTGACAGTCATAACATCTGCTGCTATACCTCACTACCGATTGTAATGTGTTCCCTATTCGTTTCTTATTATCACACAGCTGTTACTAGAAACTTATATCTCTTACAGTTTTGGAATTTTAAGTATTCTGTGATGTGATGGTACTGTGTTACTAAGTTAGTTAGACTGTATATAAGGGAACAAAAGCGTGCCTGTCGTATCTCTCACACATTTTATTACACCAAGACCAGCTTTCGTGTGAAGTTCACTCATCACCCCATTTCCATGACTATGCCCATCTCGCAAGCTTGACCATTGTCGCGGCTGGGTGACTAAACTATTATCACTGACTTTTGCTATCACCACTGTAATTTTGTATTTGACGCTGTCAACATATACTCTTCAAAAAAAAGAAACTTGACACTGACTTGAAATGTAAAATAATGCGATTGTTTCAAAATGGGACAAAGAATCCATAATTGAAACACTGTTTGAAGATCAATGTACACAATGTTCAAAACATTAATCGTGTCACCAAGACAGACACACGTACACGATACAGTTAATGTCACGGGTACAGAAAATGTCAGTATCGGTTGTGCCCGGCGCGTGCATCAATCACCGCTTGCCAACGACGACCCATGGATGCAATCAAGTTGTCAACAACACGCTGTTGGATGTGCTGCCATTCATGCTGAAGTGCATCAAGAAGCGCCGGAAGTGTTTGGGGCGGTGGATTCCTTCTGCGAACGCGTCGATCCAACTCGTCCCACAGATGCTCAATCGGGGACAAATCTGGTGACCGGGCTGGCCAAGGTAATGTCTGGGTGTTGTTGTGTTGTAAGAAGTCCTGACAAACACGTGCAATACGCGGTCGAGCGCTGTCCTGCTGGAACTGTCCGCAATGAACGTTGACGTGAGGAAGAACGTAAGGCTGTAGGATCAAGTCTCTGTAACGCACACCTGTCAATGCACCTGCCACATGCACGAGAGGCGTCCTACCACCGTGATGAATTCCGGCCCATACCATGACACTCCCGCGGCCAAATGGGGCAACCTGCTGCACACAGTTGGGGGCGTAACGTTCACCCCGACGTCTGTAGACACGTGCGCGCCCATCAGCACGTGTGAGTAGGAAACGGGACTCGTCAGTAAACAGTACATTTCTCCACCTTGCACGTGCCCATTTAACCCTCTGTTGGCACCAAAGCAGACGGTCCGCCAGATGACGTGGGGTCAATACATGACGTCGAACAGGTCTTCGTGAAAAAAGTCGAGCCTCCCTCAGTCTGTTGCGTACCGTTTGATCTGATATTCTGCGTACCCCAGGGATCTGTGTGGTTGTAGACGTGGCTGTGGTAGTGCGGTCTCGGAGGTGTCGCAGCCGGATGTATCGATCTTGTGCTTGGGTTGTCACCCTTGGTCTTCCTGACCTTGGTCTGTCGTCAACTCTGTTGGTGTTGTTGTATCGGGTCCACAGTGCGGAGATTGTCTGTCTGGATACGCCAAAGTGCCTGGCCACTTCTTGCCGAGTTGCTCCAGCTTGTAATCTCCCAATGGCGTTGTTCCGTTGAGCTGCATTCAGTCTTGGCATTCTGTCACCGCCTCTACTGCCGTTATAAGGACTGTATGAGCAGCCGTTGATGTGGATTTTTATACCCATTCAGCAGGGGGGCCTGCATGCCTAAATGCAGGATCCTGTGCTGCACGTTTTTTACAGGCGGTTGCGTTTGGATGAAGCTGTAAAATTGTTCCCCAAACGCTACGTTGATGTGCTTTGCATGTGTTTTCGGGAAGTATAGACACATCTTTCTGTTTGACTTATTTGGTTCTCATTTAATGTAATTATTTTAGATATTTGGCAAAAAGTGGTTTTACATCTATGTCAAGTTTCTTTTTTTGAAGAATATATTATTTACTGTCATTGAATATTGTAGTACTACCACTCTATTGTGCACTGCCATTGTAATTGGCGTGCAGTAATTTGTATTGATTTGTAAACTTAGTAAATTTTGTGATACATTTGTTTATTCTATACGACATGTTGGTTGGTTGTTGGTTTCACGCTAAATTCTTTGAGTACAGACTTCTGGGTTAACATATTGTTTCAATTTGGGAACTGGCATGTAACACTTCAGACTTTTCATACTCTCGGGAAATAAATAGTTCTAAGAAAACCGATAATTTAAATTTTTTAATTAACAACACACCTAAAATCGCCTCAACCATAACCTTTTGTTTGTTTGTTTGTTGTTTTAATGCAACACAACAAAATTCCAGCAGTATGACCTCGGTCTGGAAATAACAGCGTCTGGGTCAGACTACCCAGTGATTGATACCATGAGCGTCAATCTATGCGATTTGGGATACACTGACACGGACCAAGCAAGTCAGACAGCCTGACCACCCGATCCACCAATTCGCAATGGACCCCACGTGATCAGCAACTTCCGAAGCAGGGAGCTGATCGTCTTGATAAAATACTCGTAGTGTTGGTATGAATGTGGTTATATGAACATCTTAACGCCATCTGCCCAATAGAGAGCCACCTTAGCAGTATGGCCCAAGTAACTTTCACATTGACTTACAGTAACTGTAGCGCCAAGATGACAACTTGACTGTTGTAGTCGGAATCCTACGGAGAATTAATCATTGCTTACTAGAGCAGATTGGTTGGTAGATGCACTGTTTATGCCCATGCATGGTGTTGTGCTTTTAATCACTGGGTGTGAACACCGACATTTATGCATGGCTAGAGTTGACGTAAAATGATGTTTAACGAGCATGTATGTTAAACTGGGCATGGTATCTTAGTGGGCTAGGACTATAAAACCGGCATTAGTCCTGACGAATACAACCAGCTACAAGCACGCACGCACGCACGCACGCACGCACGCACGCACGCACACACACACACACACACACACGGGTTGTGCTCGCATGCGTGCGGCTTGTTATATACGTGCTAGTCCGGACTAATGACAGTTTTAAGGCAGTAATCCACTAAGATACCATGCCGTAGTTTAACATAAATGCTCCACTCTGGCACAGCATACTGACTCCGAACCGACTAATCCTGTTTTATCGAAGCCCATTTTTGGTGTCCCCCGCCGTGATATTGCTGGAATATGCTAAAAACGGCGTAAAACCATACTCACTCACTCACTCACTCACTCCAGACATCAAACAAGGTAGCAACAAGTACCGTCTGCTACCAGGAAAAGGAAGTCCATGGTTAGAGAGATTATGATGTTCAGGCACTTGAACTTGGCATCGTTACCTGTTGCGTTTCTTATACCTCCAAGTATATGCATACACTGGATCGTGTATATAACCTTATACTGTATAGTTGGGGATGGGGAAATTGGGAAAGACGTTAATTATGGGATACAGGGGACTATTTTGCCCCGTTGCCAACAAGGAAATAAATAATATAATATACTTCTTTAATGGGCCACCGCAACACAGGAAATGAAATAAAAACATATTTATTAATAAAAAAATACAGTTTGTTATTTCGGTATTTCAATAATCAGTGTTGTTCTGATACACATGGTGGATATTGGTTGTTGTCATAGTGGTGACATCTCTTGATTGTCGTGTGTCAAGCAGCATCAGTCTATCGGGTGTGATTCACAGTCCACAGTCGGCCTTCTCGTCCTGGTTGAGGTCGTCGGGGTGGACGCAGACATTGAGGGTGTTGGAGTAGACGGTAAGGTTGCCACAGTCTCGCTCCAGCTGTACGCCTTGCACACACTGTGTATACCTCTCGCAGTTGCGGAACACAGCCGCGGTCGCACATACTGGGGACGAGAAACAACCATTTCAGTATCATACAGAGTATCGTACCTTGTATTGTAGCGTGTAGTGTGACGTGTATCATATCGTGGATCGCATTGTGGATCGCATCGTGTATTGTATCGTGGATCGTACCCTGTATCGTACCGTGAATTGTATCGTGCCCTGTATGATATCGTGTATCGTGTCGTGGATCGAATCGTGTATCGTATCGTGTATTGTATCGTAGATCGTACCGTGAATTTACCGTGAATTGTATCGTGCCCTGTATGATATCGTGTATTGTATCGTGGATCGTACCCTGTATCGTACCGTGAATTGTATCGTGCCCTGTATGATATCGTGTATCGTATCGTGTATTGTACATTCTGGGGACGAGAAACATCCATTTCAATAACAGTGAGAGATTGAGTATGGTTTTACGCCGCTTTTAGCAATATTCAAGCAATATCACGGCGGGGGACACCAGAATTGGCTTCACACATTGTACCCATGAGGGGAATCGAACCCTGATCTTCGGCGTGACAAGCAAACCCTTTAACCACTAGGCTACCCCACAGCCTCGTGCTGCACAAAGGATAAGTTTTAAGAATTCACCTGTATCCATGTTAAGGGGGGCAGATCAAATGGTGGTAGAAATCAATAGGCGTGGGGATATGAATGGGTGATCGTTTAACCTTCTTGGATTCGAACACACCTGCAATACCCTCGGCTCCTTTCATATTTCCGCCTATACATGATGTATATGCTTCAACATGCCATGCGTCCTCTTTGTATTTGTAAGGTATATGCTATTCATAGGAAATGTTTCTAATATCGCTATGTGGAGAGTTCGTTCGTCCAAACAAGGAAAAAAACCATCATTATATTACGTTGAGTTTGTCATGGTTTCCATGGTTACCTCCGCGTAGGAGATCCCTGGACTGTAGGCAGTTGGTCAAGGCCACGTGTTCACAGTATTGTTTCTCCTGGTCAAAGAGCGTGCCCTGGGCGCAGTCCTGGGGGCCGTAGGCCAGACCGTTGAAATCACAAATAAGAAACTGCCTGCACCCCGTGTCCGGCATGACCACCAGCTGCCCGGCGCTGTTCACACAGTCAGTGTTATCTGGGAAATACAGGATTAGATATGTATGAAGGATGGATTGTGGCAGTAACTGCTGCATGTAACGTGACGAGTGCTACAACGGAAAAGAACGGCTAAAACTACATCAATGCCAAGGTTCTTCTTAGACCAGTGTAACGGCTGTAACTGCTCCGATATCACGGCTACCTCTATATCAATGCCATGGCTACAACTACACCGATATCACGGCTACCTCTATATCAATGCCATGGCTACAATTACACCGATATAACGGCTACCTCTATATCAATGCCATGGCTACAATTACACCGATATAACGGCTACCTCTATATCAATGTCATGGCTGCAACTACACCGATGTCACGGCTGCATCTCCACCAATGTTACGGCTGCATCTCCACCAATATTACGGCTGCATCTACACCAATGTTACGGCTGCATCTACACCGATGTTACGGCTGCGGCTGCATCTATACCAATGTTACGGCTGCATCTACACCGATGTCACGGCTACCCCTATATCAATGCCATGGCTACAACTACACCGATCTTACGGCTGCATCTCCACCAATGTTACGGCTGAATCTACACCGATGTACCGGCTGCATCTCCACCAATGTTACGGCTGCATCTCCACCAATGTTACGGCTGCATCTACACCAATGTTACGGCTGCATCTACACCGATGTTACGGCTGCGGCTGCATCTATACCAATGTTACGGCTGCATCTACACCGATGTTACGGCTGCATCTACACCAATGTTACGTTACGGCTGCATCTCCTACAATGTTACGGCTGCATCTACACCAATGTTACGGCTGCATCTACACCGATGTTACGGCTGCGGCTGCATCTATACCAATGTTACGGCTGCATCTACACCGATGTTACGGCTGAGGCTGCATCTATACCAATGTTACGGCTGCATCTACACCGATGTCACGGCTACTCCTATATCAATGCCATGGCTACAACTACACCGTGTGACGGCTGCATCTCCACCAATGTTACGGCTGCATCTCCACCAATGTTACGGCTGCATCTACACCGATGTAACGGCTGCGGCTGCATCTACATCGATGTTACGGCTGCATCTACACCAACATCACGGCTACCCCTATATCAATGCCATGGCTACAACTACACCGTGTGACGGCTGCATCTCCACCAATGTTACGGCTGCATCTACACCAATGTTACGGCTGCATCTCCACCAATGTTACGGCTGCATCTACACCGATGTTACGGCTGCGGCTGCATCTATACCAATGTTACGGCTGCATCTACACCGATGTTACGGCTGCATCTACACCGATGTTACGGCTGCGGCTGCATCTATACCAATGTTACGGCTGCATCTACACCGATGTTACGGCTGCATCTACACCGATGTTACGGCTGCATCTACACCGATGTTACGGCTGCGGCTGCATCTATACCAATGTTACGGCTGCATCTACACCGATGTTACGGCTGCGGCTGCATCTATACCAATGTTACGGCTGCATCTACACCGATGTTACGGCTGAGGCTGCATCTATACCAATGTTACGGCTGCATCTACACCGATGTCACGGCTACCCCTATATCAATGCCATGGCTACAACTACACCGTGTGACGGCTGCATCTCCACCAATGTTACGGCTGAATCTACACCGATGTAACGGCTGCGGCTGCATCTACATCGATGTTACGGCTGCATCTACACCAACATCACGGCTACCCCTATATCAATGCCATGGCTGCATCTACACCTATGTTACGGCTGCATCTCCACCAATGTTACGGCTGCATCTACACCGATGTTACGGCTGCGGCTGCATCTATACCAATGTTACGGCTGCATCTACACCGATGTTACGGCTGCATCTACACCGATGTTACGGCTGCGGCTGCATCTATACCAATGTTACGGCTGCATCTACACCGATGTTACGGCTGCATCTACACCGATGTTACGGCTGCATCTACACCGATGTTACGGCTGCGGCTGCATCTATACCAATGTTACGGCTGCATCTACACCGATGTTACGGCTGCGGCTGCATCTATACCAATGTTACGGCTGCATCTACACCGATGTTACGGCTGCGGCTGCATCTATACCAATGTTACGGCTGCATCTACACCGATGTTACGGCTGGGGCTGCGTCTATACCAATGTTACGGCTGCATCTATACCAATGTTACGGCTGCATCTCGACCAATGTTACGGCTGCATCTCCACCAATGTTACGGCTGCATCTCCACCAATGTTACGGCTGCATCTACACCGATGTAACGGCTGCGGCTGCATCTACATCGATGTTACGGCTGCATCTACACCAACATCACGGCTACCCCTATATCAATGCCATGGCTGCATCTACACCAATGTTACGGCTGCATCTCCACCAATGTTACGGCTGCATCTACACCGATGTACCGGCTGCGGCTGCATCTATACCAATGTTACGGCTGCATCTACACCAACATCACGGCTAACCGATGTAATAGCTCGAACTTCACCAATATCACAGCTACAACTTCACCAATGCAATGTCTACAACTACACCGATATCACGGCTATAACTAGACCGATATCTTGGCTCCAACTACACCAATATTACTGCTACAAACTACATCAATATTACTGCAACAACATCAATATTACTGCTACAATTACATCAATATTACTGCAACAACATCAATATTACTGCTACAACAATATCAACATTACTGCTACAACTACATCAATATCACGGCGACACTAACATCAATATTACTGCTACAACAATATCAACATTACTGCTACAACTACATCAATATCACGGCGACACTAACATCAATAATACTGCTACAACAATATCAATATTACTGCTACAACAACACCAATATCACGGCTACAACAACATCAATATTACTGCTACAACAACATCAATATTACTGCTACAACTACATCAATATTACTGCTACAACTACATCAATATTACTGATACAACTACATCAATACTACTGATACAACTACATCAATATTACTGATACAACTACATCAATATTACTGATACAACTACATCAATATTACTGATACAACTACATCAATATTACTGATACAACTACATCAATATTACTGATACAACTACATAAATATTACTGATACAACTACATCAATATTACTGATACAACTACATCAATATTACTTCTACAACAATATCAACATTACTGCTACAACTACATCAATATCACGGCTACAACAACATCAATATTACTGCTACAACAACATCAATATTACTGCTACAACTACATCAATATTACTGATACAACTACATCAATATTACTGATACAACTACATCAATACTACTGATACAACTACATCAATATTACTGATACAACTACATCAATATTACTGATACAACTACATCAATATTACTGATACAACTACATAAATATTACTGATACAACTACATCAATATTACTGATACAACTACATCAACATTACTGATACAACTACACCAATATTACTGCAACAACATCAATATTACTGCTACAACAATATCAATATTACTTTTACAACTACATCAATATCACGGCGACACTAACATCAATATTACTGCTACAACAATATCAATATTACTGCTACAACTACACCAATATCATGGCTACAACAACATCAATAATACTGCTACAACAATATCAACATTACTGCTACAACTACATCAATATCACGGCGACACTAACATCAATATTACTGCTACAACAATATCAACATTACTGCTACAACTACATCAATATCACGGCGACACTAACATCAATAATACTGCTACAACAATATCAATATTACTGCTACAACTACACCAATATCACGGCTACAACAACATCAATATTACTGCTACAACAACATCAATATTACTGATACAACTACATCAATATTACTGATACAACTACATCAATATTACTGATACAACTACATCAATATTACTGCTACAACTACATCAATATTACTGATACAACTACATCAATATTACTGATACAACTACATCAATATTACTGATACAACTACATCAATATTACTGATACAACTACATCAATACTACTGATACAACTACATCAATATTACTGATACAACTACATCAATATTAGTGATACAACTACATCAATATTACTGATACAACTACATCAATATTACTGCTACAACTACATCAATATTACTGATACAACTACATCAATACTACTGATACAACTACATCAATATTACTGATACAACTACATCAATATTACTGATACAACTACATCAATATTACTGATACAACTACATAAATATTACTGATACAACTACATCAATATTACTGATACAACTACATCAATATTACTGATACAACTACACCAATATTACTGCAACAACATCAATATTACTGCTACAACAATATCAATATTACTTTTACAACTACATCAATATCACGGCGACACTAACATCAATATTACTGCTACAACAATATCAATATTACTGCTACAACTACACCAATATCACGGCTACAACAACATCAATAATACTGCTACAACAATATCAACATTACTGCTACAACTACATCAATATCACGGCGACACTAACATCAATATTACTGCTACAACAATATCAACATTACTGCTACAACTACATCAATATCACGGCGACACTAACATCAATAATACTGCTACAACAATATCAATATTACTGCTACAACTACACCAATATCACGGCTACAACAACATCAATATTACTGCTACAACAACATCAATATTACTGATACAACTACATCAATATTACTGATACAACTACATCAATATTACTGATACAACTACATCAATATTACTGCTACAACTACATCAATATTACTGATACAACTACATCAATATTACTGATACAACTACATCAATATTACTGATACAACTACATCAATATTACTGATACAACTACATAAATATTACTGATACAAATACATCAATATTACTGCTACAACTACATCAATATTACTGATACAACTACATCAATATTACTGATACAACTACATCAATATTACTGATACAACTACATCAATATTACTGCTACAACAATATCAATATCACGGCTACAACTACACCGATGACACGGCTACAACTACATCAATGCCAAGGCTACAATGTCAAGGTTTCAGCTACATTCCTGTCACGGCTACTTTACCAAAAATTAACAGGAGACAACCTTGTTAACGTCTCACCGGAGCTATCACAAAACGCGAAACATTAGCGGCCGCGTAACGGCGTGAACCGTACGAACGTAACTGGCCCGGGTATGTATGTCCACTGTGCTATAAGTTTACATAAATGTCGTGTCATAACCATCTTTCCGAGAGCAAGGGAGTTAACTAACAATAAAAGTCCAGTTTCCCCACTTGCCGAACAATGCTGGAATTTCGTGGCTTGATGTAGCGCCACCAGTGGTTATTACGAGTTGTGTCCCTTCCATGACCCTCCTATTGACCAGTTAGATTCCACCTCTCATATCACTTGCATTTGCTTCTAACACAATGGCGGCGCCTAGTCAAGGCGATCTAATGGATATTCAAAAAATCTAATTAATATAATATAACACGGGTTTTACCTCGCAAAGTGCATTGAATCACTTGATCATCTTGATTAAAAACATGAAGAGATTTGGAAAATATCTGTCGACGCCCAGTTGATGGTGCATATGCTTTACGAACCCTGCAGTCGACGGAATCCTGCACGTTGAAATCCATGTTGTTTACGAAGCAGATGTCTAGTTCGTTTCGCAATTTTGATTGGACTATACCAGCCAAAATATAATTCCAATTCCAGCCTAGTTCGGCAAGTGTGGAAACTGGACTTTTATAATCAGATAACTCCCTTGCCTCGGGAGGATGAATTAAAACAGTTAGAACACACAGAATGTCCAACGAAATTAAGAAGAAAGCTGACTTCTATCAAATAACTGTAAATCTGTCCAGTGTGTCACATATTGCAGCATGTTGTGACATAAACATTTTTTACGAAATCTACATTAATTTTCTTTGTGATCAAAATTCAATGATGATGTAATCGGCAACAAAACGGAAATTTCTTGAAAAGTTCACTTTACAATTTTTGTAGGTAATATTCCTTATCAGCGGAATGGCTTGTCTTTTATTTATAAGTATTAGCACACATGCAAGTATCTTCATTAATTAAACACCGCGTTATTTCGTGATTCTGATTCTGGCGAGGACTATAATCACAGTTACACCGCACATCTGTCAGAACATAATGTGTATTAATGATAACAAAGACTGTTATTAGTTTATTCGGCCTAGGTTATAATTCAGTTATAGATACAACTACATATTTACAAACCTTCTCCGAAGTAGTAGGTACTGGTTTGTCCATTGACAACTCCAACACAGCCGACGAGGAGAAGGAACGCCACCATGGACATCTTTGAAAATCGCAGACAAAAATGAGACTGACTTTATAAAAGTCCCGTGAAAATCTAAAGGTTAAACAACCAAGCGTCGTCGTCGTTAATTAATATAGGGAGGAGAACTGCGTCCTAACGCCCATTGAACAAACGCTCCACTTGTTCCTCTCAAGATCAACACCAGTATGGCAACTTCTTTGCATACTTTTTTTCAATTAATAAAGCTGAGGGGGGACGTTGGTTGTGGGAATGGGAGGGAATGCGATGTCGCGAGACGCTGTCAGTGCCAGCGGTAGCCGACAGCGTTCACATCGGTATGTTCCTCGTGTGGGGATCTTTGATCAAATATCCCCGGTTTTCCCGGCAATGTAACAACGGATTGAGAGTTCACAAAGAGTTCACTTCTCGGGGTTGTCTTAAAGGCGCTGACATCTAGTTATTGAAGTCAAATTACCTTTCTGGGGGTTTGGGGACCTTTTTGAAAAATAGATTTGATCTATAAAATATTTGAAAAAATAATTATGCCACAAGCTTTATTACAATATAGATCTTGGTTATCAATCAGATCGTCTTTCCGGAGCCCCCATTTTGTTTGAAGAAAATACAAGTGACATGAGAAGTGGAATCTGATTGGGCAATAGAGAGGACATAGAAGGGACATAACTCGTTATAGGCACTGGTAGCGCTACGACCGAGCCTACCATTCTGCGTATCTCCTCTAATCATAAGCCCCCTCTTGGCAGGACCCTTAATCCATGGCGCTAATAAAAAAAAATCAATACGTACAATAATGTACATACGTCTGGCGACGTCAGAAGGTGTTAATCTATTCATGCCAATTAACATGTACATGTACGCGGGTCCTTCAGTCCCAGTGGGGCGGTAGGGTAGCCTAGTGGTTAAAGCGTTCGCTCGTCTCGCCGAAGGCCGGGTTCGATTTCCCACATGGGTACAATGTGTGAAGCCTATTTCTTGTGTTCCCCCGCCGTGATATTGCTTGAATGTTGCTAAAAGCGGCATAAAACCGTACGCACTCACTATCCGAACAATGGACGCCCAGATAGCCAGGTTTCCGGAGTAACAGGCTTTCTCTGCTCTGCTACAGACACAGGCTCACTTTAATCAGCGTACATTTCTTCTGTTTGCCGGAAGTCAACTTGCTCACACTCGCTGTTTTGTAACAAACCCAAATCACAAGGTCAAAGAGCTGAAGGCATGATGGGGATGAAAAGGGCTTAGTTCGAACCGCCATGTCGGACCTGCAAGTTGAGATTTAGTCAGGGGAGGTAACACGTACATGGCTGATCCACTCACCCAGCAAGTCATGTCAAGCAAATAGGCTGAGATGAGACTGCAAACCAACAAAAAATGCAGAATAAATACTTGGATCTGTAGATTCGGAGTTAATTGCCTTAAACCCAGTTTACTGTCGTCTCCGATTTCCCCAACGGCATGTGTTTTAATCTCTGCATTCTGCTGATGTTAAGCCGAAAACATTCCTCTCACCAATGGAGACTTGATGACACCACGTTATGGCGGGAACCAGCACGTGAGACGAGTGAGACACGCCTTCACCCCTGCCCATCACACTGACGTCATCATGGTATTCACATGGGACAGTGTCTAATTAATCTACCGTATAATACGGTTCATATTTGGAGGGTTGGAAAAGAGCTTCTACTGTTTTCAAGAGGTTTTTAAGAAACAAATATTCACCCTAAGCTGATTTATCATTATTATTTCTTTCTTTAATATTATTATTATTGGTTGGCTTTAACGCCGCTTTTAACAGTATTCCAGTTATGTCACGGCGTGTCAGCTTAATGTGGAAGGAAAGCCCGAAGTGATGCAGGTCTCAAACGTTTACCACATTGGTGAAACCCACGAGCACGGGTATGGTGCTGACAAACCTAGAAACATAATCGGGGCGAACCAGGATTCGAACCCACAATCATCGGTTTCGCGACGAATCGCGGCGCCTTAGACGACTACGCCGCTTTAAGCAACATTCCAGCAATATCACGGCGGGGGACACCAGAAATAGGCTTCACACATTGTACCCACGTGGCCAGCCCCTTCACAAACTGTTGACGTACTTTTTACGTTAGTTCCGCATTGACAAGGCAAAATAATTACAGATAGTCATTTATGGAGTTTATATCGCTTCTTGCCGTTTTTCATTCTCTTGAAAATGTTTCGTTATAAACTGTAAATGTCTTATTTAAAGGGGCACTGATCTAAACCAATTCCCCGGGACTGGTTGTTGCCTTTGTTATTGTTTTTTCCCAGTGAGTACCCGGATGTATAGCAGAAATCTAGACTAGTTCGCGACCTCTGCTGCGCCATTCGTAAGCGCATTAGTCACTTTTATGGGTAGTAATAAGGGCGTATGGTTACATTGATCAACAAAATGAAATACAGTTTTCAAGGTAATAAGGAAATGGACGTATTATGTATATTTTACAAAATGGTCAATGGGCTAACTCCTAAATATCTATCTTTATGGGTCCCACCTAATATATCCAGCATAACTGGATATAACCTTCGTACTTCTAATGACTTCCAGACCAGTGCAGGACGCTTATCCCAGTATAATCGATCTTTTTTGCCATCTGTTATACAAGCTTGGAATGCACTTGATATTAATATTAGAAATGTAGATTCCTTATCTCGGTTTAAGCAATTTCTAGAGAATATAAGCTTACTGCAAATTTTACATCGTTTGCTAGTTATGGCCAGCGGCAATGTCAAGTGATTTTATCTAGACTTAGGCTAGGTTGTAGTGATTTAAAATCACATTTATTTGACAGATTTCTGATTGATAATCCCATCTGTCCATGTGGCCTAAATAGAGAAGATGCTTTCCACTTTTTTCTATCTTGTCCACGCTATGCCAAGTTTAGAATTGATAAATACTTTTTTGTTAACCAGCTCAGCATACATACTATACTCCACGGCAATGAAGATTCATCTTCCTCAGACAATGAATACATTATAAAATCAGTTCACAATTACATCATTGAAACAAACCGCTTTACGTAAGTTTTGTGTCAACTTAAGAATATAAAATGCATTTGGTATCTTGCTTTCCATTTTATTTCATGTTGTGTTACTCATTAATGTCTGCTCTATAGACTTCATTACAATTTACATGTATGATGTACAATATTAGGAGAAGCATTAATATAGGCCTTTTTGGCCTGTTTGCTAATCCTTTTTCCATTTTGTAATGCTATTTAATGTACAATCTGAACATTAATGGAAATAAAATACTGTTTAAATCAAATGGACGTATCTTTGTGGGTAGCATCGGTAATGGTGACGAAGTTTTGATAAGTCGCTTGGTCATTTTGCGATTTTCGTTTACACTATTTTGACTTGCAACACAAAGTAAATAATTCACCTGAGAATTGTTTTTTTTATAGTGTGTATATTTTCTTACTCTCGAAATGTGTAACATTTTCAAATTTATTAAACGCCTAAATATTCACTTTTTTTACAAAGTGACTGAAAAACATTTCCATCTGTATTATTATGATAACGAATTCTAAACATTTTGATGTTTAATGTCATCACCAAGAGACTGAAAATGTTACTTTGAAAAGTACATTTCTATGTTGTTTGGCTTCTAATCCTACATAATAATCTGTTGTGATGTTTTTAGGCCCTTTTGATCGTCTTAATCGATTTTAGTCAATCTGGACAGATTTTTCAGTCAAAATGACTTAAATATTTACACATTTTATAAATTGCCTGAGAGAATCACATTTTACAAATTGACGGTAATATATACACGCTTACAAAGGAAAAGACTTGTGAAAACAAAGTCTATCGCGCATTGAAGAATTTCCCAACCAAGACGTAGAGGAACAAGAACGAATCGGTTCAATGCTATAGCAAATGAAGGAAAACAAAATGCAAATACCATAATTACAACCTACCAAATTTATGTGTATAATTTTAGGCAGCTTCCTTGTTCGAGTATGTATCCGTGATTATCCATACAAAGGAACACTATCCCACTCGTCTGCAGCTGTACAAAGAAACTTATTCGATGTCACGTGTCTCTGTAACCATCAAATATTTTAAAAGATATATATCGTTTCGGGATATTATAACCCGTGTTCGTTTCTCAACTGATCACTTAGATTGTTTCAGGTGTTTCACATAGATGTCAAGTCTCAAGGGTCGGCTGTCAAAGCCCACGTGACACGGTTCCTAAAAAAAACATTGAGTGATAGATAACAATGAGCAATCAATCAACGTATTATCAGTTAACCCTTTGAACAAAGTATGTTGTTTTTACATCGGCAGTTCACGCCATAATATGAGTGTATTCCCTTTGTTATAGTAAACCTAGACATGTAAACACTCACTTTTGACATATTCATTGTGCAAGATAACAGTGATTAATCAATCAACGTATTTTCTGTTAATCCTTTGATGACTAGGGACGATCCGTTGATTAACAAAAAAAGTAAATCAACTGATCATTCACATCTTGCTGGGCTGCCACGTGCATATTACATAACACACATTTCACCTCACTTCAAACCTGGATTTAGATTGAATACTTACCCCAGACACAATATATGCCAAATGGGAACCTTCGTCAGGTAATCTAAGTGGTGCTACCACTAATTGTACCTGTAATAAATTCATTAACTGAGCATCAAGTGAATGACGACAAATACACAAGTGTAGGGTTATACCAGAAAACGTGGATGACAACACGAGAGTAGTAATCGTATTATCGACGCAATCCGGAATCCGAAAATGCTTTCACTGCAGGGATACTTTTTTTATTATTAAACTATAAGCATCTGGGGTATTTCCAAATGACGACATCCGATGAGCTCCGCCGTTCTTTTTGTCTGTTTGTTTAGGCTGAAGAAATTAATTAACATGCGACCTTTGTCGAAATCTTTATAAATCTTTACAGTTAACCAACAAGTGTTCAAAAATGCGTAAAACAAATATTGCTTCCAGCCTCCAAGTTTATTTAGCTGTCCTTGCAGACGGTAGCCCAGTCTCTGGTCACGCTCAGTTGCGTTGCGTATCATCCGGGTACTCATGACCCTAATTATTTTCTGAGACTTTTGTTTTTCTTTTTTAAAATTTTGCAAACTCGGAACTACGTTTTAAGTCGCAATTATCAGTGGTGGTGAAATGTCCCTGCGCGTTCGGTAGGGAG